TATATATGTGTGTGTGTGTGTATGGTCCTCGATCCGTCCATGAGGACAACGTTACGTGTGATATGATGATGTTGATTTTCGATTGTTCGATTTGGTTATTGTATGATATATATATATATATATATATATATATATATATATATTCGAGTATGTCAATGTACAAGTGGTGATGATACGATTCAAATATCCGTTGAATATATATATATATGGACAATAATGTGCTCTATCCTTCCATGAAGAAGAGGACAACGTGTGTGATGATGTGAGTCGATTCCTTGTGTTATATATATATTACTGCTCAATGTTGTTGTATGCCAATGTACAAGAGGTGATGATGGGATTCAACTCCTTGTATGTCAATCTATATATATATAATATACATATATATATTGTTGTATGTTGTCCTCGTGCCAATTTGATGTTGTGATTTGATTCGTTTATCTATCTATATATATATATATCACCCAAGGCGTTATTGATGCGATATTCGTTTATATATATATATATATTTGTATGTTGTTACCAAGTATACAGTGTATATATATCACACCCGACTGTATATGTTTGTGTACGTTTTCGTTCATATCGACTATACATATCATTATCTTTCTAGGACAGAATAGTGACATGTCACTGTAGGCGGGTACATGGGGCTCCACCAACGCGCAAAAGCGCTGGGTATTTGCGTGTGCCTGGGGTTTGTGGCGTTTTCCCTGGGAATAGTGACCACATTCCTCCCAAATCTGTATCTAACTGCCGCCAGCTTGTGGCTGGTTTTGTTCTTTGGCGGGTCCATCCTTCCATCCTGCACGGGGATTTTTATCAGCGCCACGCCAGTCCATCTGCGGTCGCTCGCGTCCTCCGTGTCAGTTATGGTGTTTAACCTGCTCGGGTACGCTTCGTTTTATGTAGTTATTGATTTCGTGCATTTCAGTCAAATTAGTCTATTTTCGGGGATTGATGAAATCGCCATTGAAGCGAGCAAACGAGTATGATTGGCTATAAAAAGAATGGAGGTTGGAATGTGATTGGCTAAAAAGATTGATTGATACCCCTGAGTTTGATATAAAATTTCACAGGTCCGGCGATTGTTTGGCGGTTAATTCAACCAAGTATTGGAGGAAATTTTATGTAGAACAAATCACACAATATATTTCGATTGGTAGAAAGAAGAAAAAAATACTTTGGTTTATAGTTGGTTCATCGTTTTATCTTGTACGTACTTAAGTCCATCCACGACTTCGAAGTGGAATCGTTGAAGAGGGAAAATACACTTTGATTGGCTGCTTGATTCGTGTTGTGGGATTTGATTGGTCGATCCATGCATGGTCTGCCGATTTGGGAGCCGTGGGGCCTTCCACAAACAGTAAATTCGAATAATCGAAGGATGGACAATATATATATATATATACACATATATATACATATATACTTCATAGTGTGTTGAAAATACATATTGTCGTTTGACCCAAAGTTTGGACTTTTGTGCTGATTTCCCAAATTCTATCAATCGATTCTTTGGTTTGTTTTTGTCTGTAAAAATCGTCCAGCGTCACACTAATATCAAAGTCAAACACTATTTCGATGTTGCATTGGTCGAATGTGAGTGGATGATTTGATTGGCTACTTGATTCGTGATCTGGGTTTTGATTGGTCGATTTTCGATTGTCTGCCAATTTCGTGATTTGCTTATTCGATTGAGAGCACACGCACCCCACACCACTTTCGAATCGACTTGACAATATATATATATATATATTTATATATATATACTAATATTACGTGCATGTGTAGGTACGCGTTGGCACCGGCGTTGACAGGGTCGTTCATGGAACTGATCCACAACAACCAGGATGACCCCCATAGTTATTGGTATGAGTGCGATGAAGCGTGTATGTATCGCGTGGGCTTTCGCTGCTGCCTCGCGTGGAGTGTATGGTCTTTGCTGGCCATGTTAGCGGCGTACATTGTGGCCAAGCGGCAAGCGGCGGCGGCTATTCGGACTGGGGAACCCCCGCAGCATCACATACAACGACCTGTGAAGGCGGCTATGATCATGCACTAATCATACGTAGTAGGAGTTAGTCTCTAGTTAGACGAGTTTTGCTTTGACGAGAGATTATTGAATAGGTAAAGATAGAAAAGTACAAAGATCATGATAAAGATGCCCAACTACACCACGTAGATACTAGTACTACACCTTTTTTCTATTGAGTTGGGACTTTTTTCAACGTTCTTGGCTTGGCGCTCATTCGAAAGGGCGATGTGTCCATTCATTTGGCCTTGTGGCCAATGGACACGGCGCTCATTCGAAAGGGCGATGTGTCCATTCATTTGGCCTTGTGGCCAATGGACACATCGCCCTTTCGAATGAGCGCCAAGCCAAGAACGTTGAAAAAAGTCCCAACTCAATAGAAAAAAGGTGTAGTACTAGTAGGCTGTAGTTGTAAAAGTACAGTACTAGTAGTAATTAGTAAAGGACGCTAAAACCATTTAACCTTCGCATTTGGGATACAAAGAATAACCGAAGGTTAATACCGTTTTGGACAATGGTATAACGTGAAATCGATACAACTGGTTTAGTACTACTACAACATAACGTAGACCTGTACTGTACTGTGCCAAGTGTTTCGAACGCGTTAGTAGTAGTACTAACTGAAATCACGTTTTGAAAGAAAGGTTTAAACGTTTAACCTAAAGTAAACGATTGAGTTCTGATCGATTTCCCACGATGAGCGATGACGAAGAGTACGAGTTTGAGTACAGCGACAACGACGACGATGTAGACATGGGGGACGACGAGAGTAGCCCGGAAGTGGCGATGGAGAACAAGTACTACCTCGCCAAGGCTGTGCGCGACGAGAAGCATCATGACGAGAACGACGCCGTGGAAGCGGCGTTCCAACAAGTCCTCGACCTCGACGAGTTGGGCGAGTCGATCTGGGGCTTTCGCGCGCTCAAGCAACTGATTAAGTGGGAGATCCGCCACAGCGAGTTGGAAAAGGCGATGAAGCATTACGAGCAGCTCCTGCATCGCATTGCCACGTCTGCCGTGATCACACGCAACATGGGCGAGAAAGGTGTGAACGGCGTCTTGGACTTTGTCTCTGCGCACCCCGTCGTGCCCACTAATGCGTCCGGCACGTCCTCCGCGTCCTCAGGTACATATCCATGTATAATCGCTCTCTCCACGCCGTTGCACTTTCTGCATGTCCTGTCTAAACTACCATCCCCATCTTGTAGTTACACAATATCAAACTCTATGCTTGAAAAGAATCCTCATCGTATATTATATTCTCCGTGGAAATATATTTATATATATATATATATATACATGTATCCACCATGGCGAGATGTAGCTTGCTTTATCTTGTACATATACATATATGTCCTGGTACTATATATTTCTAAATTTATATATCTATACTATATATTATTGATTTGGAACGAATTTCTGGAATCACGTTCATTGGTCATTATTTCGACATTCCTTGTCTCTGATTGGCTAGATTGTTTTTTTGTTTTTTCAACTGCAGAATCCGAAACGCCTCTGAAACTTCGAGGGTTGTGTGATCAGATTGACCTGTTTCCAATCTCATAGAATCGGGAAACTTGTAGGAAATTCATAATTTATATATTTATATTTATATATATATATATATATATACATATACTTTAATATCTATGGATACATTTTACCCGTTTAGTGGCTAACCTGTTATTGGTACCTATACATATATATAATATATGATGGTAGCAATTACGTGGGTACTGTTATCAATAAAAGCATTTATATATAAAGTATATATGTATTTTTATTGATATCGTACCCACCTAAATTGCTACAAGTATATATATATACTTTTATCGATATAGTACCGACCTATTTGCTACCATCCATATAAAACTCCTGTCCGTAACGAGTATACATATATATATACCGTAGACGACAGCGCGTGGGCGATATTACAGCAATTTTACGAAACCACGTTGGCCACATTGCAGCAAAATGAGTCGCGCAATGAGCGGCTGTGGTTTAAAACAAATTTGAAGCTGGGCAATCTCCTCTTTGACCGGCGGATGGACTCGACCAAGCAAAGCATGCAGTTGCTGCGCATCGTCAAGGAGTTGCTAGCGTCATGCGAGGCGAACGCGGCGGCGGTGGACGACGACGACGCTGCTACGACTGGATTGAAGCACGACTCGCAGCTCCTCGAAGTATACGCGCTGCAGATCCAGCTCTACACGGTGCAAAAAGATAACAAGAAGCTCGTGGAACTGTACGAAAAGGCGCTGCGTGTCAAACCTGGCGTCGCCCATCCCCGGATCGTGGGCGTGATTCGAGAATGCGGCGGAAAGATGCACATGATGCAGGTACGGACTCGACTTGGTGATTGTGTGCGTTTCACCCAAACTTGTATGACTTGGGAGGTCATGTCAAATTGCTGTCGAATCGATTCGATCTATCCTATTTAAGCTGTTTCTTGTACACACACACTCTGTATACTATATATATGATACAAAGATTAGTATATATATATATTGATACAAAGATTATTATATATATATATATATATATATATATATATATATTGATACAAAGATTATTATATATATTTATATATATACGTGGTTTTGCCCAATGCGGAGGGATCAAACGTTTGGATTGTCAGAATATATTCGACATGACGGGATGATTTGATTGGCAGTTCTTTCATCGATTCTGTTTTTGCTCACAGTTTCGAATCGATTTGACAACAACACATGCTGAATACGGCTTGACGAGGATATCACACTATTTGACGGTCATACACTATTTACGTGTGGTAACCTGTTTGGCTGAATCGTTGAACCCTGCTTGTGGGTTTGTGTTTTCGTGTCGGTCGTGGATAAAGATATTTTGTCGAAATGTTTTCTTCAAAGTTTCCCCATTTCATGTGATTGGCTACTCATTTCTTATAGAAATGCAAAATGAGATTATAGCCAATCAGCGACAAGTATTGTCGGATTGACCAATGGGAGAGATTGGTGCCCGGTTCACGAATCTCCAATATACTTGATGATTGTATTTTGATGGGGTATAAAGCTGGTGATTTCGAGCATCGATTGGTGTGAAGATATTTAATGTATGTATGGTATACAAAGATGAAAACTTGGGGTTGTTTTGACTGGGTTAAACTAGACTAGGCGACGATTGGTTGAAAAGTTTCGCGAGTGCACTTTGATTGGCTAGAACAGTCGTCTCAAACACATATATTGGCCAAATTCATTCGATTCGGTAAAGTTCAATTTGGAACGGATTATTGACACTATGGAAGAAGGCTGTACTGGATGTGTTGACCAGGAGCACACTATTTGACGCTCACACATCACTATTTCCGTGTGGCTGGGGTGACATCCTGATTGGTTGAATCATTGAATCCTTGTGTGTGTATATATTTTTACATGAAAGTATTTAAAATGTGTTTAGATGGGAGGTTGTGCTATGGATGCATGATATAAATAGGGTAGTGATATTTCATATCGTTGAGTTGTACATATGTTGTTTGTTCAAATTTCACGACTTATATAATTTAATATGTTGTCTGCGATGTATTGCCGACTCTGCATTGGGTTCAGCTTGTATATATAGGGCGACTGGGAACAAGCCCGCAATGCGTTCTTTGAAGGGTTCAAGAATTTTGACGAAGCGGGCGAAGCAAGGCGGTTGCAATGCCTCAAGTACGTGCCAGTTTATTATATATATATCTTGAAAAAAAAATATTATTTGATATATATATATTGATTGATTGATTTGCAGGTATTTGGTACTGGCAAATATGCTAGGCGAGTCCAAAATCAATGTATTCGACTCGCAAGAAGCCAAGCCGTACGAACAGGCCAAAGAAATTGTGGCCATGACCCAACTTACGGATGCGTTTATGAACGACGACATCAAACAATTTGGTACTTAAGCTGTCTATGGTGTATATGTGTTTTACGTTGACAAGGAGATGTCGATAGAGACTGTTTTGAATCGACATGGCCACTCGATCATGTCGGATGGATTTATCAAACACTATGTGGACAACCTCCTTCGCACGATTCGCAGCAAGGTAAGCCACTGCGATTCCAAATAGACCTTAACGCTGCTACTTCTCATCTTGAACGGTTCGTTTTATCAAGACGTACGTGTATGTAGGTAGTACTCAAAGTGATCAAACCCTATCAAGTCGTGCGATTGGCTTACATTGCGTCGGTAAGTTAGGACTCGTAGTGTTTATATTGTTCTTTCTATGCATTAATATGGTGGATATTCTGCAATGCTAACGGTAGTATTGTCGTTTCGAATATATATTTTTTGCATGCGTTAATTCTAAAGCAGTATTATAAATCGACGAATGAATCTATTTCTGAGTTTACAGAAAAGCAAAAAAATAGCGTAGAAATAAATACAGTATACAAAGTGTTCAAGTGTGCGATTGATTACAACGTTACAGTGGTGTCTTGGAATGGGTTTTGATTGGTCGGTTGATTCTCTGCCCCATTGGTGCGGCTCATTCAACGGAGCAAAACCAAACTTCGAACTAAATTGACAATATATACTTCCTCTGTTCCAGGTTACTGCCGACATTTCAAAATTCGCATGTTCCAAGTTACTGGCGACATTTGCATTTCATTGGCTGTAATTCTTCAATTTCTATCAATATCGAACATTTATGACATTTCATTGGCTTACAATTGCTTTAAGCGCTGATTATAAACCAATCTTTTGCGAAAATTCATGCAATTCCGTTTCAAAGTATCATTAGCCCAAATTGAGGGCTCGATTGTCTGTGTCAATTCAAAGTAAATGTCGGCAGTAACCTGGAACAGAGGACGTAATAATATATATCACGTATTTTGATGCTAATTATAGTGAAAACAATGGTAGGAATTGAATGGCATTGACCGTCAAGAAGTGGAGCACATTCTTGCAGCTCTAGTTTTGGACGGTAAAGTCCAAGGTCGGATTGATCAAGTCAACGGCCTTCTCGTGCTGCGCCCGTACGTTTGAGTTTTCATAAATGTGAATAATTTTGACTCTTTTTGTTTATTTTAAATGTAATTAGGCACAAAAGCGACGAAAAATTAGTCGGGGCACTAAACCAGTGGACCCACTCGCTTGAAAAGTTGCGCCGCCAACTGCACGACAAACTGCTTCCCGAAGCAGCCTAATTACTGGCAATAAATATTGTGCATTTCGCTCCAATATTGCTTACTTTGGTGAAAGAAATCGCCAGCAAATCAAGCCAAGCAGTATGATTGGCTAAAACGAATGAAGGCTGCCTTGTGATTGGCTATAAAGAGTGACTGGAACTTCAGCTTACAGTTAGTTTTGCATTAACAGTAAGTAACTTAAGCTTATACTAGTATTTGATGGCAGTGTAACGTTATGTGCAAAAGTCGTCTTTTTTATAGTACTTCCAGTACTATAAAAAAGACGACTTACCTATTAATAGTATGGCGCTTTGTAGATGTATAATATAGCCAATCACACACGTCAAAATTCCAATATTATTGTCCATTTTAGCGAATCAAAAAGGTCTCTCACTCGCCAATCCAATCTCTTATTATGATAATAATGCAGTTTTTTCAGCCAATCCAAATGAACGATACATTGTATTTCAGCCAATCCGATTTGAATGATTACGCGCCTCGATGCTACTGTCAACGCGGCTGCTACGACGTCTTGTACACGACAGCCACCATGGCCCAGATCACGCAAATGCCTTCGGGATAGGGCACGCTCTTGACGGCCACGCCAAACTGGGCATGCGTCGCCTTGGGGAAGAGCACGACCTCTCGCCCGACGACATCCGCCACTAGCTTTCGTTGGACGTCGTCGAGACTGGTGCCGCTCACGGGGAAGCCTTTGAACGTGTGGCCTTGCGGCACGGCCCCTTGCACGCTATTCTACGATTCACGTTATTGTCAACCCATTCCACTGTAGGCACCACCACCACACACTGTACGAGGTACCTGAAAGTACACGTTGTCCACGTTGGCCGATCCAAACACCCGTTCCACTTCGTACGACGTGAGGGCCATGCGTATGTAATGGCTCAAGTCAGGGTGCCACCTCGTCGTGTGCAGTCCGTGGGCGGCTCGCGTGGCCTGCAGCCAGTGGCGCAGCGCCCGATCGGTCGCCGCGTCGTCGGTCATCGTTACCGGCGGACGAAGCGCAACGGATGGCTGGCGCGGCCCCACTTGTGCAATCAACGCCGGATCCAACGCCTTCCACAGCTGGGGATTCTCAACCGTCCAATCCACAAGCGCAAACTCGATCCTGTCTTGGCAGTTGGCATAAAACGACTGGTGGTTGAACACGCAGTCCACGCGGTCGTACATAGCAGCCGACGCCGCCACGCATTCGCCTGTTACGGCCTCCCACAACACAACCCTACGACACACTCGTGCACTTATTTTGGACAATTGATTGTTATTGTCGATTTTCGTCAGGTTTCTCTCTCATTGGATCAAACTGCGCCGCGACATTTGATTGGCTAATACCCACTTGGTAGAATATCGAAAATGAACTGCAGCTCCGACACACAAGTAATATTGACCAATAACGAGAGATTCGAGCTTCGAGCTCAATCCATACCAAGTCTCCAATACATACTGGAGATGTATAGTTAACACACACATGGAGATCCAATTGCAATGACTGTACTGGTATGTATGGACACATCAGAATACTATGAGTTTGGTAATCACGAATCGACGCCATTGGCTACTCCAACTTTGAGCTACGTTTGATTGGCTATTTCAGAAAGGAGACGTAGATTCAGCCAATCAGAATATCAAAGCGCGATTCAATATTGAATAGAAAACCACGTGAATGTTGGACGTTTGGAGCGAATGAAGTCACAAGATAATCCTACAATCTTTGTGAACGTTTCAAAGAGGGCAAGTAGATTTAGCCTATCAACATTCCCAGCGTGATTCACTGTTGATTAAAATCCACGTGAATTCCTACAAAAAAATATTTTGTAAGGACTGTAGGCTTGCATAATCCTCTTCTGACTCACATAACATAACCTCTGCGACGCAATCTCCATACAGGATGATAGTCAAGTCGATTCAGAGAATGGTACATGAAAAAAGTGAAAAAGATATTGTGCTTTCGAGTGAAATTTCGTGTTGTGGTTTCTCGTTGGAATTTAAATCGATTTGATTGGCTACTTCAGAATATGAGCTCAAAATTATTAGCCAATCAAAACCTTCTCAATGAAATTGAACCAATCAGATCGATTGTGGATCGGTTTGGTCGGCGCGATTCGATTGCACCCCGTCCCCAAATTTGTATAAAATCGCCAATATAAATTGATTCATACAAGGTGAAAAGTGGAAGGTACAACACGTGCCGTCGGTGTTTATAAACGTACGTGTGCCTACTTTTTATAAGGAAATGGTAGATCAATCAAGCAACTGTACAGTACCCCGAGGTTAACATGGTCGCCACCCAAACATGTCGAACCGAATCATGACTGCTGCTGGTAATTGCTGTAGAACGGCGGATTGTACCCATGCACACATACGCCTCCAGTCCAAACCCCAGCAACAGCGACGCGAGCAAAATCTATGCAAATATCCACCATAACTACTTTGTCGTTAATTATTTTACACCCTGAAATATACAACGTAATTGATATCATTCAAAATTATTTTATAAAACGTGGTTATTTATTTGCTTTCAAATTTCATTCCATGGTGCAAGGTACGGCAAATACGTTAGATGCAAATTTGTCGTATAAATGCGAGAAAAACTACACGAATTGTTTTTGATTGGCACACAAAATAAATGAGGCATCGTAGTTTGCCGTAGAAATGTGAGAAAACCAACATGGCAAAAAATATATAAAAATCCATTCGCACAAAAATAGTAGAGGCGTCATGTTGTAGCAATAGCACTACAGTAGGTAGCCAAGCAGGAATCGGTAATTCGACGGCTTTGATCATCCATCGTAATGATAAAGATCTCCACGCACGGCATGTTCTTCGCAGTCTCCATGGCCGAGGGCGAGAAATGCCGCCAGGGACTGCCATGTGGCATCGCGCCCCGAGCCCACATGCGACGCCCTCACAAACGGAAGCAGTGACACGAACCGAGCGGCTTCGCTGGGGGTACTTAAGTGAAGCGATCGCAACGGCGTCACATACGTGCACACCTACAGTACGTGCAGGACTGTCAAGTTTGAACTCCAATACGTACATGAAATTTCTCCAATTTGGACTTGCGAGTAGAATCGAATGAATTCGACAAATGCAGTAGTAGTAAGTACTTCGAAGTACTTAGAGGTATTTGAGAATGTCCAGTCCAATCAAAGTGCAACAACGAGAATTTTCAACCAATCATCGGTTAGTTGATTTTTACAGTAGCCCAGTCAATAGGATCGTCTTCAACTTTGTATACTATACATTGAAACAGATAAACAGCATTCTCAAATCGATTCTGCCAAGGCCACATTTCAGCGAAAAGGACAATAGTAACGTGAAGTTAGTACGAACTAGTCCAACGTGGTTGTTCGTACGAGTTTATATCGCTGCGTGTCGTCTTCAACAAAGAGTCGGATCCAATGGCTAAAGGATAGTTTGTCAGTGGCCAACGACGACGACGACGACGACGACGACGACGGGACAATTGAGGTGGTGCTGGTCGCGTTTCGGTGGTCGCGCAAGTAGTCGGCCCACCAGTGCTTGCAATACTGGTACAAATGCGACTGGGTGCCGTGGGTAGAAATGGTTTCTTTTTGCAAATATAGCTTGGCGTCGTGCGTGGTGGCGGTGGTCTTGTGCACGGCGGGGATGTCGACGCGGAGATTCAACACGCCTATTACTCAAACGAGTGAATCCTACTACAAGTAAAGTAGTAGTAGTAGTACATAGGAATGGACAAGACTAACAACAACAAACGCCTCAACGACAATTCGTTCGCCTTTACGTTAAGTTTCTTATACGAAAGCCAAATCGATGGCGAAGCATCGTATGTGTGGGATTACATTGTATGTTGTGGGTTCAAAATGACACATATTGTCAAAACCGGAGTGACGTGCCGCCACAACCAAATGTGCAAGAGTATACTCCGTACTCCGTACTGTATTACTTGTACTACGTTGTATTAACAGTACTCCAGAGTACTTTACTGTTATTAATAATAGTAGTTACTAATACTCCTGCATACTATTACAGTATGTATAATATTAATAGTACGTAGTACGCAGGAGTATTTTGAGCCAATCAGATTGCAGGATGTTTTAAACCATCAACATCTGATGAGTGATGATTTTGTACACACAATCCAGTACAAACAATCGATCGATGCGAATCAGTAGTCCAAATTTTGGCTGAAAGAAAGACAATATAACGTTATGTAGAGTATGGATAATGTATGTATGCATGTGTACCTACGGGCACTTTCATCGGGCCTTGTAGCGTAAGGGGAATATGTACAACTGGATGGGGCGAGGTTAGCCACTGCCGCCAGTCCAAGGCCGCCGCAGCTACAAGTTCCACAGACACATCCGTCCACAGAGCCTATCAATGCACAACAAACACACACAAGGGTGAGAGATATTTCGCGCACTCGTGGAATGTGGTCGTCCATCGTCCGTCGGCATGGCAATTTCATGATGGTTTGAAGCATTAGACGAGACGAGCATAGATGTAATTACGGTCGAAGATGCAGGGGGGGATGTTTGCACATGCTTGGTAATGGTCCAGTGGATACTTTCTTGGATGGCGCAAAGCGATTCCCATTTGGACATGGCTACTGAATGGCCAATGGAGGGGGGCGGCTGGAGCGAGAATGCCATGGTTTCGTCAAAGGGCGGATCGACCACACAATCAACAAGCTGCGACTGAAACCGTTGGTTTTGAAATGCCACGTCGAACCGGAGGCACGTTCGGTGCATCAACTTGGCCGATTCTGATGGAGTAGAACAAGCCGGGGGCGCAATGTCGACGAGGTTGTCGACAAACGCGCGCCCCCCAAGCACACGTACATGCACGACCACGGGCTGGGATCGGGCGCTGCCTTGATGGCTCCACGACGGGACGGCAGTGGCTTCCTGCGCTGTAAACTGCTTTGTCACAGATGGCGGTGACGACAGAGGAGGCGGCTGAATCGACGCGATCAATTGCTGCACGACATCCGACTCCAACAATGTGTGGAGAAGTCGGTCGTTGTCGTCGTGATCTGGAGTAGTGAGATCGGGGGTGCCACCGTCGTGGTGGACGAGGTTGGCCGTGGCATGCTCGTGAAGGAGTGACCGCAGCTGGGAGTAAATACCCTCATCGCGCAGCTTGGCGTCGATCACAGCGCGGAGAGAGGCCAACGACGTGCCAGGTGCGTCGTCCGGTACAACGTCGGATGGTGCTGACATTTGTACTTAACAGCGGCAGGCGGTGGATGTATATATTTTTTCGTCGTCGATACGTTTGTTGGCGGTTTCATTTTCGCCAACAATACATACCAGTACTGTAGGTATGAGGATAAAAGATCATATCGTTGTGATCGACCGTCTTCTCTCAATGTATTAAGTTTTCAATCGTATATATAAACGCGCTGGACGTCCACGGATTACGTTAAAACTATGAAACCCCACGACGACGAGGCGACTTCACGAACTTTAGCCGACAAGGACGAGAACCAACCTTTTACAACATCGTTTCGACCCTATCCAACGAATCAAGTCTGGTTTCTACGTCCACAGATAGTCAAGTGTAACACTTGAATACGACGATCGCCATGGCTACTAGTTAGTTCCCCTACACACGAACAGCACTGTCACTACATACTACGTAGTACATATGTACAGTATATCTTGTAGAAGTGGGCATGGCTACAGTAGAGTAACGTTATGGGGGTTTTGTGCGTTGCGCAGATTAATACTAATATTGATTTTGCAAGTTGACTACTGTACCGGTCGAAGTAAAAGTTTGAAATTGTTCGAGTGAATTGGAATACAAATGTACCACGTAGTACTCGTACTGACGTTGTATGTAGGTAGTAGTACTATTTAGTAGTCGTAGTCTACACTTACCAATGCCGCAGCGTTACTACAGTGACAATACCATGCACTTCATTCTATACTGTGATCCATTGTTTCGATTTCGACTTTCAGTTAGTACAGTACTGTAGTATATTCTAGTATTTATCATTGTAGTCTTTGGTCGCACCTGTCACAGCTATATTGTCTACTCCAGGTTTAGAGTTCACAGGTCAACATCACAGGAAAAACAATCAACTTTGCCCTAATGCCGTTCCTTTATAGTATCTTACAGCTTTTCCCCCAAGAATATCCGTGATGCGTTAGGTAGCAGCGATAGATATATTGGAACGGTGTGGTGTCATCGAATCAGACGCAGAAAGTACATACTGTCTGTTCAACTTGTGCACTGTGCCTTTGGTGTACTAGTAGCCAAGAAGCTTTAGGGATTATGTAGAACGATACACCTATGAAGAGGCTACCGCTGCGGCTGCAGCAGCAGGAGCTGTAGAACACTGGCAGAATCCGAGCAAGCATACCTACCCACCCTTGCCCACACCTAGAAGATCCCCCACTTCTACTTTTTCATCCGTTTATGTTTAGTAACTACTCCGAGTAGTGTAGTTAGTACCCTCTTGAGTGTGCATTGTCGGTTGCGCTTCGACGTAAGTCTGGGTACATAATGAATGCTTCATGCCATTGATTATACGCTATCACCATGCAATTTATTGAACGTTTTTGGCCGGCACGACGACGTCGACTGGCCGGGGGGCGAACGGCTTTTAATGGATGTGGGTGGTCAGCCTACAATAATGCCTAATACTACCAATCTTTTCCCTGCAAAGTGTGCCAATCATAACGTAAACCCTTGGTACCACCACCACCGACTGTACTACCTAGTTGATGGTGTACATAGCCAATGTCATGTCATGTCGCAGTGGCCACCGCCGCTTCCGCCCAGACTCTTTACGTAGCCAGCAATAAATGTACTTGTTGGACGTTACAGGTTGAAAGGTCGTCCCACCCTTTGAACCCGAAATAACCTGGGGCGAGACAGGGCGCTATAAATATGTACCAGATGTCGACACAAAACGCCACGGATCCAGTTTTCGTTTCGCGTCGTCTTGTGTGCTACTACTTAGTACCCCTCGTCATGTCTTGGTCTTCACAGCCCTACGAGCACCACCAACACCACCAGACGTCACCTCCTTCGTCCGTCCTACATCCACACCACCTCTGTGCTATCGCATCTTGCCCGCGCTTTGCAAAGCATCTTCGGCTGTGCCTGCTGCACATGCGAATCGCTGACGTGTCGACCCCGCCGCCGCCATCGGCAGGCACCAGCAGATTGTTCCATCGGCAATTACTCGTCACGCCACGCAACCACCCGATTGAATCGTCGTCGGCGGTGCCGGCGGCATCGCAGCGACTCTTGTACCCACGCCACCATCACCACCACCACCATACTCCACTTCATGCGTCCGCAACAACAACAACACGACGGCTGCACACTCCATCCCCGTCGTCGTCGACCCCACCCACCCCCTCCCCAGCAGTACCCCGCTCGCTCCTGGCCCTCCTCACAAACGCGGGCACGTCGTCGTCCACGGCGCTGTTGTCTGTGTCCACTCGAGTCTGCAAGCACCCCCTGTGTCCGAAAACGGCCAAAGCGGGGGGGTTTTGCATTGCGCATGGAGGCGGCAAACGCTGCCAAGCCCCTGATTGCATCAAGAGCGCCAAAGAGGGCGGGCTGTGTATCGCCCATGGCGGGGGAAAACGCTGCGGGGTCCCGGACTGTGCCAAGTCAGCCCTCGCGGGGGGGCTATGTGTGGCCCACGGAGGCGGAAAGCGGTGCCAGATGGCGCAGTGCGCCAAGTCCGCCGTCTCCCGGGGGCTGTGCATTGCACACGGGGGCGGACGAAGGTGCCAAGTGCCGACGTGTATCAAGAGTGCGGTGGGGGGACAGCTGTGTGTATCGCATGGAGGGGGCCCGCGGTGCAGCATGGCTGGTTGTGGTAAGGGCGCCGTGAGTGCTGGCTTGTGCATCCGCCACGGCGGTGGCCGCGCGCTCAAGACCGAACACTAGATGCGAATGTGGGAGTATTTTTATTTAACGTTAATATTATTTTGGTTCTGTGAGTAGGATGTCCTATACATATATTATGGAGGAGACGATGTGGTATGATTGTGTGTTGCACGACATTAGAAGCAATCATTCATATACAGCCTTCATAAGGTTTCTCGGAAAGACGGTAATACATCCAGGCTGGGCGTATTTTGAAGGGGCTTTAGAAATAGGTTTTATTGAAAAAACTCACTTCAAAATAGGTTTTATTTTAAAATAAAACTATCGACCCTGAAATCCGTCCACACTTTAAGATATTACATCGAAGTAGGTCTTTTCACCAAAACCGATAAAACCTAGCGGGTCGAACTCCAAATCTTCGGTTTACTGTTAGTATTCCGTGCCTGGTAATAATTTGGTCGTGAACTGGCTTTCAAATTCGGCAAAGCAAAACTGGTGAGATCACGTTAACGTTAGCAGCAATACATACATACTACTGTATAACGTTACCGTTGATCGACTAAACTGTTAATAAGCACTACGCAGTATATTTAGTGTGGGCGATGATGTATGTGACTTGACGTACACCTGTACCATAATAAGCACTAGCAGTATATTTAGTGTGGGCGATGATGTGACTTGACGTACACCTGTAGCATCGACTAGTCACGGATTGGCCGTTTTCCAATGTCCAGGTTGAAACGGATTTATCGTGGCTAACTTGAAATAGAGCATGTTTGATTGGTTATAAGAATTGCTTAATGACCAATCATAAGAATATAGAAACACCTCTATTCCCTTAGTTCAGTATGTTTTGCAATGTTTCATTGGTGTAGGGATGTAATATGGATAGATCTATGGAACCATATTTCCACCAATCAGATTGAAATTAAATTTGAGTTTGCCACTTTGATTGGTGGAAATTACGAGGCGGCCCATTCGCAACAGATTTTCGAATCACTCACCTCCCCCCCCCATTTTCCAAGTCCCGAACCAACATGACCCGCGGCGACCAACGTGACCGAGACCGCGCGGTACCACAACTCCTCCCTCCATGAACCAAAGGTCTCATGCGCCATGATGATATGCGTAGAAAGCACAGGCGCGCTTGGCCAAGAACAACCCGAAAGGTGGTCGCACCGATACCCTGACCCCGCAACAGCGTCGGGAGGCGGACGCGAAGGCCCTTGCCGACAAGATTGCCAAGAAAGCAGCAAAAGAAGGATGATGGCACAGACGAACGAAGGATAGCAGCTCCTTCGCCCGCTGCCTCGTCGTTCTAGTCGTCGGGGTCGCTTGATACCTTTTAAAGACACGAATGTAACCTTATTTTACCAGCATTGCGTCATATGCATGGTCGTTTGGTGAATTGCTCCATGTCCTGGAATGCAATCGCGAAACCAAGTCACAGCCTCATATCAGTGGAGTATATAGCTGTGATAGTTACGTGGGTTGTCCACTGCATAGCAGTCGCGATGGCTTTGTCCATGTTATGGATGTGCAAAAATTGATGATATTTTGAGTGTTTTCATCATGTAAGAATAAATAGATGATTGTATCTTACATCATAATAGATGATTCTCATTTACAACATATATCTGATGTGGCTGGGTTGTTCAACAGCAAGTACATACCCATCCCAAGTTAGGATAGATAGCTTCACTAAATACAACTTGGTAATACAATTATCGATCCATTGTCGGGACGCTCGTCTAATGTTTCGTTGCGGTAGGAATGTACTGGATATTCCATGGCTCATCTATTGCTACGATAAATAATTCATTTACACCCCTCTTTGTACACAATATCTACCTGGACTTAATAATTACCTGGTGTCGTTCACAATAATTACCCTGTTCTACAAGCTAAAGTGCAATTTGTCGTTTGGAAGTTGACGTGCTACTTGACGATGTTGGCCAGGACTGCCATGACGGTCCACATGCGATTCTCCGCTTCATCAAACACCAGCGATCGGTCCGAGTAAAACACCTAGCCAACGCATGAGCCATCCGTCACTCGTCCGAGTGCCACGTACTTCGTCGTCGACTTCCTCGGCATGGCGGGGCAGGCAGTGCAGGAAGATGTGGTTGGACGCCGCGTGCTTGAGCATCGTTTTGGTCACTTGGTACCCTGCAAAGGCCGCTACGCGCTTCATGGCTTGGTCTTCTTGCCCCATGCTACCCTCCACATAAGCCATGTACCTTTTGCAAGATCATGTACAGCAGATCCAAATAAGTGTTTGACTTGAGATGTGTATGCAATGATACACATTTTATTCTTCAAAAATCGTTTTCCGCGGTTGAAATTTGAGCTAAGACCCGGGACGAAAAATCTCAGGTAGTTATTGTGTACGGAATTGCAAGGGTACACCGAAATACTTTTAATAGTACTATAAAATTACAGTACTAGTAGTAGGTGTTCTACTACTGTACATATACTGTAGTACTACTATTAATAGTACTACACTTACAGTACAGTAGTACACTATGTACCGTAGTACATAGTACAAGTACTTCGGAGTACTCCGGAGTGTACTACTGTATTCTATTAATAGCATGCCGACTTTGAGGAAACGTTACTTTTTCTTCAATAGCTACAGTACGTAACGAACTACGTAACATTTTAGCACGAGCTATTGTTAACTTAACAACGTGTAACGTCAATTGTGCTTCTTATCATCGCAGCAAGGTCCGCACTGCGTACTACGGCAAGAGGCGGCGGCGGCACATAACCAGTTCGTCATGGATGGAGGGGTTGACGCGGACTTGCTGCTCGTGGTGTGCTGGGCGTCCGCTGCCTACATGCCGGTGGCGTTGGGGTTGTATATCAAGCACCGCAATCACCCGAGCATCAAGTACCGCCAACCCCACCTCATGGCGCTGGAGTGTGTGTTGTGCATGCTTCAATGCTGGGGCACTCCTGTGATGGGGCTGTATGGGGGGGCATGGGCATGTGTGGTGGGAATTGCTCCATCGCTGCTTCTCTTTCGAGTCACAGGGTATACTTGATTATTTTGTACACAAAAAACAATAACAATCATACGATTGAAACCAAATGTGTGTCGGGGTAGGTTGGTGTACATGCTGGCCCAGGGCTCGGTGGTGGCGATGTTTGCGATCACGGAACTGCTGGCCCTCCCCCAACAACGCTCCCCCACTGCCCTCAAGCGAATGCAAGCGTATCGGTGGCTGCTCTTTAGGCCCGTCCAAGCCCTCGTTGTCGTCATGGGGGGGGTTTTGGCCATCGGCATCGGCCTCCTAATCTTGCCCAAGCCGTTGTGGACGTTAACCTACGACACATGCAGCGTTGAACCTGCTGTGGAGGTACATACTGTAGTCCAAACGTCGACCTGTTTGTGTTTCTGGCACTTGCATCCTGCGAAAAATCAGGATTCGTATTGTATTTGAGTGCCCTGGCACGTATACTATATTGATACAGCTATACGACCTCTTGTGCCCGTCGTGCACAGGGGAAGGGGGGGAATGAAATGCATGTGTATTCGATGACAATTATATATCATTCCCGACGACACCCTAAACATATGATGAACTTGGATCCTTTGCATTTCCCAAACAAATAATAACGTTATATCCCTTCAAACACTGTTTTCTCCTTCTTCTTCCTAAGGTATGTTTGCGTAGACGCTGTTTATCACGACGGCGGTCGAGTGTGCAGTGCTGGGTGTCTCGTCCTTGTACTTGTCTCGACATGTGAGTAAAGTAGTCGACAACTTTGGGTTGCGGCAAACGTACTGGCGCGCCGCCGTCGCCATGCTTGTGGTGGCCATGACGGGGGGTGCCGTCATGGCAGCGACCAACATGCAAGGTCGAGATGCCGTAGCCTTTCGCGCTGTGCTGCACTCAGTCGCGGCGCACGTCGTCGTGGTGTGTCACATCGTGCTGCCAGTGCGCCGCCGACTCGGTACGTTCGCTTCGGTGACTTGTGTTCAATACTATCATGTCTGTAATTTTCGGTGTCGTAGCCAACAACAATTGGGTCACTCGAACCGTGGCGATCCAGCCGTTGTCGTCGCTGCATTCGATGGCGGCGCCGCTCCAATCCATCAAACACTCTATGCACCTCCTCCCCTCCCTAAAAGCCACCACCGCAATCAAAACAGACCATCAGCCATCCCTCACGAAAAACGCAAGTTACACCAAGCTATCCAGGGTCTCCCCCGCCAAGTTGTCGCATTCGCCGTCGTATGGTACTACCGTATATCTCTATATTTGCATATATATAGTAATAGTTTGATGATATTGGCACGCCACCATGATGATACCACGTCATCCGTGGTGAAGTTTTTTTAATGCAAAAATCCACCCACATGCACTTTGCCAAGCACAACCATCCTGTGGATTGGGGTGTTACCGATAAATATACAGTATATACTACTGTATAGAGATATTACAACCCCGAAACTCCGAAACCCCGAAATCTCACTATGACCCGTGCTGGTAGATTCGTCGCGGCGCCTGCCACCGGCAAAGGACATCCATGCATTGTTGGACGATTTGACGCTTTTCCTTGCCACTCCTCTCGGCTTTGACGCGGTGTTGGCATTTGCCCAGAAGGAAGCGCACACCCAGGAGCTGCTGGCGTGGGCGATGGTTGAAAAGTACAAGCGCAACCTCGTGACCGCGCAAACAGTGTACAACCAGTGCTTGGAGCCGCAGAGTTTGCTGTGGTGCAAGGCGGCAACCGACATCGGGCCAGCCGTCGCGCGTATTTTGCGTGCCCCCGCGCCGCTCCTCCACGTGTACCCCCCGACCCCCGCCTCTTCGTCGTCAATGCGCCACGTCATGGACGACTTCTCCGCCAAGTTGGTCAAAACCATCTACTTCAAGGTCCTCCCAGGGTTCCAACAGCACAGCCCGGCGTGGCAAGAGTTCCAAACCACGCTGAAAACCATGGACTTGCTCGAAAGCGTCGACAAGATGACACAGCAAACGTCGTCCACGGCCAACAACTTGTCCAAAGTGTCCAAGGCAGAGCAGCCCCTCCCAAACTTTAGAGGGAACGCCCTCCAACACCATTCCGAGTGGTCCCAGTATGGCAACTCGACGTCCGTTGCCCCGTGCAACAAACCCACCGAGTCGTTCCGAAAATCTGAAATCTCCCAAACCATCACCCGATGACAATGCACATACTCCCGGTGACCATCATGGATGTCTTTGCTTTGGGAATCGCATCGTAAACAAGAATGGGGTGGGTGTTATTGTGGTGTGTTTATTCTGACATCGAGAATGAATCGACACAACCAAACATACAGAAGAATCGGCAGAAGGATTTAGCCATATCAGATTGCAAGAAACCATCATCATAACTGTTAGTCAAATTAGATGTGTGACTTCAATTAGTGTGTGATCCCGAGCACCACAGGACAACTTTTTACATAACGTTACAAAATTTACAGTAACGTTACAAAGAATTGATCGATAGATTTGGCGATTCATTACAAACGTCCAAATTTTGGGTAAAAGGACAATAACTAACAGGCTTCCAAAGGACAGGAGGGAAAAATACAACAACTCGTCGGTGCAAAGACTGGTAGACCTTGTGGTATGAAGATATTGATCTGGAATAATTTCAGATTCATTGTAACTTTGTACTTTACTCGGTGTACTCCGAAATCCCGAAAATGTAGCGTTAATAACGTTAGTATTCGTACAAGTCTTAGTTTTTGGACGTAACGCTGGCCCTACTAGTAGTACTAGTAGTACTAGTAGCACCTGCTAGTTGTTGTGTTTTCGTGTAAGTTGCCCGTTGATTACTTGTAACTTATTTAAGCAAACGGACGCTTAAAATAATACTTCGAACATACTAGTAAGCCTCTTTGAAGTTACATGGCGATACCTGCTTCAGTTTCATTGCGACACGGACCGTAATTTATGACTTGTTCGTGGAATTCGTAAGGTGGCTGACCTTACTTTTGATTACTAACGTTAGCCAATCAGAGTACATCAAGGTTTCTTTGTCATAAAATTGGCCAAGACGATCACTTTTATCGACTTCGAAAATACACAACCCAGCGATTCACTTCAACTCACACCAGCATCAGCTAAATTCTCATGTCAGCGATATACCACACTCTCGAGTACAGGCATTATCAGTTTTCCTTGCTTAATCGTTGTTTTATAAACTCTCCCCAATGGAGTCGACATCGAATGACGAATGCTCGATGCGAATTTCTCGTTAGGAAGGACAAACAGCATAATACGTACGCCGCAGCCTGCGGCAAACAATGTAGCAATGAGAATGGAACGATCCCATTGGCCAGTTATTTTGATTTTTCTATTGGACTAAAATTTGGTAAGGCAGACTGCCTTACGAATTCATCAAAAAGATGCGTTTAACTGGAAGCTTCTTTAAATAAAATTTGACCTATTTCGGATCGATATATGGAATTCGCAAGGTGGCTCACCTTGCGAGCCTAGTAAAACATACTGTTTCACCTTACGAATTCTGTGTTATGACTTCGTTGTGGACGTAAAGCAAACTGTTTGCCACAATGAAAACAGCAAACAGCATGTTTTATGAATACTAGTAGCTTGTAAAACCACGTGAACCAACCAATCATTGTTTACTGTTAGATGAAGTAACTTCACTACTACTACGTAGTATAATACAGGTAATAGTACCAGTACGAAGTACTCGAGTATTAAGCAACGCACCCAGGCGATACTACTATGTAGTCCTTCGAAGTAGAATTCAAGTTACTTTATCGTTACTATACGCATAGTATTGTAGTCTGAGAACTTTTTAAACTATAGATTTAACGTAAACAATCATTTTAAGATAAAATGTGCATGAGCCAATGAAAAGACGCAAAATTTCATTGAGCCAATGAAACGACGCGAAATAACCTAACCACATATTTTTTTGCAAATAGGATACGTTATTCAAGATCAAAATATGCCTCCAAAATTGATTGCTAAAATTAGATCAAACATGCTTGGTTTTTGTTTCAGAGGTCGAAAATGTTGTATGAGCGGGGAGATTTGGAAGTTCTCCCCAGCCGCCTTCCTCAGATACGTCTTAAATTGATTGTTTACGTTAATGCTACCTTGGAATTGCCAAAAAAGGTGAAAAACTTATTAGTAATACTCGACAAGCAAGTAACGAACATCGCGTCACCACATGGTCATGGATGATGCTTGGTGCCGTTCAGTGCAAATACTGGTACTACTACGTTTCTTCCAGAAACAAATCGAACAAAATCCTACTATTAATACGTGTATCCTTGCAATACATTATGGCAATGATGAACTGGTAACAACTCAACTGGCATACTATTAATAGTCCTATGTACAGTGTACTATGTACTTGAGTGCTGGCCACTCGTTGGAGTCTACACTGTACTACTTGTGCTACGGATCCAAAGCAGTCATAAAAGCTCGAATATCCCACCATGTCCTGCCTGGATTATTATTTCGGGGTTAATATGGAGTGTACTATTAAACACATTTGATAGTTACCACGCTTAAAACTCAAACCGTCCTGTCACATTCCATTATTGTTGGTGAGAGATCAAGCGCAGTACTACTGTACCCCGTAATCACCAGTTCGTAATTCCATTCATCATGTCGTCCAAGGTGGAATCTCCTTGCACTCGGCTGCCGTCTCCTGTGACCCACAACAACCAGCAGCCCATGACTACCACCACTCCCGTGAGCTGCTCCCCTCATACATTTACATATCACGAGTGTGACAAACCCCAAGCAGCCAGCCAAACCAGATCTGGTTCGACAACGTGGACACCGTTTCGCACGTTACCTCATCTGCAAACTTGGGCATCTAATCGCAGCAGATACACTCACGTCGCGGTATCGTTTGTGGACATTTGTCTTCGCTCGATCGGTCAATGCTGCTTTCAAAACTCGCCCCTCTCTGGGCTCATGTTCGTGATAGCCCTATGTGCGTCTGCCAGTGGCTTGGGTATGTACATTGCAACTGATACAACCCGCACACAAACAAACCTGTCACTGTTTACTAAACGACGTTGTTGCTGTGTCTGTAGGCATGGCAGGGCTGGCACTCCTTGGCTGCGTATCCGCGAATACGTTTGCCATCTTTATGGGGCTACCTCGCCCGTCCGTGGCCGCCGGGTTGTTTGGCTACAACGCTACACTCGTGGGCTGTGCGCTTCATGTCTTTATCGTTGGAGACACTCCCTGGTCATGGGTAGCCCACGGCTACGTTCTCTTGGCTGTCCCGTGCTTGTCAGTGCTGTCGGTACTTGTAGCTTCGGCCGCCATGTCCGTGCTGCCCCCTGGCACCCCCGGGCTCACACTGTCGTTTCAATTGACGACGTGGATGTGGTTGTTAGCCACACACAATTGGTCTGTCCATGTGTCGGCTCCATTCGCTCCATCTCCCCATCTCTACCTTGTCCACAACTCTCCACCAAATCCTTCGTACGACGCGGCAAAAGTGAGCGTCGCGGTGGCCTCTGGTGCGTTCCGTCGAATTCTATATATGTTTATATTCAAAAAATAATCATTTGAATTTAAAAAAGATACTACTATGAATGAAATTTTTATTTATATATTACTGCTATGGATGAAAATTTTATTTATATATTACTACTATGATTGAAAATATTATTTTAAAAATTTCATATACTTTTTAAAAAAATATGATTTTTACCTACGTTAGTGTGCATCTCTCAAAACACTATGTAGGCTATACATTCTTGAATTTCGATTTTGTTTTTCTTTCGTGGGTAGCTAGCTGCTGATGAACTGTAAGTACATGTACATGCGTATGTGCAGGAGGAGTCAGTTGAACAGTTTCGGGTTTGCATTGACATGTGAAAAACGATTCGGTGTCCTATTGCGTTGTTGTGTTTTTATATAATGTGCTGCTTATTACTACTACCTCCGCTTAATGTATGGAAGTGATGGATTCATTGGACTATTTCAAACCTTAATTAAGGGTCTAAGCCAAAACAGGTGGTTCTGCCTGGACTATATACGTATACTTCCATCTAAATACAGAATTTCATTTGGAACCGATAGAAAGTCTTAATTAGAAGAAAAACCTGGACGTTAAAAAGTGTCAGGAGGATGATGATCATTTTTACTGTGTTTCGTCAGTATACGGAGATTTCTGCTACAAAATATAATTTTTATATTTTGTAGCAGAAATCTCCGTATATATTACAGAGGTTTTGATGAAAATATGTGGTATAGTAAGATACTCCATACCTGTATATACGGATAAAAAATGTACGTAAGTGGTAAAAAAATCTATCAATCATAGGCAGTAGAATCTATCTAACTATCTATGGTTAAAAAATATTCTGTGATATTGTTGTTTTGTATTGTCCTTTGAGTCAATAACTTTGGATTATCGTGCTGGTGCACCAAATCCATCAAGATCGGTTCTTCTTTGTATTATTTCATTTTGTACGTTAAGTAGTACTTGCAGGTTTACACTCATGCACGTCCCACCTGAATTTGATGTGTTGAAAGCGATATTTTTTAATTTGCCACTTGATTGGTGTCGATCAGTTGTCTCCGATTTATTGGTGCTGTTCCCCCCCCCCTCAATTCCATTTCGGACTATATATATATGTTAATTTCATTTCGGACTATATATATATATATATATATAACCATGGACACAATGTAATGTATAACTTGTACAGGGATAGCGCAGTGTTGTTTGGCGTCCGAGTGGTATGCAGGCATCCTGATCTTGGTGGGAATCGGACTGTGCTCGCCCATATCTGCCGCCTCTGCAGTGCTTGGATCGACCGTTGGTACCCTCTTGGCTGTCTCCGTGGGGGCCCCTCCCGAGCAAATTTACCTGGGATTATACGGGTTTAACGGGGTCTTGTGTGCGACAGCGTTGGGGGGGGTGTTTGTGTTAGCTCGGGGGGGTCGTGCCCTGCTTATTGTGGTCGTGGGGGTGGTGTGCTCGACGCTTGCAATGAGTGCGACGATGGGAATGTTTGCGCCCGTGGGACTGCCAGCTCTATCGTGGCCATTTACGCTCGTGACGTGGCTCGTTCTATGGTCTGCCAAGTCCATGAAAGGTCTGGTGTTGGTGGACTTGGCCGAATTGCAAAGAACCCCCGAAGACCATTTGGAACACTACGACCGACGGCAACCAGCCCTCTTGGCAGATAGCGACAACGTCGAGGTTGTTTAATAGTATATATTATATACGAACAAGTTGAGTTCGTTGAATATATATAATACTAGTACTACTACTAGTACTACTGAATGATTCGAAATGGTTTGTGATGTGGAGCCATGACGACGACGTAGTAACGAGGAATAGGGCTGCGATTCATGTTCATGGTGGTGGCCTTTAGCACAGGAATACTTCTTAACTTTAGACTACAGTATAATTTGGTGTATTTACAGTTAACAATATCCAAATTTACGATATACTACTAGTCACAGTAAATATATACTAGTACTAGTACTTCGAAGTATTTATGTAGTCGTACTACTGTACGTACAATTGCAGAATACAATTCAAAGTACAGCCAGTGATATATAACAGGATATCTAAATCTACGTGTTACCAGTGGTATATAACAGTACTCCGGAGTACTAGTACGTGTTAAGCTTAGTATTTACTGTGACATTGCGACGCTACGATAGATAGCAATGAGGACACATGTCGAATACTACATCCACCGAAGGATTGAGCCATGTGGACAGGATTTGTCTTGGCTTTGTTGGGCTGTCGATAATAAATAGCGTTCATATAGTACTACTGTATATACACATCAACTTGAACCTTCGATTTGGCTTTGAAAATGGCTATTTATAGGGTAGGTGGTGTACACAACCTGCACATTCCATCGCCACACGAACCTCATGAAGCGAGACTACACTCTCAAGCGTACGACCTGTCAACCTACTGGGACTGCTGCTGCTACTGCTGCATCGGATGCGATTTGTTTGTAGATGCTACGTCGAATCGGTTGTTGCCCAAGATTGAGCGGCCACTGCTGCAAAAGAAACATTCAGTTCCTGCCATCTGCCTCACCCCCATCGAAGCCATGTCGTCCAAAGTAAACGAACTTTCAATCATTAACGACACAGCCCGTACATATACGCATATACACGGTGTTTGGGGTGTGGGATTTCATTATTTCACCATCGCACTTGTGCACTCCAATACTAGACACAATTTCAGTCCACAGAGTGAACCTCCAATGTCGATGTTGAATAGGAAGCGCAGCTGTCCGCACGCCACGTATGCCACCGCACGCCCAGCCACTTTGAGAACATCGTCAAGGTAGAGTGATCATGATCATCACATTCTTCAAATGTCCTTGTTCCAACTCGATATGTTTTAGTCCAATACATGGGTACTCAAGAACGCACTAGCATCCGAGTCGTCTCGGCCGATTCGTGAACTCCACGTACGATTTTCCCGCGCCTACGCCAGCTACAGACTGCACGAGTTTGCCAAAGCACTGGCAGACTTCTCCCACTGCATCGACATTGAACCGGCGTGGCACTTGGCCTACTACAACCGAGGTACCCAAAAAAAATGTATTCAACCCCCCCCTCATCCCCCTACCGCTTAATACCTTTTGGGTCTGTCTGTACCCCCGATAATGGCTGTAAAATGTGATCGACATGGATACAATTCAATAAGGTGGGGCCTAATTTTTCGTCCTTCCAATGAGTTCGGATTGGCCATTTCGACTTTTTGGACGACTTGTTTAATTGGATAGAACGAAGTATCTGGAGAAATTTGACCAATATAAAGCGACTTGGGTATAGTGCCACCAATTTACCAAAGATTAATTTGGTACAACTCTACACCTCATCGTACAAGGAAAGTGAGGCTAGTTGGCCAAAATTTGGAAATATCTGCGTTTGGGCTGATTCGACAACTCCATCGCACTGCAAAGTGTAACGATTTCACACTAATTTAATCACACACTAAATTCAAGCGAGGTTGAATATTTTCTGATTGGACACTTGGTTCGTGTTTTGGTTTTTGATTGGTCGATCGATTGACTACCGATTGGTTTTCCAATGGACTTGACAATACGAGCATACGCCTAGATGAATTTATGGGATTAGCGTTTTCATACGTTTGACCCAGAACGACCCTAAGTATATATATATATTTAAATGTTGAGGGAATACATACATATATAGGCTGCACGTATTACAAACTCGGTCGACTGGACGACGCCGTTCGAGACATTAGCAAAGCCGTCAAGTATGACCCGAAAAACAAAGTGTACCTGGAAAGTCGGGCCACGTTGTTGCGGGAACGGGTACTTTTATCATAATATTTATATATAAATATATAAAGTATATATAGAATGTATATATCTACTCTCCCTATCCAATTTGCTGATTCGTATTCCAACGATCCCGATCAACTATAGGGAACGACACATGCTAATTGACCAAAGTGTAATTTTTATCGACGTTTCTAAAACTCTATCCACTCCTAATCGAGAGATTTGAGTTCTTCTGGGCCAACCTTATGCTTGGTTGAAATACAGCCAATGAATGATACGAGGAGTTCCTCTAAAATACTGGTACCACGTCAAACAACTAGCACGTCATTCCCAATAGTTATACTCGTCTGGCCGTATATGTATCTAGCAGTGTAGTGAACATTATGCAACATGAGCCACATGTCAATCAATGTATGAAGCGGTTGGCTTGTTCGTTGGGTAGGGGAATTTTAAAGAAGCGATTGAAGATTACAACCGGTTGGATGCATTGATTATCAAGGGCGACGACGAAGACCAAGAGGTCCTCAGGGATGACGACCGACCGACAAGCAGCACATCGTCGTCCCCTCCCAAGCCCCCCGTCCTGAACCGGCGATACAGCACCATTGGCAAGATTGTACTAGCTGAAGACGGCTTGCACCCATCCCTGGCGTCGCTCTTGCACTTGGTAAATATATATATATAGATTGTCTTGCAAAATGTGGACATTTGTGTGCTGATTTGCTAAATCCGTCGATCGATCGACTTGTCTTTACCCAGTTTTGTATGCAAAAAATAATCCAGTGTCACTGATGTACAAGTCACGCATCCAGTCTCACACTTATGTACAAATCAGACACTAATTTGATGTCGTCTTGCATGGCTGAAGCGAGAATTTGATTGGCCACATGATTCGTGGTCTGAGTTTTGATTGGTCGACCGATTGTCTGCCCGACCGATTGTCTGCCCATGTCGAGCGGCTCATTCGATTGTCCAATTTCGAATCGAATTGACAATATCTCGAGTTGTCTACAGTGTTGTTCACTGGGGGGGGTATTTGATGGATTTAAGTTTTTCTTGTATGATTGGGATATATATATATATGATTTTGCCTCATTTCAAGCATTGTGATGGATTTTCATAGCCCCACGAAGAACGAACGCGGTTTGACATAGTGAACGCGTTGCCATTGGCCAAAGCCTGGCGCTTCTTCCAACAACAAAGCGAGGTACTGTACACTATACGGTACACTAGACGACCCACACTAATTCGAGTCTAGAGTGTCATGGAGTCGTTTCTGATGGCGGGAGACCTTGAGAGCGTGCCCGCGCGCAGTCATATCTTTCGTCAAGGTAGTACACAGGATTTGCTTGATTTGGTTAAGAGTCGTACTAACTCTGTACGGAAATGATTTATTGATTTGGCTGATTTTTCATGGTTTGAACAAGTATATTTCGGCCAAAATAGGTGGTTCTTGCCTGAGCTGTAGGTATACTTTTAAGTAGAAAATATCATCAGGAACCCTGATTTCACACTTTGGAGAGTCCGAATTACAATACCCTTGATGTTAAGGGACAATTTTTTTTAGGAATGATGATCATGTTCCCTGTGTTTTGCTACTAATTTGATGAAGGTATATCTGATTAGTAGCAGGAATTATCCATATCCAGAGGTTTAGATGAAAATATGTGGCACAGTAAAATAATCAATGCCTTTATATACGGATAAAAATTGTTCGTAAGTGGCAAATCTATCAATCCTTTCCGTACGGAGATAATATCAATCTAATAGTGTTCACGCCAGATCCTGTTTTTTTTGGGGACGTGATCGAGTGATGGTCTTGGCGTGTTCGCTCAAATATTGACAGCTGTATCACGAATCAAATGTATGTGTCAGATTTTAATCTTCCTCAATGTATGGTATACATATTTAACGATGTTCGGCCAATCGCCAACTTCTGCTGATCGGACGATTGGTTTCAATGTCTCAAGAACGTTAGTGTAATTTGATTGGCTCGAATAATCTAAAATACCTAGTTTTGCCTAATTCTGTGCGATTCTACCAGGAAGTCCGAATTTGACAAGAACATGGTGGTGTTCATTAGGGGACGACGCGGACTCGTTTTATATTTTGCTCACGGGGAGTGTGGCTGTGAGTGTCGAGATGTTTGGTAAGAACATACTTTGAGAAGTAGATGCCATGACGTGTATCATACATACATGTTCGCTTGGACGTCTTGTAGAAAAGTTTTATTGTTGATTACAAAAAAATGAAAAAAAGTATTTTAGACCGAGTTTGAATGCCACAGAAAATTCAATATCAAATAATATTTTGACAGAGCATTTTCAAATGGGAGGTGAGAAAATATTTTCATGTGACCTTTGGATATCACGATGGAATGAGAACTATTGCTGGAATATCACGCAGGTAAAAATTCGACATTCAAACTTTTTCTGTCAGATAACAGTAAAAACTCGACGTATTATTTCAATATACATATATATATGTCAGATTTGGTAGCCAAACACACAAAAAGTTGTGATTTGAAAAGAGTTCATAATATTTCTGAAAGTTGACAAAATTGGGGATTTCTGACATTTTTTATGGCAGCCAGAGTGGCTCTTAAACTGTAAAACGTAGTATGGTTGACTATCTACAATTTTTGTTTTGCTTTGAAATAGTTGTGTGGTCAAATATATATTTCGACACACCAAAAATAAATTTCAAAATAGAAAACGGAACGATTACATCGAAAAAGGTATGCACGCTCCTTCCTGGCGACGGATTTGGCGAGCCGAGGGAGATCCAGGGGCCGCGTCGAGCTACTGTGACCGCACTCAGTAACGTCCACTGCCTCGTCGTCCGCCATACCTTGTACCAGCATGCCATGCGCGATCACATGGTAAATATATATAATAATATATACTGTATATATATATATCAATGCGACACTGTCAAAAAAACGAGGAAAAAATGATTTTTTCGCCGTATTCTTGAAGATATTGTTTTGATATTTGTATTCGTCGACTTATATCGGTTTGCATATGTAGCTGTCTGTGTTTGAAGAAAAGTGCCACGTGCTGCGCCATTGCCGCGTGTTTGAAACGTACGTAGTCCTCCTACTACAAGTAGTACTACTAGTACACCACCACCGCTACTACTTAATTTATATACTCGTGATTCGTTGCCATTGGCCTTGGGTTTGATTAATTATCCTGTTGTGTCATTTTGAGTACCGTGATGTTAGCTGCACGCCGGCGGTGGTGGAACAAATTGCACAATTGTCAAGTGTCCTCTTGTTCGAACCGTATCGGACGATTCTAAAAGCAGGTGAGCTCGTGGACAAGTTGTTCGTGATCAAGCGCGGCGTATGCCACGTCACCAAGTCCCTCGCGCTCGACCCGAAACGCACACCAGAGGTATACATACAATTTCCAAGTCTATGACGTGGCCGCACCAAGGCCATCCATGATTGATTACTTCAACGGACAAGTAGAAATCCATCTATCTATACATGCGGCGAGGCAGGCTACAGGGTTGCTTTGCTTGAATTGCTTCATGATATATATATATGTTCTGGATAGGCGAAACGCCCGAGTTCAGTGGCGAACAACATGAAAAAGAAAAAAAGCTACGACGGATCGTGGGTAGTCGACAACGGGTGGCAGCTCACCAACCCGCGGCTACGCAATGAATTCCTAGACATGGGTATGATGGGAAAGATATCTACTGCCATATAACATATATGGATCAGTGAGTATCCACGATATTGCCATATCGAGTTGTACTGGACATATATTGCTGTATGGTGTCAATATCGAACGATTTGGTGTACCCAAGTCGCTTTATATTGGTCAAAACTCTCCAATTAATTTAGCCAATGTTCACGTGAAAGCGTAGTTCTAGTCCAAGTGTATGTATACTACTACGATGGTCTGGCATTGGATGGAGTTACCAGTGTTGAGGGTAGTGTGTGGTTTGTTGTTATTGGTTTTCGTCTTTTTTAATGTGTTAGGTTCAACATCAGTATATGTGCATATTATGAATAATGTTGCTCAGTGGTGTTTCGGGGTTTCTAACTGCTGACTATCCTAGACCAAGACCACTCGAGCTCCAGCTCGTATATGGAAGTGACCGTGGCGACATTAACCACCGGCCAAGTGTTTGGCGAGGTCAGTTTGCTATCAAGTATATATATATATATATATATATATATAAATCTACAAAAAACGGCAACACGAATGACACGATCCGTCCTATCCTTTGCCACGTACACTAATGCTTTCTTTGATGCTTTGTTTTGATATTAGCCGTGTACAAACGATGAATTCACAGCATCCACATATACATACTGCAGTAGGTATAGTGGTGTTGGTGTCATACTTGTTTCGACGTTGCCAACCAACTAAAAAGTATGCTTTTTTATAAAAAAATAAAGAATTTTATTTTTATTTTGGGGTAACTTCTACCTACTACATGCGTTGATCGCGATTGTCAGGCACAAATAAAAAATATATTGTGAAGGCTGAGTCTGGATGCCACAGAAAATTTTAGGTGAAATAATATTCTGGCAGAGTTTTCCTTTTTCAAATGGGAGGAGAGAAAATGTTTTCAAGATATTATGATGTGACCTCTGGATGCCATGAAGGAATGAGAACTATCCATAGAATAACATGTGGGTAAAAACAGTTGCAGTTCAAACTTTTTTAGGAAACAGTAAACATTCGGCGCATTTTGTCACTTTATATATGTCAGATTTGGTAGCCAAACACACAATGACGTTTGAAAAAATTGTCATAATATTTATGAAAAGTTGCAAAACGAGCAGCTGTTTTCTGACATTTTTTGTGGCAGTCAGAGTGGCCCTAATAAAATAATATTATTATTTTTCGCGGGGACCTTTCTTGGTCGATCCGGTTGCTCGATCACATCAGGCACCACCACAACCCTCCAAGAACGTACTATACTACGTATACACCGTTGAACCATCATGTGTTTCATCAGGTGTGCGTATTGCGGCCCAACCAGCCGTCAACGATCAACGTCACATCCACAACGATGGTCGAAGTGCTCGAGCTCACCCAGGAAGGGTTGGCCCAGATCAATCTCAAGTACAACAGCCGCACCATGAACGCGTTGCAAGAGTCTTTTCTGTTTCACAACCCACCCAACCCCAAGATCGCACAGCTGTACAAAGAGAGAGACACGTGGCAGCACGACAAGGCCCGGATCATTCGAGACGTGTTGAACCGAGGGAAGCAAACGGGGCTGGTCAAACGGGGCGCGGCCAATGCTACGACCAAACACCTCGACGGGCTGCACCACCGGTCGTCGTTCTATGACAACCACTTGTAGTACATCCTGTATGTGGAAATGGAATTATATTTGATCATGTAGCAACGTGTGTTTCTCATCAGGGCAACTCAGGAACGATACTACGGTAGTAGAAACCAAAAGTATAATCAGATTGTTCAATCGAATGTTCACAAGTGAACTTTACCGATGGGAGTACTTATTAAATTGGCTTATTTTAGGTCCAGATGAGAGAATCTCACATGCAGAGAAAGCTCCCATCCATCATGATTAATTAATTGACTGTGAGTTATTGTGGATTCGGTACACAATTTTTCCAAACCCCGTCGAATCCTACCTCGCCGCCGAATCGAATCACGAATCGACGCTAGTGGCTAATCCAATTCAAATTGGATTTGATTGGCTCTTTTAGAATGGACAGGTTGTATATTCAACCAATCAGAACTCCAGTGTGATTTCATATTGTGTATGGTGATTCGTGTAATTTCCGCCCAGTTGGCAGCCAATCACAATTATCGAACGAAGATGATTGGATAAAATATGGTTATAGATACGACGCAAAGGTAGAATATGTCACCAACTTACTGTAGGCCATAATGTTAGCTTAACTATTTCCTTGTGGTTTCCGGAGAAGGTGCAGTGCACGACAAACCCTGAAAAACGTTCAATAAATCTGGATACAGTTCAACCAAGACTGAAAACCGTTCAATCTAATAAACTCTAGTTAGATTAGGCATATATTTTGTACTCTCTGACCACCTCAACTCTTAACCCCGGGGATTTAGCATTATACTTCGAAGTATGTGCACGCGGGGATAGAACGAAGTCCCGGGGTTACAGTGTTATGGGAAGAAAATTTGCTTGAACGGTTTTCAGTCTTGGCTGAATGGTATCCAGATTTATTGAACGTTTTTCCATAGTTTCCTGCAGTGCAGGTCCAAAAGTGCGGCCTTTTTTGATCGGATATCCCAGGGTTGATGAAGTGTAAGCGGTATATATATTGATTGGTAATGACGAGCGGCACTTGTAACTGAATACCAACTTTTGCCACAACGCCCAGACGAAATTATTTCGAAAGCCAAACGTTCAGCTAATAAATACTAAAGTAGTACTTACTATATGTACAGTACATACTGTAGTCAATGGAATCATTCCATGTACAGTTAGTTACCAGTACGAATGAAGAAAGTTTGATGAAACATCCTGTAGTGTGGACTTGTATGTACTGTATTAGTATGGTTGATTTCCACTGCGGACCTTTTCGTTGGCAGGACTGCTACTGTTGTCATGGTCCTATCAAGCCCAAACTTGACGTTGTCAAATCGATTAATGTTAACGTTAATTCGAAACTGGAGCCCTCAAATTAAAGGACTAAAGAACCACCCAAGCCAATCAAATCACGTTCTATCGTATTTCTGCCAATCCAAACTTCAGCCCAGTTTGTCCGCATCCGCAAATCCGGTGTACTACATTTTGTAATGTATAGTTTGTATTGGAGATTCGGTATGAATTTCCGGACCCCGTTCAATCGAATCCCATTGGTAAATCCGAAATTACTTGTCGCTGATTGGCTACAATACATTTTCGAGTTTCTACTGGAAAGGGCGAAGTGGATATTGGCCAATCAGATGTCTCGGGCTCGATTGAACGAACCATGCAAAATTGGGAAATTTGACGAAAATCGACAATACTACTGTAGTACAAGCTTAAATAAGAGCCAATGGATTCGAAAGCTATTTGGCAAAATGAATCAAAAGTCCAAATTTGTGTGAAAGCATCAAGACAGTAGTAACCTTAACGTTACGTCATTTGGATTTCCCGTGAAGTCCCATGAGTCGACCGAAGTTGAATCTTGTGCTCACTTTATTATGGCCAATCCGGCGCGCTCCTTTCAAACAAGTTGGTTTGATTTGTTGATTTGGGAATGAAATCGTATTTCGAAGTGTATAGGCCAATCAAAGTACGCCATTTAGTGAACACGATACTATTACTGTATATCCTTGATTGTCGGTACTGTCACTACTCCCTATAACATACCGGTACTAGTACTTCAGAAGTACAATGTCTTTTCAACTTTGGGGTAGTTGTAGCCGCATAGTCTACTTACTCCCTCTACAAAGTACGTTCTAACACGGTAGTACTCGTTTTGCTTTCTATTAACTTTACCGACTGCAAAGTGACAGCAATACTACACGGCACAGAACTTATTCAAAATGGTTTTCGAACTGTGCAGCATTTCTTTCTCCAGCTTGAATTAAATTCACTGGAACATTGTATGGAATTCAATCGAAATGCGAAATCGTCAAACTTTCACTTGGGTTTTGTATACTCTGTCGTGGCCGCAGGGACAAGTGTTGGACACTGCGCGAATAAAAAGTATTTCGATTGTCGAGAGCGGCATTTCTTCATTTCGCAGCATCCAGTGACATCCTCATCGTTACATGGCGCGCGAACCTTCGACGCCGACGGCGACGCCCTACAACGGCGGCAGTCCCAAGAAAGAATGCAACGATGTGTTCTTCTTGCTCATCTTCCTCGGTGTCTTCGTCATGACGATCGTGTTTGGCGTGACCTACGGCGGGACCCTCGTCGACATCACCAAAGCCAAGGACCTGAGTGGCTCGTCCGGGTTCAAACTCGTGCTAGAATACGCCGTGTACGCGGGAATGCTGTCGACGCTTCTCTCGATCTCGTGGATCGTCGTGCTGATGTTCATGGGCGAGTTCATGATCTGGTTCACCCTCGCGTCGATGATCTTGGCGTGCATCCTCACCGCCATCTTCATGACCAAGCGACTGCATGAACTCGGAGACTCGTACTATTGGTGGCCCGCCGCTGTGTTTGGGACCGCTGCGCTTCTCCTCGGGCTGTACACGTACTGCATCCGGGTACATCCATCTCGTCGTTGTACTTTCTCCCCGTGTGTTTCTCATACGCGACGTATCGATAGAACCGCGTGAAATTCGCCGCCAAGCACTTGAAAGTCGCCGGTAGTGCGTTGTTCCGACTGCCGTTAATCTTTGTCGTGACGATTGCCATGGTGGGGGTGCAGTTGGCGTGGGGCGTCGCATGGGTGGCTGGGACGTTTGGTCTGCTCAACCGAATCGGGTACATCGACATCCCGGCCGCGTGCACCGACAACGTCGTGTCGTCCAAGACGGCGTGCAACGTGCATATCAACTACGGCGGCGTCGTGGGCATCTTCTTCTTGATGCTGTTCGTGTTCTTCTGGGGCGCGTTGGTCGTCGAGGGCATCGTGGCCGTGACGGTCGCGGGGACTGTCGGCACGTGGCGCAACAACGTCGCGGCGCCGTGCATCACCGTGTCGTCGTGGCTCCGCGCGTCGACGCTCAACCTCGGCAGCATCTGCTTTGGGTCGTTGGCGGTCGCGATCCTTGAAACGATCCGCGCCGTGGTCGGCGTAGTCCAGTACATTGCCGCTGCCGAGGGCAACTGCGTGCTTAGTTGCATCGCGGGGTGCCTCCAGTGCATCCTGTCTTGCATTCAAGGATGGATGGAAGTGTTCAACCGGTACGCGTTCACGTACGTGGGGTTGCACGGGTTTAGCTTTGTCACGGCCGGCCGCCACGTCACCGACTTGTTTGCGTCCAAGGGATGGACCGCGATAGTCAACGACGACTTGGCGTCATGGGTGTTCTTCCTCGGCAATCTCGTCGTCGGCGCGCTCTCGGCATGGATCGGCCTCCACTTTGTCGACGATATCTCGTCCAAAGCTGTGTTTCCTGGCGTGGCCAAGCCAGAGTACTTGGTCGTGATCAGTGCCTTCTTGATTGGGTACATTGTCAACAGTGTATTCATGACGGTCATGGCGAGCGCTGTCACGACTGTGTTTGTGCTGTGGGCAGAGGACCCCCAAGGATGGCAATTGACCCATCCCGATCATTATGCCCGCCTCCACGCCGCGTGGCTCCAAGTTCACCCGAACGAGTACAACGACGGCCACGGCAAAGCCACAACACCCGCCGCCGCCGTGTAATGTCATGTCTATTTTTCTCGTGTGTGTTGTTGGTTGGCTGCTCTCGTTGACGTGGGCAGGAAGTAGTAAGTACATAGTATATTGTGAAGAGACTTGCTGGATTCGAGCGGTTGCATGGAGCATCCTCGTCCTCCATAGCAATCTCTCATGTTGGTGACTGACGGCGGTATGTGAGGTGTGTACGTTGACGAGATGATTGTTTCGCCAACTTGGTGCGCTACGGACGTACTGTATGTACTATGTTGGATTCGAGCGGTTGCATGGAGCATCCTCGTCCTCCACAGCAATCTCTCATGTTGGTGACGGCGGTGTGTGAGGTCATCACATGCAAGTGTGTCGTCGGGCCGCCTCAGTCCGTCCCGCCCTGCCGATTTTCCGAACTCACCAGTGTCTCAAACGTGAACCTCCAAAACATGATACGATAATGTATGAACCAAACCTCTTATAATGGATATATGGATATATATACTACTACTACTAGTACAACATTACTGCAACATAGCCATTTAAGCGATCTTTATATTATTTTTCGATCGAAGTTGTAGGAAATACAAAGACCAAGTGGAGTGGATGGGGACAATTAAAAAGTGTACAAATTAAATGCTGCCCTCCCATTCGAGTGTCACACACAGGGATACTAGTCATGGTTAGTAAGCGTTCAAAACGTTTCCTACGAAAGAATGTTTGTGATCGCGCTACGAATCACTGCGTCGTTCTTCGCTGTGTAGCGAGACATGGCAAAGTCCATCCTATTCCCCCCAACTCGTATCGATATCACTGGTAAGGCTTCAACTTTGGTGAATCACGTGCGAGATTCCTTGATAATGAATGCCACATGTATTCAAGCATTCGTGGTGAACCTCCTCCCATCCAAACCGATTTTTCTATGAAACGAACGTGTTTCGAACGGGTCGGACGGCATCGAAACTAGTACCGTGGGCGGACAACTAGTACTACTAACAACACATCCAGCGAGGATGGACCCGCACTCTCGCGACATACATTCCTCTTGGTCGTCTCTGATTGGTGAATCATAATCGGGCTGTTTCGACGTATTTATTTTATTCGTATTCTCGTATTGGAGCGCCTTGCGAAGCAGGCGGGCTGACGACAAGACAAGAAGCGCTGCGACGACGACCGAAGAGGGCCTACGTGGATGGTAGCATGCAATTAACCGACATCAATCAGCAACAGATCTCCCACTCGACAAGGAGTGATGGGGGAAGGAATCACGTGACCCTTCTTCCTCCACATTCCCAACCCTCGTCCACCACCGCCCCTGTCTTGTCGTCTCCCTCCCTCTTGTGGCCGGCGCCGGCCGCAAGCCTCACGACCCTTGAGAATGACCTCCACGATGCAAACACTCATGCGTTGCTGTGTCGACCCCATAACACATTAGTCACCAACCTTACGACTACACACCCGACCACTACTGCGGCGGCAGGTGTCGGCGGGCTTCCTGCAGCAGCAGGTCTCCTGCGGAAAGCTACCGACGCTTCCTCCAAGCCAATCGACAACCCGTTTGAATCTTGGTATCGGGCCAACAAACCTCGGCGGCTTGCCCCCCGACGAGCCGCGTCCTCGATCTCGTGTTCCACGACGCAGTTGGGTGACGTTCCGCCGCCACCGGCTTCTTCGATGCTGTCCTTCTCATCGTCCTCCTTTCCGTCTATGAGCGTTGGTGGCGGTGACTGCACCGACAACGAGGATGACTACAATGAGCCGCGTCCCATGGAGGTGCTCGCTGGTCCGTCGAATGCAAGGCGACACAAGGCCGTGGACGATGCGCAGCGCCATTTTCGATGCATGGACATGGCGTGCATGATGGACGTGGACGACGACTTCGAGCCGCCGCCGCCCGTGCTCGTCCGCGCCCAAGCGCAACTGCTGCTCCACTGCGAACACGTGGACCTCACGTGTGAAAAGTGCGGCAGCGTGGAGCGAGTCGCCATCTCCTATTAAGTTATTTCATCGATCGATACGCACCAGTAACAACACAGAGAACACAATACTACAGTACCTATTTGTCGTACCTATAGCATAAAAAGGTAAAAAATACCATTCAGGTCTGTTGGAAGAATATATTTAAATATTGCAGGGGTTGTTTATATTTTTTAGTTAATTTTCGATTGTTTTGAAGTAAGTATATATGAATATATTGACGTGGTATTTTTCATGGTGCAGATCAACGACAAATATACGGTCATATAAGGCCCAGTTCAGTGCACGAGCTTAGTACAGAGAACCGAGTAGGAACTCGCGCACAGTGGTATTTTGAAATATATGGGGAATTGTATGCGAATGCGCTAGTTGTGATTCTGAGTACGAATTATAATTTTGGAATCTGATTAATTTTATTATATCCAATCATACAATTTACAAACTTTTTATAAGCATATTATTGGTTATAATATAAAATATGAAAAAAATACTATTGGTTGACGTCGGAATTTATGAATGCTCCATGGAAAAAAAATAGTGTCGATACCACTCGGTTCTCTGTATACGTACTGTATAGCATATCGATCCATTTACTGTTAAGGCTGGCTTGGTACTGTAGACAGGCATACCGGGTATGGGCATAACGTTGACCAAAGCCACTTCCTATTATTGTCATACTGCGCAATCTAAATAACATGATGTTTTATTCTTGGTTGGCTGTCCTAATAACTTTTTAGTTATACTACTCTGGAGTCCGGAGTAGTACGGTGGACGCTACTGGTAGCTTCGAAAGCGATGAGGAATACTGTGAATGATCCATGTTACCTCTGAATCCGTAGATAGAGGTTTACTGTTAATCATAAGTGCTACGTAGTATGTATTAATATAATCATACAGTACGTACTGTATAGGTAGGTACTCAGGATTCTCCGCGACCAGCCCCAAAAACGTTAACTTACAGTTAATATGCACATGCTGGTTTAAGCGGGCAAAGTACTGTACGGACATCTAGTATATCGCATGTTAGCGTGTTAAAGTCTTCACACCAAAGTCACTTGACAATCCCCACCAAGCCATCATGATCATCATGACCATTGTCCACATTCGGCAAACATGGAGGACATTATGTAGTGCTGCGTTGGATCAAGTAAGTCGATGTCGAATTGCATGCTGCAGAAGTCGAACATTGCACGACGTACTGTAGCACTGGATACTATTGATGTGTACAGTATAAGTTTGTGCCTACAGTACTGTACGACCACGAAGGCTGCACTCGCCTCTTGATCGAGCGAGGTGGTGACATATCGACCTCACACACACATGACAGCAAGAAGGCGGGTGATCCCGACTGTATTCTAACGTTCTTGGCCACATTCGGTTCTAAAGGCACACCTGCGCCGCACAAGAGAGCAAGCACAAGATATTCGAATCGAAATTGGAGTACGTAGTGGCATAACTACGTACTCCAATTGCGTACTCCAATTTCGTTAGTAAATGATCATATTCGTAAAAATACCATTAACGTTATACTACAGTAGTAATAATATTGATAATATGATACAAACTAAACCACACCACTCGATGATACTGTCATGTTCGGGACACCGAAGTTTAATGGAAGTACAGAATATTATAGCCAATAAGATTTATTTTTATTAAAAGCATTTTGTGATTGGCTTAATATCGAGATTTCCATCGAAGTTCGAAGTTATTCAACCAATCATTTCCGATGAAATGGCAAATTCGAAGTAGCAAGTGTCCCTTTAAATCCGTTGCCCCCAAGACTTGACTGTCACTTGACGGATACTACTACCGTCTAGCGTAATACATGTCGGACGCTTATATGAGTCAGACACCTGCAACCTTTCATATTTTTTTGGCCACAGACAAAAACTTATTTATACAGGTAGACCTTTGGCACCACAATACCCTGTAGCATCTAATATATACACTAGAATTAACAGTGGTCGAAGGCATCGACCGACCTTTTTTCCAGTTTGAACGTTCATGGATGAAAATTTTCTCAAAAAATTGTTTATCTGCTCAACTTTTTCTGACGAATTCAATGGTGTTGTTCTTTTTCTGTAAAATTGGATATTCTCTACAAATTGCTGCGTCAAATGTAAGAATGATTGTGATTTTGCATTCTTAATATTGATAACTTCTAACAGTTAATATGCCACCCTGAGAAATTTATTTGCGTAGTCGGCAGCGGATACCTTGACACGCTTGATATCAATTTACATATGTTTTGTGCCTTCAGTGTTATTGGTCAGTGTGCCAGGGGTGGGTGTATGACATGTCATGTCTCGGTGCCTCGGTGCAACGACCAGTCATTCCAGCAGGCACACGTAGATAGAAGATACATAAAACATTATCGGAATTCACTCTACTGTACACCTGCAAATGCCTGAAGTCAATCCTGAGCTCTACGACGAGATCACCAGTTTCGTCGACAGTGAACGGTCCCGGAGCTTGTCAAAGGACGAACGTCTAATGATACTACGCATGCATGCTCAACTACGATACAGTGTATACCAATACTGTAGGTGTTGCAGAGCAAATCGCGAAGCTTATCGGTAGAAGCCTTCACTCAGTAAAGGAAATCTGGTCTGAATACCAACGTACTAAGACAGTCACTACTGCCAAAGTTACTGCGAATAGATCTAGCCGCAAAACACGCATTCCAGACACAAAACAAGTCTTGTCTATCATTCAATCATTCGTTCGTGAGCATCGATTAACACGTACATGAGTGGTTGCAAAAGATGTGATGAGTTTGCTCCTTGAGCACAACATTGTGACCTTCGACCCAACAAACAAGAAAGAAGGAAATGCGTGTTTGCGGTTAGTACAGCAATTTTTGGTAAAAAAGGGATTTCGACGCGGCGAAAGAAAAGGAATGCATTCAGTAAAGCTATCTAACGATGTTGCTAGTGCTAGGGATAAATACATTCAATACATGTCTGCCGCGTTTGAGTCCTCACAGCCTCGACCGGTCGTATATTTGGATGAATCCTACATCCATCACCATTACGCGCGCCATAATGACAGCATTTACCACCCTGATGACGCCTACGCCTCCAAGCCAAGACACAAGAGACGGAGACTGTGCTTCATTGCTGCCATCATGGCAGATGGCCGTGACAACTCGAAACTCTTGACCTACGAAGCGTTTGAAGGTTCACGTAAGCAGCCCAAGGACTACCACGCCATGTTCAACGATACCTATTTTGTGGTTTGGTTCCGGCGCCTCCTCGATGACGTTGAAGCTCTGGGAAAGTCAAACGCGATCATCGTTTTAGATAATGCGAAATATCATAAAGGCCTACCTGATGATACGCCTAAGGGATCGTGGACGAAGATGATGGAAGCTTGTGTGGCGCTTGGAATTCCAACTGAGCCCAGGGAATATCGTTCAACGCTATGGACCAAACTCAAGAAACACGTCGCAGACAACGTCGTACCTGTCATCGTGAAGATGGCGACGGACCGCGGCCATGACGTCGTCTTCACGCCGCCGTATCACTCCGACATGCAATCTATTGAAATGGTTTGGTCGTATATCAAAGGTGGTGTTGGTCGTCAATACAATACCTCCACCAAGTTCTCCGACGTCCGCGAGAGGCTGGATCGTGAATTCGATCGCCTTCCAAGCAGTGTGATCTACGATTGCATTTGTCATACGACGCGTAAGGTTGTGGACCTGTCAGCGTACCTACAGTCTTTGGACGACGTCGACGACGCCGCGGGATCGTGCTTTTCGTCGGACAGCGAGAGCGACAGCGATGGCGACAGTTGTGGCGATTGTGACTTGGCTGATTACGACGGTCATGAGTAACACCTGTAAAATTTAATTGTCGTCGAAATAGATATTGTGGATTGTATAAGTTTTGGTGGGAACGTGATCTCTCTTACTTTATAGATTATCCGGAATGTCGGTCGATGCCTTCGACGACTGTAAATACTATGTATGCATTTATAGAGGTAACTATTAGTTTTGACAGGTTTGTGGTGGGTCAACGCGGCACACACCTCGAAAGCTCATTTTCGAGACCATTGAATCGGAAGCTCCTCGTGCAGCGCGACGACCCTCAACTGGCCGTCCAGTGTTCAAGAACTGGGCCAAGAAGCGCCCCAAGCAACACAAGAACACCGTAGCTGACTACCGTGAGCGCAAGGCTGCAATTGATCATTACGAGTTGTTTGGGGTGCAGTCTACCCTCGACTCCATGTACGGCAGGTTGGCCCCAGATGCCCGTGAGACTAAGCGTAAGCTAATCTACTCCTGGGTTGCTAATCATCCACTCATTGAACGCATGGCATCGAACCCACGAACTGCAACGATGAAATGTCGGCGCGACCTTGGAACCGGGACGACGTTGACTGCCGAAGCCAAGGAGCAGCTTGTCCAGTGGGCCAAGGGGATGAGAGCGAATGGCGTACCGGTGACTTACAGCATGCTTCGCATCATGGCGTTGGAAGCCGCAATTGACCTTGGGCTCAGCGAGGACGAGTTTCGTGCTGCGTGGCACTGGGTGGACGGGTTCAAGCGGCGCCATGGCCTCTCTCTCTCTTCGCGCCCGAACTCGTATCGGGCAGCAGACTCCGGAAGATGGTCTTGAGGTCTTGGATGACTTTGCGAAGCGCGTCCAAGAGATCGTAGCTCGCGAGGGCATCGACATTATCTACAACGCTGACCAAACGGCGACCAACTACGAATACCTCCCAACCAAAACGTTGAACAAGAAGGGCGAGAATACCGTGTGGATCAAGTGGGGGGGCAAGACCAAAGACCGCATGACTGCCATGCTTTTGGCAGACAATTCAGGCACGAAGCATCCCTTGTTCTTGATTCTACGCACGTCCAAGTCAAAGATCAAAGCAGTCATTCAAGAGAACCTAACCACTCGACAGGGATTTGGCAAGCGCCTGTGGGAGTCCGATGAACCGATGCAAGCTGCGAACGGAGTTGTGATCCATGGCAACCCTACGGCGTGGTGGAACGCGTCTATCTCAATGCAGTTCCTGAAGTACTATTTCAGCGAGCGGCACGATCGTGCGACCAAGAAGGTGTTGCTTATTTGGGACGACTTATCAGCGCATTTTACTGACGAGGTGACGGCCTACGCAAAAGAGTTAAACGTCGTGTTGGAGCGTGTTCCTCCAAACTACACGTGGATATGCCAACCTGCTGATATCGCGTGGAATCGACCCTTGAAGGCGCGCCTACGACAAAACTGGCTTGACATGATCCGTCGACAGCTGCTCCGGGCCAAGCAGCGTGGTACCGTTTTCATGCTGGTCCCTCCGTCGCGTGACACCATTGTGTCTTGGGTGTCGGGTGCATGGGCTGACACTGATGCAACTACCATCATTAATGGTTTCAAGAAGTGCCGCCTCGTGGATGGAGTACATATGGGAGAAGTTGTTGGTGAAGGTGTTGTCGAGGACGATGTGCTGGCTGCCCTGATTGCGACGTGCGCGATTGAAGAAACCATTGACCCGGTGATGGACTTCAGCACTGCGGATGCAGCTGATGTTTCAGCATAAGATTGCAAATTTATTTTGTATAAAATCATTTTGCTATTTGTATATTGCTCAATAGTTTTTTATAATGCAAAACGTTCTCTTACTTCTGCTAACCTGTATAATTTAGTTATTGTTTGCAATCCATATTTTTACAGGTTGGTTTTGAAGCACCCTTATTATTGAAATTTGTATGTCTGGAGCGAAAAGGAAAATTTTCTGTGTTGTGGCACTTTATGCGGATTCGGATACGACACATGGGTGTCTGACTCGTATTACGCTAGACGGTACTCACCAAATCGACACACAATCGATGATCGACAAATCAAAGCCCAGATGACGAATCAAGTAGCCAATCAAACATCCAACACTCTTCGACCAATGCTGCAAAGTAACGTGACACTCGCCGATGATTTTTCCATACAAAAGTCAATACAAACAATCCAGCAAGCGATCAAAATCATCACAAAAGTCACCAAATTTTGGATAAAAAGGACAAGAACAAACAATACCATAAGCTGACGATGTCGTCGACGTGTACCAGGGCTCGAGGTCGTGACTGCTATATATACAGTTGTAACATTATGATAGCTTGTAACATCAACAAGAGAGAGGAAACAACATATCACAATTATATAAAACGATGCCGCTATACATACATATACATAGCTCTCATATAGACTGCGACCCTTGATCCCTACAGTACATATGATTACACACGGAATTGGTGTCATCGGATTGGCTAAAATATTTGTTTTCTCGGCATTTGATTGGTGGATACACAATCCATATCGAACCCGTGTCCGTTGTCGATTTGACATCGCGTCTGGCGGCATTTCCATTTCTACGGCTTTTTACCGCCGTCCATACTACGTCCTCGTCCTGGATGAAGGCTGTCTTGATGATGAAGACAATCCTAGTTGTGGCCATGACCTGTATGTGTCCCCTCCACCGATGTCGTTGTACCCGTCCTCATGATCCGTTGTAGGTCTCGTGACAGCAAACACCACGACCACGTCGCCGCCGATTGTCACAACAACGGTCCCACCCAGCACCGTCCCACCGGTGACTACGGAACGGCCGTCCACCACATCATTACCACCAACGTCTCCAGTTACTACGTCCGCTCCGCGCCCCACAACTGCAGCGGCAACCACGCCTCCCTCCCTGCCGCCCATCGTCCCGGCAACAAATACACCCATAATGACCATCCCTTCGATCCCCATTAACGTCAAGCCTATTCTGACGACACCCACACTCCCCCCGACCGCCGTTGCAATCATCTCGTCCATCCCAACGAAACTTCCAACGTCCGTGGACGAGCTCGCGCAGGCGTTGAACTCGTCCACGACGTCCCGGCCGTCGTCGTCCAACTCGTCTGTGAATGCGACTTCCGCGGACTCCACTGCATCCGACTCGTTCTTCCGCATCGATAACGGCGCCATGTGGGGCACGTTTGCTGGCGCCACCTTCTTCGGCGCCATCGTTGTCATCGTCCTCCTCAGGCAATCCACATCCACCGACGATCATCGTGGATCGTCCAGTCCATATTCCCCCGCCCACACCAAACCTACAGTACGAATAAAGATCTCAATTTTATTTCTTTTTTACCATCTTATTTTATTATCACTTGATCGATCTGTCGTTTTCGCTTTTCACCGCTCACATTGACACTTTTTTCATCTGTTAGATCGTTTTACGCATATGTTAGCGCCCTTTAATATATCAACTAGTTCATTTTTAACTGATATATACTAGTATACATATATATATATAATCCGCTCATTTCAGTTTGAGTTTTTTGTCCACGTTTGGGGTCTTCTTTTTATATCGATATTTAGTACGATTTGATATATATATATATAATTCAACCTCATGTATATGTCGATATGTCAAAATGTACGTACTAGTTGATATGGGGGGGGCTTGATCATACAGATTTACAATTTTACTACTAGACATCCTTTTGATTTACCAGAAGCGGAATTCATTTCTGGCTCTAAAGTGCACTATTCTAATTTATTCTAAAACCTGAAAAATAAATAATTGTACTTTCTTTTTTACGAGAATATTACTTTTAAATGTTTATTCGTACGATATACATTGTATATATTCATTCTACTGCAAATTCCTCCGCCGGTTGGTTCAATGAACTGCGAAATTTCGGGCGACATCTCATATACAACTACAGTTCAGAGGTATCACATTCGACCTTTTTAAGTCAATCAAATTGCAACTTTATTCTTTTGAACCAATCATATTGTATCGTTTTAGCCAATCATAATGCATCCTTCATTATTTTGAGCCAATCATCTTGCACCCTTCATTCATTTTAACGAATCACCATCATACTGTATACCCTTCTTCATTCCAAGCACCCAACCATCAACTCTTTCGTGTAAATCGCCCCATTTACTTGTTTTTCTTTCTCTTTTGTTGGTCATTTCAACAATATCACCCAAAATAACATGCACCATATATATATATCTGTAGAATGGAAATAGCAGCAGCAGTAACGCCAACCATCATGACAAGCGGCCGTGGCAAGGAGGTGTCGTCCAAACGCTGGAACCTGGCGCGCCCCCTCCCGTGCTCCCAGTGTCTGTCAAGCCAGTTCCATCCGCCAACCCCCCCCATGCCCCCCCTCCATCTACTTCTTCCCGTCGAAACTCTCGCTCGTATACTTTATCTCCAGTCTACCAACAGCACTACAACAACGACTACAGCAACCAAAACTATAGCAACCAGAGCAACATTCCCTCAAATCGAAAGCAGTCGGCGGTACCCATGTTAGAACCACCATCACTGGCCCAATATGAAGAAGAAGACCATGGATTTGACCGGTATTCAGTCGAATCGGATGATATGGACATCCGCCACACAGCGCCAGAGGACAGGTTGATGATGCATGGACATGAATGGACAGCGGCGGCGGGTACTGGTTTGCCGCGCAAGGTGTCCGAGGCCGACACGGAAGGAGACATTGGCGACGTTGCACGCATGAGTTATGCCAGCACTGCCATGTTTGAACGGGATTCCACCGCGTCGAGCCGATACTCGACGTCATTTACAAGCCATGGACCAGTTCATCAATATTATCACCACGAAAAGCAGGACCTCCCAGTTCGTGATTCGTACGAACTATAAAAACGAGAGCGGACGTATTTAAAAAGTGCACGAATCAATCGAACATGTTGTTTGTCCTTGCTGGACGGGGCCAAAACAATAAGTAGGTTTATATTGATCATACGCATTTTCCATTGGTAATCCAATCCGAAATTACTTGTCGCTGATTGGCTACAATACATTTTCGAGGTTCTAGGGCGAAGTGTATAATGGCCAATCAGATGTCTCGGACCAACCATGCAAAATTGGGAAATTTGAAGAAAATCGACAATATAGTTACTATTAATAGTTTGTGTAGGTAGGTGTGTATATATATATATATACAGTATGCGGCGTCGACTGACTGGATGGGAAAGCCACGATCGTGTCATGCTTACTTTGTGTTTTACACGATTTTGTTTAGATTGTCATTTTATCCTATATTACACCGCTGTCCGTAAGTAGTGTGGGCACTTAACTTGGCTTCCTTATGAGTGTAGGCTACATACATTATTAATAGGGAGTGCTCCTCTATGGCGACCTTCAAATACATGGAAATATAGCTTATTTGGTGAAGTCTCCACTTGGTAGGTGGTATATATTATCCTCAGTGTCGACGCAAAATGCATCAAATAGTTAGTATACGCGTCGGAACTGAAGGATGTACATATGTAGTAAATGTAACTTTAAAAAAATGGTTGGTCATAATTATTAGAGAATGTGGTGGATTTGTGGTCATTTTTGCTTACACTAATAATATGTGTATTTCAATAATGCACGCTACAATATTCATGCGTTCGACCCCCTCCAAATGACATTTCGCCAATAGTCTAGCCTACACTAGTTACGGTGTAGTAGTAGGGCTTTCGTGATTTCACGGCATCTGATTGGACAAAATTGGACAATTTTGAGTTCGCAAGGTGACCTTATGAAAAATAAGAATCATCAATACAAACTTGAAGATATATTGAATTGAAACTATACAATTTCAGAACTATTTGTGGAATTCGCAACGTGGTTGTTCACCTTGCGCAGCATACAAAATTGCCTATTTTACCTTGGTTTTTCTCGTTAATGGGGATTACAAAACTACTAGTACGTATTAATAATAGGCGGAAAAGTCCATAAATTGGATCAAATGGATTCAAAATGCAAATTCGCGAAGATCCACAAGTCCAAATTCGGGTGAAATGCTGCAAAATAATCGTAGTACATGTAATAGTATATAGTGTGTTGCGAACGTAACACGTACTACTCACAGTCAACACTCAAGAGTACCCCCAATGCAATAAATATCCCCTCCATTATTGCCGAAATATCTATGTTCTTGCGACCACCTCTGTACCATCGTCTAGGACGTACGGCTTTGAGCCTACTAAACGGACCGTTCGATGGTGTCGAGGTTGAGGCGGTCATGCATTCGGCAGTGGAAACACTTGGGTGTACAGCTTGGATTGGTCCACCGATATGCTATGAACATTTTGCTGGACGATCCACTCGATGCCTTCCGTGAATGGGGCTGTGGTGAGCGACCCTCGGTACCGAAAATACGATGACGTGTGCGCGTCAAGACGCAACGATGTCACATCCACGCTCGATATGTTGACTGTCCCGGGGTGGAGATTGGTCACGCGACGTAGCTCTGGCCACAATTGAGCTATGAATGGATGCGGCACCTCTTGGTTTATATCAAAGATGACGGCGACGACCCCTTTCACGTCAGAGTGATTGGTTGAGCTGGCCAACACAATGTGCAACTCGAACGGATACTGCATTCCATTGAGCCAGTGCTCGCTGGGATGGTGAAAGTGACATTGCACTGCGTCCAAGGTTATGGTGTGGTCATGCAAAGCGACTTGAAATGGCGGCACCGACCACGTCGTTCGAAGGGTACTGGGAGTCGCAGTGGATGTGGCGGGAGGTGTTGGAGTTGTTAGAACCCAAGAGAGGACGGAGCCACCTTGGTTGTACGTATACGTGGAGCTGCTACTGAGCTTGATTGGAGACTGATGTTGTTGAGATGCAACCAGCACCGCCGCTAGCCCCACAAGAATGCCTAGCACAAGCTGGTGGTGGTTCGCCATCATCGTGATTTATTTGGAGTGGCATAAAGATATGAAACGATCGATTCCCTTATGCAAGTTGGTTATTGATTTGACAGTAACTACCAGTGGTAGGTAGTAAGTTAACGTTAGTGTGAGTACGACGTACACATTTGTGTCGTTGAGGCTAGCGGGTTCAGTATAGTGACTAAGTATATCACTTGACTCAAGGAGGAGGTGAACTTTGTAACCTCTTTGGACGTGTGCATGTGAAGGGCAATGGCACGAGTAGAAAATATCACGGATAAGTTGCATAATATTATAGCGTCATACTGTATGACATCCGTCATCGTGATTTTCAGATTCACATATACTGAAGGCTAGCTAGATAGATAGTGCTGCCAAATTTTCAGTCGCAATCATCCTTGTACAGAGGTCATTCTTGTAATGTTACTACGGAGTGGTCATACCGTAACCATTTCGTACAGTCGTACGTTGGTGCTGATGACATGGTTGCGAAACCTGTCTATTGTGTTATGTTATCGTGGGCGGCCTGATATTATGATTGGAGTGTGCTCCAAACATACTCGAGTACATGATTTCCACGCTAGCCAACATGCATTATTATAGTCGTAACGTTAGTAAAACCTTAACATCCCCAATGGTGCGTTATAGACTCGGAACCTCTACAATTTTGAGTGCCAATTTAAGTGGTATATTTTAATCTTCCTTTTTGTATGTAATTGTGAATAGAAATTCAGAAGTTCATGTATGATTGGTGCATATTCAAATAACGAGCTATGATAGGTGCATTTTCCTACAACCTAAATTGGCACATACGTCATAAATTGGCACTTTACGTTAATCAGACTGTATTTTGACGTTTGCCGTCACTGTATTTACTTTTTTGCATCCCCAACGGTGAAAACGGCAAATATATAAAAAATGCTCACGAGCAGTGAACCAAGTCAATAGGGTAGTCAAGGGAGGCAACTCCGATCTCAATTGCGCTGCATTTTCTATACTACCAGTAAGTACTAACGAGATATCCATGTTTGCAATTGATTGGTGAAAATACTTTAAATAGTAGTCAATGATTGGCTCCTGTATTTTGCTCTTCGGTGTTCGCAAAACGGTAGAAATGGCCGAATTGCCATGTTGCCAAAACCACATATTTGACCCCAAAAACGGTAAAATAGCGTTTACCGTCGCATTATTGGGGATGCCCTTACAGCCCAAATGGGATCTCCTCAGGATAAACTATACTATCGACAGTCTCCTTTCAACTTCCCGTATTTTCCCCCATTATGGGAGGTCCAACAGCGGCAACTTCTTTTTCCGTGCAATTCTGCCTTCATAGTCTTCTATTACACCATCACGGAATGAAGGGCTCAACTCGTTCTTGAACGTAAACAGCAAAGTGTACAACTTGGTGCAGCTCCACCCCTACGCCCCCAGCGAACACACCATCGGGGGGGGGGTTCGCACCAAAACAAGAAAAATCTGGCTGTCGTGGGCGTCTAATTTGCCATGGACCAGTATAACTCACGGAACCAGTTTCGTGGACCAACTTTTCAATGAGTGGAGTGTGCTGGAGCCAATGCATACAAAACCCCGAAACCCCGGCGGAACAACTGCAAATGTGGTAAGATGTGATTCACCGCCCCAACTATTTTTAAAAAATATTTTACTCCGTACAGGGTACTGGAGTACTATTAATAGTATTACTACGTAGTAGTTTTTATCATCCACTCGATGTTGCAATGCTCCTTGTTTAGTGGCAGGATCATTCGAAATACTGCGGAACCCGCCCCCCCGTCCCCCCCATGCGACATTACTCACTACAGCTGTACAGTACTGTAAACGTTCAAAGTACAACAATGAACAAATTTGTCAACTTGCTCAATGAACTACATGTACTGTACTGTACATTTCAATCTCGATGTTTTTGCCTACTTCAAGTGTACAGTACCCCAGTAGGAGTATTACAATTATACTACTACGTACTACGTAGTACTACCGATACTTGTGCGTCGAACAACTACACTACCATGGTATGTAGCATTAGTACTACGGAGTACTGCCGGAGTAATCTAATTTCTCATAGTATTGCACTACAGTACTGGAAAATGCGTGGAAGTACCTGAAGGGCCAAATCGACCATTATTCGATCCCAAGGATGTATACTTGGATGCAGGGGGGCTTTCCTCTTTGCAGCAAGTAACTTAGTAAACTATCAAAACTATGTTCATAACAAGGTGGAACATAACGTTACTAAAAACGTAAAACAAAATATATATACATTGGCCGACTCGTTTAACGACAACCTCCCGTCCATATCAAAGCCAGTTCAACACATAAACTACTACGATGTTTAGTCATCGGCCGCTTGAATCAACGTGACCGAACGACCATTCAGTGCCTGCACGGGGCGGGCGTTGGGGTGATGAATCACATTGAACCACGCCGTCAGTTGCTCCTTGGACAAGGTCTGCACCTCTTGCAACACATTCCACTCGACGCCTTCCGTGTACGGGGGCGTAGTGAGCGACCCCGAGTACCGGTACACGTTGCTTTCGTCGACATCCAACGAGCCAGGGTTCAAGTTGGTGATGTTGTAGCTGTCGCCGGGATTGTGGAGCTGGCTAAATCCACGGAACATTTGATCGAGGAACTTGTTAGGTTTGTTCTGTGGGTCCAAGTCAAAGAAGATTCCAACGACGGCCAGGTTCTTGTTCTTGTCGGCGTGTACAAAGTGCACTTCGAACGGGTACTGCTTCCCCCCAAGGGTGTGTTCACTGGGGGAGTGGGGGTGCAGTTGCACCGATTTGTACACGTTCCCGTTGAGGGTCAAGTGCGAGTCGAGGCCAGCCGACCACGTTACCTTGACCGTGTGATCGTCGTGTAGCACCACAGCAGGGGCTTTGTTAAAGTCGACGGCAAACTTGCCGTTGTTCGGCTGTGCCTTAATGTTGACGGGCAAGTCGATGGGGGACTGTCCGTTGAGCGTTTGGCCAGACGCAATGGTGGCTACGATCGCTGCGACACAGGCGAGAAACTTCATCTTGTGATGGTGGTGGTGGTGGGGAATGCAAATTGAATTGTGACGACTGGTAAGCTTAGCAGCAATCTAGTAACGTTATGTACAATTTGACGGTAAGTTACACTCGTTTGATAGAGGACCTGCGGTTATACGGTTGCGTCGCCTGTTGTGGTGGGCCGGGGTTTCTCTGATTCGTTTCGGGATAGTTTGCAATTGCAGGCACCACATGCTGCCACGTCATCGACTGACCGGCCAGTTAGTCCATGAGTGGATTATGTAACAGGTGGTCATGACAGATCAATTCCGTCGTTGTAGACGTACGTACTGTAGGCCTGTTTTTTTAGCTTCTTGAAGGAATATGACGGGGGGGATTTACCACAAGTACTGTAGTCGCCCTCTGTGTAACCTGGGAAGCCCCGCCAATAATCTGGTTTATACATATGCAAGGCGCATTCACTGGGGGATGTTCTTTGTATTTCCAGCAGTTTGCCATGGCTAACCTTTGGAATACACAACGCCCCTAGCAAAGATATCGCAATACCAAGACAAACTTGCAAAGATCAAAGATCATAGGGAATTCGTCAACGCCGCGTGTAGACTATTGGATCGATCGCACCCGATTTGGTGTAAAAGGTGGGCAATGGAATTGAACGCAAAAAATACACCGTTTGCCCTTGGACTTGGTTTTAATATGGGTGTCTGGGATACGCCAGGATCAGTTCTCGTGTTGAATTTTAAATTTCATGCGTTCATGTACTACTGTACTGTATTGTTGTAGCACACCGGGAGGCTAATTCCCCGACTAAAATGGTCTCACTGTTTCATTTCTCAGTCACATTGATGAAATTATGCATCCCTTCCTATCCCGTAGCCCTGTAACCTGGCTACCCCCCGTTGAGTATATTCTGGTATAATACTATGAATAAATCCTCGGGGTTAACTGGTACGAGGCGAGGTGGTCCGAGTATACAAAGCCCCATATAAACACGCAAAAGATACAGCGTTTGGTGTATTTTCTGGGAAATGAAACAGTACCGCTGTTTCCACTGTTAATCGCGGAATTATTGTACCACGCCGGAGTAATGCTCGACGGGTGCGCGGCACTTGACCCCATTGACAGCCATTCATCTACATGTATCGTACACATCGATGTATAGTACTATATACGTCGTGAACTTACTGTACTAAGTTACGGGCTTGAAGAACACTACTTTTTGCATGCATGTACCTGGCGTATACACTAACTAACTAGTATGTCAGCGTCTTCGTATCAAGTCACACCGCGATATATTGTCCATGGATTACCCGAAATGAGAAAGTCGCGAATTGAAACGTGCCACTGGCTGGCTCGTGAATCATGTAAAGGTCAAGGTAAGAGCCCGCCCCCAGCACATGAATGGAATGCACTTCCAACCTCACCCACACGAATTTCTGCACAATATCATTGTCGAGCATATTATTGGCTAAATACTTCAGCCAATCATGGCAATGTGTTTTAGTGGCTGCATCCGTGCCAACGTGCTCGGTCGGCGAGGTCTCTGGGGGGCCATGCTGATGATATATGCGCAGAGTGTATCTTGTTGGATGAGGTCTCCAAGGGGCGTCGGGGTCGCTGCCATGGTTGCAGTGTATCAATATGCACAGGAAGCGGTGATCGTGACGTACAGTACAAGTAGTCCCCGACACCTCGTCGCTATGTAAGTACTACAGTGTTTGCCAGAAAAACTCGACGACTTGTATTATACAGTACACTGTAGTACTGTAGCTGTCAAGTGGGCGCACATTGCAGGGTGCTTTCCACTTACTAGTAATAGGGGATGTCCTCGTATGTGCGCCTCAGTGCCTGACCAATCAGCGGCCTCCACCTAGCTAGCGGGGAAGCCTCCACACCACTCATCTTAATTCACTCTTGGTTTTCCCCTGTTTTGCGCTCTTGTCCTCCTGGACATCCGCAGTACCCGGTCGCTACCCTCCCTTTCCTCCTCTAAGTGCTTGGGCCTATTTTGCCCCTCTTGACACTGTACTACAGTACTGTAGATTAGAAATGACTTTATGGAATTCGCACGGTGAGCTACCTTGCTTCCTCTTAATATCCAATAAGCGTCCATCACACCTAGTTTCTTACATTCGATTGGTTATACTACTGGCAGGAGAGGTCACAATGTTGAGCTTACTACTTGGACGCTTGAATTTTTAAGCTTCGTGTGATGCTCCGGAGAATTCTGCCTCGTGTGCTCATGCGGTTGTGTGAGCGGTGGCGCAAGCCGTCTTGGTGCCACCCATCGCAAGTGCTGAAGTGGCCGTTTTAGCACTTGCGATAGGTGCTACCAAGACGTCTTGCGCCACCGCGTTGGTGACCCAACCGAGTGCACAACATAATGTTAGGTGCGGGGGAAAACACATTGGAAATAGTCGGGATGAACTCATCAGTTAGGGACGGTGTACAGCACCGACACGGACTGGATGGTCGAAGGATGGCCATATGTTTTCGATTGTCGAAGCAGATTTCGTGGTGTCCTTGGCCTGCTCCCCATTGGACGAACCGGAGTACGCCCACGACGGCGGTGGTGATGACTTGCATCAACCGCCACCACACTCTCCCCAATCAGTGTAGAAAGTATCGCACTGGGCGTACTTCCGTGCATGATGAATCTACGAAAGCGATTTTCGTGATTTCACGGCATCTGATTGGACATATTTGATCAATTTTGAAAGTTCACCATGCGAATTACAAAACCAGATAAACACATGAAAAATATAAATCACGTATACAAACTTGAAGATAGCTTTAATTGAAACTAAATAATTTCAGAATTATTTATAGAGTTCGCAAGGTGGTTCACCTTGCGCAGCATACAAAAATGCCTGTTTCACCTTGCTTTTTCTGGTTAATGGACCAGTGTACGACAGTACTACGTACAGTAGTACTAGAACTTGTTAATAGTACGCCGATGACCGTAATTAGTACGGATTGAGAATTAGTATGGATTCGGATTTAGTGCGGTCCTCACTAATACATGTGTGATGGAATTCGAGAAATTTGTGGTTGGTACGTAATTAGTGCGGACAATTTGTGGAATATTGGGTGTTTGGGATGTATGCCACGAAGCCCAATTGCTCTGGTAATCATAGAAATCCATAAGTGTAGTGTAATAACCCTTGTACATGATGTGTCTGCATTATTGACTATTTACATCAATGCCGATTTGTGATGTGACTTTCATGACAAATCCCACATACAAAAATCACAGATAATAATCCTTACTAATTCTCAATATTCAAATTGGCGCGGTCCGCACTAATACATGTACAGTACATGTGCCGTAGGTCTGGTGACGAGGTTGAAAATTAGTGCGGCCCGTACTAATTATGGCAACGGTTTACGTGATAAGGGCTAGGTGTAGTAATGGCCAAGGACTCGAAGCTGTCCAAGGGCATATGAATTTAATTATGCGTTGTTCACCAGGGAATTCTCTACCTTTAGGACTATTTAGAATTCGATAACGATGAAGCAAGACGGAGATATGCCCATTTTTTTAAATCAAATGAAAGTTGTACTACACCTTTTTGCAGTTAAGTTGGGCGAATGCCCTATATATTTGGCTGGAAACCATTATAGACACGGAACCTCTATGATTTTGAGTGCCAATTTAAGTCTTATATTTTAACCTTCCTTTTTGTATGTCATTGTGAATAGAAATTCAGAGGTTCAATGTATGATTGGTGCATATTCAAATAACGATCTATGATTGGTGCATTTTCGTACGACCTAAATTGGCACATACAGACAGCAGTGACTTAAAATGTGATTGAATTTTTTTTACGCAGACTAATTAGATTAATTAGACTAATGTATAATTTTATTACGTGTTGCGAATTGAATGCAATTATATTTTTGATCAAATTATTTTAAACGGATACAAACATCAAGGTTTTTAAGGAGAGTCATGAATTGGTTCACCTCAAAAGCCGTGACCATAAAGCTCAAAACATATAATATTCGATACAAATCTCCCCCAATCATACTCAATGATACGTAGATGGCCAGTTTATGGTGCACAGGACAGTTTAAGGTGCACTCAAATTGGCCAATGAAGTTGGTTGAATTTTGGAATAGCCAATCGAATCACTACATAGAAAAATGAAATCGCCAAAATATAAGCAAAACCAGCGTACATATTTTATGCTTAAAACGTACACCACAAACCGTCCCTCCTATTTTGCCTTAACATGAGTGGAAATCGAAGCAAATGAACGCTAAGCTGAAGTCTAATCACTGTCACGCCGACTAAATAATCAGAAGAATGCCCACCCTTTCGGCTTCATGCAGCACTTTTCAGAATTGAAATCTCGGTCCTAGAGTAAGTTACATTCTACGACGAGGTCTCTTTCAAGTGCAACATAAATTGGCCATCTACGTTAGCGTCATAATCGTTCTCGTTCTCGAGCTACTGGGATTTAAAGTCATGGCCAAAAATAGTGTAACTAATCGATGCATTACCATAGTACGCAGTACGGCGAAAGTAAGCGAAAGTTCTTAGACCTTGACCACAGACAAACATTTCAAATTACTAGACTCCTTAGCAGCACCTTGTGGGACTAGCGAGACCTTGAACAGGTATGATTTCCCCCCGAGGGTGTGTTAGCTGGGGCGTGGGGTGCAGTTGCAGTGTCAGTGACTTGTACTCGTGGCAGTTGAGGGCGGTCAAGTGCGAGTTGGCTCCAGTCGACTACGTCAGCTTGACAGTGTGGTCGTCGTGCAGGAACAGGGAGGGGGGCGCATTGGAACGCCACGGACACGCCGCCTCGGTTGGCCTGCGGTTGAGGGTGTTGGACAGGTTGATAGGGATTGACTTCTCATTAGTGGCGATGTTGGTCAAGGCAGCTGGCTCACATATACATCTTTCCTCTTTGGAAATTGGCCTAGCGTCATTACAACTTCATCTGTATAGTGTTATTACCGTCAAATTCGGGTGCAGCGAACTTGGCCTCGGAAATTCATCTAAGTCCTGGTCAAATGAAATTCGCGGCCAGACAAATATCCAATCACAATCACCAAACTGTAAGGTCATCAATGTCTCCTCGTTTGCGAGATGCAGATGTCTCCCCTGTATGTTGGCCTACCTCAATCGTATGGATACACATATCACGACTTTGACTACGCGAAACCAACTCCCACACCGACAGGTACCTGAAGTGGACTCTACTAGTGCCTCCGTTTACCCCAGAATAGAATTTTCGACCTTCCCCAACACCAAGCCTGCTTTCTTGCCTGCCATCGCCACTACTGAGAAGGCAATCCCCCATCAACACGTCCAACACCCTCAACGCCAACCGAGGCAACGTGTCCATGGCGTTCCAAACGCCCCCTCCCTGTTCCTGCACGATGACCACACTGTCAAGCTGACGTAGTCGGCTGGAGCCAACTCGCACTTGACCGCCCTCAACTGCCACGAGTAAAAGTCACTGCAACTGCACTCCGACGCCCCCAGCAAACACACCCTCGGGGGGAAACGATACCTCTTCAAAGTCCACTTTGTGCACGTCGACAAGAACAAGGGTTCCGGGGTTTCGCCCGCTGCAAAACCCTGGCAAAACGTACAACGGGCCAGGCTCAACCCTGGGTCGCTAGGCGAAAGCAGCGTGTACTCGGGGTCGTTGACCACCCCCCCGTACTCGGAAGGCGCCGAGTGGGACGTCTTGAATATGTCCATACAATTTCCAAGTATCAATTGAAGCAGTGGCCCAACGTCATTCATCACAACAACTCCCGACCCGTGCAGCCGTTGAATGGTCATTCAGTTACTGGGTTCAAGCGAAGGACTGCGACGAAGAAGACTAACGAGTTAGGTTCGTTGTCCAGTAGGCGAGCAGCCCCGCCAGGTGCTGCTGAGAAGTCTAGAATGGTTTTGTCTCTGTTTAAGGTCGAAGATCTTTCGCTGTCGTACTGCATAGTGTATTTTATACATACAACATTCCTCAAATTCGTTTCGTAGCAAACGCTGTAATTTCTGTACGGTACGGTACACTCAGTAGTACTACAAGTTGTTTGGGGCTACATCCTAGCCCTTACTGACCGACCTCCTCTGAACCATGCTCCACCTTACCACAGATGGCAACTTGCAAAGTTTCGGACTCCACGCTGCGACTAAAGAAATGATCGATTAATCTGGACAATCACTACAAAGTCAAATTTCGGTCGACAGTAGAATACGCCCCCAATGCCCTTATAGGTGCGGCATACGAATGCGCTGTGCTTATTTGGTGTAACGGTAGTAACCTCACGCGAATTCCAGAGTTAGTTGGACTGTAACAATAGTAGTACAGGAGATTCTGCTGGGAAAACGTAAATTCCACCCTATCCACCTGACACAGCCATTCCTTGATTGCAACAGTACTACTGTTGGTTACGCAATTATTTCACTTGTTCTAGTTGTGTTGTAGCAAAATGCAGTGTAAACCAAAATAATGCATTCCAGCTAGAGGTTAAGCGCATTGTGTGGTTAGCGATAGCTAACCACTGGCGATACAACTTAACCCCGGGAATAGCAACAACACAAGGGGGTGAGGCTACAAGGATACTAATTATTTTCACGGGAGTGATTGCGCAAGCACCAGTGAAACCGTTGCTCCCAGGGAATTATTTCACCTGTCATTAGAGTACAGATCGCACTCCAGTTTCAGCAAAACACCTGCCATCGTTGAAGCGTCATGATATTGTAGCACCTAGGACACATATTAGGTGAGAAATAACTAACGTTAGGTGTGGATGGTTGGCAAGAAAGGGGTCGCTAAAGCGTTAACCTGTCAAACCAATCTTCAAAGTGCAAGCTGCGGTTGTCGTCAGACTCCTTGCGGCAACGATTCCTTCCAATAAGTACCGACATAATCTGTACACGATAATATTTTACTGGCTGTGAGGGCGAGCAATCGAATTCCATCAAATCTTGGCTCCGAGGTTGGTTCTAATGTGTCGCCTTTCCAGGCTAATTCCCCTACAAGGAGTTAAACCCTGCAGAATACATAAAATACCCTGGGTTGGGGAATTCCTTAGATACGACGACAATCCACCACTCATACTGAGATAAAACCTTGTAACCTGGGACTGCGTCCTACCCCAGGTGGGCACATTCTTCGAAGTATAATTTTATTCTCGGGGATAAGCGCATCGCTAGCGGTTAGCTATCGCTAATCATTGGAGGTGGTTTAACCCCTAGCTGACATGATAATGGTGTTTTGCCATGGTAATCCTTAGGACTGTAGTACTTATTTGTGCAAACTTCGAGTGCATTGATTGGCTAATTAAGTTTCTCAAAATTCCCCGATTTCCAGGGGTGGCGAATTATTTGCATCACACGTCTCAAGTACAGTAGTACTGTACCGTACTACTCCGAGTAAAGTTTTGAAAATATTAAACATCACACCACTCAAATTAAAACGTACTGTACGAACTGCAGTACTATTAATAGTACTAGTATTAATAATTCGTACAGTTCTAGTACTCCGGAGTACTAGGAACTACTCTATTGATTGATATACTACGTAGTTCTGCGTACTATTTTCTCAATACGTTTTCTATACAGGGCCTCATGCGCTCGCTAATAACATAGAATACATGGTGAGAAAGTGAGATTGTGATAAGGTGAGGAACGAGCAAGTCTTGACATGATGATTTAACACACCATCTGGCAAGCAATTTGAAAAAGTTCACTGTCAAGTCGCCAACGCCAACACAAAATAGACAGAACACATATGGTACTACTCTCACTTCTTGTGGTAGTACAATCAAGCACAGTACTCCATACCAAAGGTCCACATCACCCGTGGAACAGTTTGTCGCACGTTGCGCAATTGGTTTTGCCCTTGCAATAACGCGCTAACGTTATACCTAGTATGGTATACTACATACTAGTAGTATGTAGTGTCGTAGCCATACTGTACTACAACTTACAGTTAAGGATGTTTTTTCACATACCGTTAGGGGTGGGTGTAACATGGGCAGATTACTCCCATTTTCCACATACGTAAACCCATTTTGATCCGGATACGGGATCCCCATGTTTTATTGTCGAAAGTCCTATCCGTGGGCGGTCGAAACACAACGCACTCAGCGGAATACCCGCCAAACTGCACATGGTTGTATCTTGCATCGCTGTGTCATTGTCAAAAGCCCTGGGGTTCTCGGTTGACTTCATTGCGGAATCCACATATCCGGACAACTAGTCAAGGGAATGTGCTCCTGGAGCCAGACGTAACGCGACAGCTGGTATATAATACTACGTACTTCGAAGTAGTATTATACTACACCTTGATTTTGAGGTTGTGCCGTGCAACACTTTTGATTTTCCATCGCTATGATCAAGTGTTTGTTTTACGAGTGCCGCAATGCCGTCGAGTCTGGCAGCGCCAAATGCATCTTCCATCGCAACCGCAGTCAATGCAACGCACCTCACTGCCGCAACCAAGCCTATGCCCGAGGGCGATGCGTCCGCCACGGTGCTCGAAAGAGCTGCCTCCTCGATGGATGCTCGCATTATCGGCGAACTGGTGGCTACTGTGCCCGACACACTACTGCCATTCGAAAACACGGCCAAGCGCTCCACGATTTGAATGACATGGAATCATCTGGGTCGTTCAGCAACTTGGAACCGCTGGCATTCGCGTACAACACAACCACATCCGCAACATCGTGGAAAATGGACTTGGCAGATTGGGCCATAGTGCGTGATTTACTCCGAGATGACGATGCTGCGACTGGCAATTGCTCCCCTTGGTCACCCACCACAACCACCACCACGGCGACTACAACGACCCAGGACACCAGCGTTGCGATTAGCATCAGAGTTCTATCCATCTAACTGTTAATCTATTTAAGCTCTGGGACATGGAAAACACTTTTCACACAATCGTAAGCTCGGGTAGCGACGAGTACTGACTGCTAAGGGGACGAAGTGGACTGCCAGCTCAAGTCCACGTGAGCAAGTTGATCCAAGTGGTCAAAAATCCCCACAGATCGGTTTTATTTTGAATTGCAAGCAAACATCAGAACATGGGACAGGCGTCGCGGGACATGTGGTTTTGTAGCTCACGTTGAAGTTGGCGTGTACCATGGGTACTGTACATACAGTAATTAGGTGCATTTGCGTTTGCAATGCAGTGTCGAGTACCAAGACATTTGAGAAACGTGAAATAATAGACGAATTCGCCATTGTGAATTGAGCGAAATTAGGTACATTTGACAGAAATACGATCAAAGTCCTTCCCCCTCGGAGTCGAAAAGTCGCACCTGTCTGTGCGGTTGGGAGCTGCTGAATTTCGACACAGACCGTTGCTCCGACTTCGGTCTGTAGTACGTAACGAGTTGATTTCGTGAAATTCCATCCTACAGGGGTCTTAGTACTGTATCATATTAAGGATCCGAGGTCTCCCGTCCACTAACGTTACTGTAATATTGGACCCCCCGTCCGGCGGCACTATAAAGCTCACTTTGTCAGCACCGTGCACCAGCAAACACAGAGCATACTACTACCTAAACTTGGTTGGCTTTATCGTGGAAGAGAGTTTGAAGGATCGCCCAGTCAGTGCTGTCGACCAAGTTCCACGACCATGGCTGATGTAGTATTTATTCCAAAGGGCTAAAAATCTTGTAGAAAGTGCAACGCGACAGGCTCCACAATACTGGTACTTGTACCTGGCTGGTACAATATGGTGACTGGCCTTCACTCGAACAATGGAGGTGTACGGAATAATTCCCTCATTAGTACACTGTTGTTTTGACCCGAAACATTGTTTCAATGAGGGAATTATTATATCCGTATACACCTATTCGCCAGTAGCCCTGTAACCTGGGACTCCGTCCTACCCCCGGTGAGTACATACAATGCTAAATCTCCGGGGTTAACTGCATCGCTAGTGGTTAGCTATTGCTAACCACTGAGATGCACTTAACCCCTAGTAAGAAGTGTGGTGGTCTGAGCATTAAAGTTCCTTATAAATCTCATTGAAATAGTATTTCGGGTCAAACAAACATTGGAACTATTTTAATTATGGAATTGTACGGGTGTAAGTTGTTGTAGCCCAGACCGTATCCACTGGTTCGGGAATGATTCCTTAAAAGCAACAGTGCCACTGTGCTTACGTGATCATTTCCCATCAAAAGAACCAGTAGCCCTTTAGCATCGGCCCCTTGTGTTTCTTGCTGGTGTGGCCCAGACAGTACGGTATCCACTGGTTCCGGAATAACTCCTTGAGCTTGAGGGCAGCAGTTCCACGGTGCACGCAATCATTCTCTTCAAAACAACCAGTAGCCCCGTAACATCGGGATCCCCGGGCCCCTTGTGTTGCTATTCCCAGAGTTAAGGTGCATTATCAGTGGTTACATCTATCGCGAACCACTGAAATGAACTTACCGGTACTGTTAACCCCCCAGCTGGAATGTGTTGGTTTGGTCTACACTGCACTTGACTCCTAGTATGACATAATAAGAACAAGTGAAATGATTGCGTAAGCAACAGTGGACGTCATTGCGCAATCAAGAGTGGAACTGGGAATTACTGTCTGGTTCGGCGGTACTGCGTGCACCCATCGACGGGACACTTTTTTCGAGCGCGGCGGTGAATGCATACATAGGTCTGATTATGACAGAGCAAGGCGTGCAGTTGTGATGGAAGGTGCAATTGAAGGACCTTGACACTCGTAGAAAATACACTTCGGGCATCGCAGAAAGTGAACACATACTACTCTAACAGTGTGTTGGATGTGCAGGGCATATGAGTGATGCGTTGTGATGTTGACACAGCTCGCGTGTCAAATGTGCAAGAACACTGTCACATGGTCACTTCTAAGTGGAATCTGCAGTGTAGGCCTTCCCCGTTTTTTGTAGATGGGTGAAATATAGTTTTGTAAATGTTCGAATACCCAGAGGTTATGGGTTATGGGAGTACGCCTTTTTGCGGTTAATTTCAGCTTTTTTTCACTATCACCGATAATTTTCGGCTAACGTTACCTCCATTTACAGTTAATGTTAGTTTCGTGGCGACCTCAAACTTCACGTTTATATTTCACCAAGCCAGCGGTTTAATTCAACGAGCTGTCGTGTAATTTCAGTTTTCGTCAATATATTTCACCCAGCTGGCGATTAATTTCGACAAAAACCCAACCATACTACAGGAGACGTAAGTTACTGGTGGTATATCTCTACAGTATCTATACGTATACCTACGCCCTGGGTGACGCTTGCCACTTTTCAGCATGTTGGACTCCATGGCCAACCGTTTTGTGACCACCCGACGGCAAAATACAGGAGCCAATCATAAACCACAAATCACACCAATAAAACGCATGTATTTGAGCACCGACATTTGCATACCAGTGTACTGACACTTTCAACGGGCGAGGTGCGAACTTCACCACTGACGAGGACTGCCAGCTTGTTCGTTCGTGGTTGAACATATCCACGATAAGTCTAAGCGGAGCGGGCAAAAGGCCGAGCAGTTTTGGGCGAACTATTGCACCTATTTCGGCCCGGACTGCAATCGCACAGCGCGATCCTTAGCTACCCGGTAACATACTGGGACAATGCAACAAGTTTGTTGGTGATGGAAACACATCCCTGTACATACATCCATGGCTGTAGGGCTGTGTTCGTACTGCAGCTGTCCTGTTCGGAAACCCCCTCCATGATGCGTTCGAACAGAGGCCTGACCATTCGAAAGCGGCGACGGAATTTATCGCTTCCATACACGGGGTTAACGCCAAAGTAGTAGTTGTATATGCGCATGTGAGCAGCAGCATAGTCTCGTTTAACGCGCATTGGGCTCCTCTGACATGCCCACAGGCGAAGCCGTCGAGAGGAGCCCAATGCACGGCGGATGTGTGTGCACAAGCGACGATAGGCCGACGCACGACAGTAAAGGAATTCCTACGAGGGACAAACGAATCGCATACAGTTGCCAGGACAGCGTCGGTGCAGTGCAGGGTGCGACCGTTACTTGCCTCGTGTTGAACAAGACGTCGGTGTTCGGCGCGGGTGGCGCTGTGCTGTCTGCTCGCATCTGAATGAAGCGTCGAAAGGTGGAAGCGCGCGAAAACGAAACCATCGGTCCAGATCCGGCCATCGATATTGTTGGTTTCTTGGAGGGATTATTCTGCTTTTCAGAAATAATTTGTATTCATGACTTTGGGGTTTCTGGGGTTTTGGGGTGTTTAATTAACTGTAAAAAAAAGTCACCGCCGTGACCACATGTGACCAAGTGGTCCATCGCATGGTGCTTCATCGCCAACTATTTAACTAGTTAAGACCGTACTCATCTTCGTGGGAGATGAATTATATTCCAGCAGCGCAGAATGGGCTCCGCACTCGCTGAGTCAACAACCGATGTGTATGCAACTGACCAGAACGGCGTAAACTTAGATACCACGCAGTTACTTGTATCTCAATCGGTACCAATGTTACTTGTATTTCTCCTTGCACAACGCAATGTGTTCGTCAAAACAGCTGCAACATCGAATGGACCTTGAGTGATGAAGGATATCTTTCCCGCCAGTAAAGTTATATGATATGTAGCTACATGTACATCTTCGTCTATGATCACGCTACAATGGCGCACTAAGCTTGCAGCGGAATGCGTCGTATTTTGTAAGCCCGGCGCAATCGCCGCCAAGAAATCGTCTAAATGGCCGATTTTCGTGCATGGCGTAGCCAATAAAAAGAAGCAAAAACCAATGTAGACCAATGATATAGATCCAATGTCCAGGATGTGACCAATACAATACCAGGCATCCACGATATTCTTGTGAATTTTCTGCATTTGGTGGATTCTAAAATGAGCAATTTTTTGACAGAATCCGGATTCAAAAACCTAGATTATCATAATCCGGATTCTGGAGTCAGAATCCATTTTTGCTCCCAACACGGCCTAACAGAATATTGTTAGATGTATAATCTTCTATGGCATCCAGGCTCGGCCTAAGCATTTGGCGAGCATTTCCTAACAATAAGCCAGGAAACACCCACCACCTTTTGATAAACCCACTGTATAATTATACAACTAAAGTACGTAGGTCTTGCCTACTTGGAGGTGTTCGTGGTATGAAAATGAAGTGTCCACGTTAGTGTGGTCGATATGATTGACTCTGTACTGTATTTGGGCAGGATTGGCAACAACTTGTATCGATTCTTCAATCTCCAGGTCACAATGCATATAAAACGATAGATAAATGTTTCGACATGACCTTTCGGCGTCTACACACAACCATTCAGAGCTTGAGCATAGACATGACGCCATGAACATCACGTTCATGCTGAGATAAATACTTCGAAGTACTACTAGTAGGAAATACAAGCGCCTTTTTAGAGTCTACAACTTCTGTCAAGAATCTACAACTCCTGGCAAGAGTCTACAACTCCTGGCAAGAATCTGCAACTTCTGCCAAGAATATACTGGTACTCCGGAGTACAACTGCAACCATGCATACTAGTGATGTACTTAAACATTGTATGCTTTGAAATGTCAGGATCAGTACGTATGTCAACCAGTTGCACACACTGACATACTCCAGCTACTGTACTGTAGGGGTTATGTGCATTGACAGTGGTTCGCGTTAGCTAAGCACTGGTGATGCAACATATCCCGGGGAACAGGCATTATATGAAAACACAAGTGGTTTAGGAGCACGCATTATATGTAACCACAATGGATCCCGGGGTTCCGAAGTTACAAGGGTATGGGCAAAAGCGTACGAAGTTCGAAATGGTGCTCCAGTAAGAATAATGATAACCCAAAACTCAATTAACCAGTACTGTAAGAAGCAATGAAATGTAACCTACAGTATGTGACGTGTGGATACTGTACACGTTGAAGTTGTAGATTCCATAATTCTTGAAATGCTGTTGTAAATTCATTGTGTTGTGGTTGGAAATCGTAATGCAAGTTCCACTACCTTCATTATTTTATCCAATCAATGAACGTTATGGTTTTGATTGGACATAAATACACTGAGGCTGACATACTTGTGCCTCGTATCACTAACCGTCGTGCAACCATCTCGTATGGGCTGCTGCGAGGTAGGAGCAGTTCTCGCATGGCCGCCTACAGCAGGTAGATACGTAAACGCGTGTTAGACGATATCGAGATCACAGTTCATCCATACGAGACAAGGCAACCGGGGTGACGTCCCTTGAGTTGCAGGATGGCGCCGTCGATGGACAAGCTTATGTCAAAGGACATTTGACGACGAGCACAGTTACAGGGAATATTGCGATATACCGCAAAATACTTGTATACTACTTGGAGTAGTATATTTTTTATTGTGTTTTTCAGGATATTTTCGGCCGAATACAATCAACGACGGATTTTAAAGGACACTTCGTTCTTCGATTTCACCATGACAAGGAAAATTCATTGGACGAAGGACTTCGAAATTCGATTTATTTTTGGCCAACCAAATTGCAGGCCCTTCCATTTGACAGTGAACAATTTCAAACAATCACGTATTTTAAATTGACCGGATCGATGAAGCGATTACAATGATAAGCGTTTGACGGGATATCGTACGTCTCGGCGGAAACGCTTCAGAAATTTCCTAACTTCCTCAATACTTCTCCAAAGTTCTCGAAATTTTGGGAAATACTTGATGATAGGGTGAAACGGACGAGGCCCAATTTTTAACTCTTGGGTTTCCAAAACAATGCACTTCACGTTTCTCATTGCCCGAGGATAATATAATTGTACAATTCAATTAAATTTGATACAATATATATTCAACATCACAATAAAAATATTCTACGTTACTACACCACTGCAACTTCGACGGTGCATTTCAACAAATCGATTCCACTTGTCACAAACCCAAGTTGGTCGATCAGCCCTGCTTCAGCGTCTGGGTGCAGCCAGTGGCTAACAACGTCAGACGACTTCGCCCGCTTTCCACCATGATCACCATTCCCAGTCTCTCGACGCTTGCCGTTGCGGTTGCCAAGGCCATGGACAACAGCTCCTTGTGCGCCGATAACTGCCAACAGGTGCTCTTCAAAACATTTTGTCACGTCGTGAATGGTGCGTGCACTTGTACGGTCACCGACATCATGGCCATGCGACGGGTCCATCAAACGTAGGTAGGACGCTTCCAGCCTTTTTGGCGTTATGAACAGAATTTCGATGGCGAACCAGCAGGTAGGTACAACATCCACGCCTTTGCCGTATGAATGAACTGTCCACCAGGCTTTTGCCAACAGGGCGTCCTGCAAATGAAGTTCTGGTGTTGAGATGTCCCTCAGGCAAGATCCATCGACACAAGGAGTGCATTGATTTCATCCATTCTAGTGTTGAGTGGCGCGTCATTTGTGATACAGCATCGTGCCAAAACACCCAGTCGTGTCACGTGCGATGCAGTGCAAGCAGGCGCTCATGCAGCTCGTGACCCTCGCTCATCCCAATGAGGACTTCGACTTCTACCTGTGCACGGACGCGAGCCACGAGTTCCACGGCGCCGTGCTCACGCAGGTGCCCACCGGCCAGGCGCAGTTGCCCGTCGGTGAGCAAGACCATCGTCCTTTGGCCTTTGTCAGTGGTGCGTTCGACAAGACGCAGCTGCGGTGGAGCGTCACTGAGAAGGAGGCGTACGCGATCATCTACGCTGTCAAGCGCCTCGATTACCTTCTTCATCGAGCGCGCGGCTTCACTATCTTGACGGACCACCGCAACCTGGCGTTCATCTTTGGTGTCGAACCGTCGCCGGCACAGCCGCGCTACCTAGCGGACAAGTTGGCGCGCTGGGCCGTGGCCCTCACCTGCTTCGGCTATGACATCCGCCATGTGCCCGGTGACGAGAACGCCTGGGGCGACATGCTCTCACGCTGGGGTAACCGGGCAGCCACGGTGGACGCCGTTGCACTACCATGGGTAGCTTCCGATGACGTCACCATCAGCAACAATGCCAGTCCTATGGAGTTGAACTCCAGTCGGGCACTCCAGGTGCGACGTCTGGTGACGGTGCCACCGGTGACTCCGTCGCCGCTCGGCGCCGACTTCGAGTGGCCGACGCTCGAGTCACTCACCATCGTCCAACGCAAAGCGAAGACTGAGTTCACCAAGATTAAGGCTAGCTTGGTCTTCGACAACCCCGACGGCGTCGGGCGCATCAACGGGTGCATCTGGATCCCAGCCTCCGCCTTGGACACGCAGCTCACCCTTCTCGTTATCGCCCACGCCGGTGCGATGGGCCACCGTGGCCAGGCTGCGACTCGGGCGGCGCTGACGGGTACCTTCTCGTGGCGCAACGTCACCGAGGACGTCGCGCTCTTCGTGCGCCAGTGCCTCCAGTGCATGTGCGTCGGCAACGGCACGGTGCCGCGTCCTCTCGGTGAGACGCTGCACGCGACAGTCCCGAACGAGCTCATCCACTGCGACTTCCTGTCTATGCCGGACGGTTACATTCACGTCATCGTCGACGACGCGAGTCGTTTTTGCCAGCTCACGGTCCACGACGGGTGCCGAGCGGTCGACGCCATCGATGCACTTCAACAGTGGTTCGCGAACTTTGGCGTCGCACCCAACTGGGCGTCAGACCAGGGACCCCATTATAAGAACCAAGTCATGGAAGAGGTGCGCCGCCAGTACGGCAGCGTACATCACTTCTCGCCGGCCCACTGCCCGTGGGCTAATGGCACCGTCGAGGTACTCATGCGCTCCGTCCTTAAGACCATGAAGACGGTGCTCGCCGAGCTGCACGTCGCCGCCAAGGAGTGGCGTTCGTTCGTGCCACTAGTGCAACACTCGTTGAACCACACTCCGAGTGCGAAGCTTGGCGCCGGCAAGGCGCCGATCACGGCCATGACCATGCTCCCGCCCGGGCATGCGCTTTCGGCCTACCGCGTCGCGGACGAGGTGCAGGAAGTCCCGGAAGCTTCCCTGGCCCGCCTGCGTGAGAACGCCTTTATCAAGCTCGCTGCAGCACGGGACCAGCTCCACCGGGAGGCCGCCAAGACCAGTGCCACGCTCCGGGACAACGAGCGTGCGAGACGCAACAAGAAGCCCAACGTAAAACAATTCTTCTTTAACCTCGGAGATTATGTTCTAGTCGGCCAAGTTTCAGAGGCATTCGCCAAGAAACTTCAAGTGCAATGGCTCGGGCCGCGTCGGATTGTGACAATCGTACGCGACTGGGTCTACCGCGTCGAGGACCTGCGCAATGGCGCCATCACGACGCACCATGCTTCGCGTCTCAAGTTCTTTGCCGCCCGCGACTTGCTTGTAACGCAGGCGTTGACAGATCAGGTGGGAACCGGCGGCAGACATGGCAACGGACGTGCCAGTCATTGTGGCCGCCTATCTGCGCAAAGCGAGCCGCGGGAACGGCAACGTCGCCAAGCTCAAGACGGTGCTCGCTATCTCGCACCCAGACGTCGTGTAGACCAGGGGAGTTGTTGGGTGTGGAGTATCTTAGCAAGAGACAGGTAGTAAGTATCCTTGCAAGCGCACTCCATTCCCATTGGTCAAGGATCTGTCGACACGACCGAAGAGAGCTCGATAGGGGATGCAAATGTGCGTTGTGAATCAGTAGATCTAAGACCTTTAACATAGTCAGTCTTCTTTTACCTTTGAACCCGGTGCATCGAGTTCTAAAGGAGTTACTGCCAGTTCAGGACCGGCAGACACAACAGATGGTACCGCTTGAGTAGTTAAATGAGGAGGGTGCACGTTACGTACGTTTGGCACCACGGAGCTTGCGCATAAAGGCATCGATAGCGGCCGTGTCGAGGTTCTCTTCGGGTCTACCAGCGCCATCGAGGTTGAACCACTTCGCCGTGCCATCGAAGGTGAGGAGCTTGGTGGCCTGGTTGGGCCAGCGTGCCAGGTTTCTCAGTTGTCGCCTCAATGTCTCGAGTTGAGGCTGATTGTAGCACGCTCAGCATGGCTCGCTTCACAGTCTTGGTGTAGCGTCGTCTCGGCTTCTTCTGGGGACTGATTTTGTTGCGGCACTTTGAAGGCATTCTTTGAAGTGACTGGATGTGTCGTCATCGCCTCCAAGTTCCCGCGAATATTTAATGTTTCCGCGGCAAACCATACTTCGGCCAATCATCGAGCATTTTTTGCTTATTTGAATCTAATTGGCCAATTTTTCCCACCTTGTTGAAAACTTCGGGTGTCCCTTAAAATCCGTCGTTGATAGTATCGGAATAAGAATTGCGAAAAAATGGATTCAGACACAACATTATAAAATAATTCAAAATTTGTCGAAATATTGAAAAATATCATGATATTTGGCAGCATCCAGACGGGCCGCCCTTACTGTTTGCTGATAGAAAAAGGTTTCATCTGAGACAAAACTCGTCACCTTGTTTGTCGAGTTCTGATGGACTTCTCTTTCTTCAAGGCGTGCTGAGTCGAGGTCATGGTTGTTTTCGGGATATGTTGTGTCAAAGTCTTGGGTCGATCCGACTTTGTTGTCAACCAATAGCAAGCCGTATATGTTCAATATCAACGATATGTTACTCCCACGACAACTATATCGCCCAATCGGATTGTCTAAATAAATACCTGAAAAATCAAAATTCAACAATTTGTCGGTTATCCAATCATCGACATCAAATTCGTTGGTTTGATGTCGGATGCCACCTACATGTTGATACATTCGGCACGTCGCTCCAGTTTTGAATAAACACTACAATACTATTAATAGCACCGTGCATAGTACACGGGGTATGGAGCAGGTGTATGGCTTCCACTTCTCAAAATGCTACAGGGAACTACGGAATACAAGGCCAACCGAAGTTTGCAACCCTACGACATTTCTTTTACCAATAAAATAAATTCTCATGAATATCAACACGTGATTGGATAAATTTATATTCTCCCGCCAAAGTTGGGACTTAAAAAAATGACGGAGGCAAATTTGATAGTTTGCAATAAAACAATGACACGCATCATGCATTCGATTGCCTTCAAGCTCCAGGCCTTGAAGCTACTTGAGTCCATGAATGACACAAAGGTCGCCGTCGAGCTTGGAGTTCCACGGAGAACTGTGCGAAACTGGTACAGCTAGCGGACTCAGTTGCTTGCCTTCGATGGAAACAAGAAGCTGATGAAGATGCAACCAGGCGGCCGCCACGAAGTGTTCCCGCACCCATCAGGCCTCGTTCAATTCATCAATGAGTTGCGCGACGCAGAGCGGGGACTTACAATCTACACATGATCACTTGATTCAAACGAAACCAACGCCCGGGGTTGCTCAAATACCTCGCGACAAAGAAGCCTGGCTCGGGCTACAACTCCATCCTGCAATTTCTTCGTCGAATCTGCCAACGACATGGGTTCTCTCATCAAAGACCAGGAAAGAGCAAAAAGAGTTAAGGCGACCTAGCCGAGATTCGCGACGAGTTTGCTCTCGACTTCCATCGATCGTACAGCACCTTCCGGAAAGAAATGCACGTACAACGTCGACGAAACAGGTTTCTATTACGATGCCGCCTAACTGCATTTGGGCTGTCCGTGGAGGTAGCTCCACGCTCTCATGCGGGGAGAAGCATTCCATGCGCATGACCGCTGTCCTAACTGCCCGGGCAGATGGTATCAAGCTTCCTATCATGTTTATCATAAGGGGTCAACCAGGCGGTCGTATTGAGTCGTCTGAAATACCTACCTTTCCTGCCGGGCACTTCAACGCGGACCAAGGCAGCGTGGATGGATGTCCGCGTGTGGAAACAGTGTCTTCGCTCAGTGCTTCACGACAACATTTAGGAGTGCTCCGTTCTGCTAGTTGACAACTTTGAGTCACACGTTTCGGAAGAGTCAATCAAGATCGTCAATGAAGATCTGGGATCGCACCTCTGTGCACTACCACCAAACACGACGTCAGTCTGCCAGCCGTTGGACGTTGGACGTTGGCGCCATGGCTCCTTTCAAGCGGCACCTACGTGAGTTGTGGCTGTTTGAGGAGATGATTGAAGGTGACGAGGAGGATCCATATTCACTGACCGCGCAGCAGAAGAGGATGGCGATGGTCAAACGAGCAATTGCCGCGTGGAATATGGTGTTGGCTGACGCCGTCCGCGGCGGTTTTGAGAAGCCACTTGCTTCAACGAATGAAGAATAAACTTAGTTTTATAATTTAGACATCCTTTACGTTTTATTACTAGGATTTTGTATGGATTTTGTTCAAGGATAATATTGTTTTGATAATTAAGAAATAGTTTGACACTACCCGAGAATTGAACCCAGGTCCCATTCTCTAGCATTTGATGCCGTCACGCTTAACCACTGCGCTATCGCGTCAAACGCTTGCGCTGATACTCGATGCATCGTATCAATGACGTGGTTGGGAGATTTTTTCTATATGTAGACGCATAATCTGATGACCTGCAGAAAAATTGATATTTCAAATAGTCCAGTTATGTTGTATTGGTTCTGTAATTTAATTATCTCCATAATATAAATACAGCATGGTGCCAGTCAATTTTATTTACATTGCGCTGCAGTCATTGGCAGAAAGAATTATCGCACTTCGAAGTAAGGTAGCCAATCACATGATGATATTCTGGTTCAACTCGAAGTCAAATGTGGCCTTGCATTCCGTAGTTCCCTGGACTTTGCCTCGCATAATTTGTGTTGCTACTGTATGTATGTTGTCTCCGCTAAGTGGGAATCGATGCACGAAGATCACGTAGGCTATACTATAAGTATTCCGCAACGTATGCAGGTAGCTGGTGGAACATAGACTTGGCTATCACCGGCAAGTGCTCTTCACCTCTTCGACCAGTCTTTGCGTGAATGGCACGAGGCCTATTAAGCATGGTGCTCGGGTAGTTCTGCATATGCACAACTGTGACTACAACCTGATATCCTCGATGCAGTACTTGTATCAATTATTTGAGGTCAAACTTGAATTTGCTCAGTAAATAGGTCCACCGCGTACTGTGTACATGAATAATAGATCGCTAGCATTCTTACATCGCCGTGGAAATCTCGGGCCATAGGAAGTAAGTACATAAGGGCATCCCCACCGGTGCGACTGTATAATCAGACTGTATAATACCGTTTTACAGTTCCTGTATTTTGATTTTTGTCGAACCCAGCGGTAAAACTGTAAAACATCCGAATAATGTTATTATCCGGAAATGAACGCCTGGCGCGATGGCGTGGGAGGACGACGATGATGACATGGATCAAGCTTGGGAGATTCTTGGCTTTCATCAGTCTTCTGCGCGCCCTAAAGGCTCTATTGCCAACCGCCAGCCAGACCTACCACGACATAGCGAGGCTGCGCATGCTCGGATTTACCTACTACTTTGACCCCAATCCAATCTAACTAAGCCAAGTTTCGCCATCATTTTCGAATGGCCAGACCGCTGTTTGAACGAATCATGGACGGTGTGGTGATGCGTGATGAGTACTACCCTTGGACACATCTTGAGAGATGTTGATCCATGACCGGACAAGCTGGTAGTCTTCGTCGGTCGTGAATTTGGAACCACGGACGGCCTTGGCTGATTCCATTTCTGAACCAACTGATTATTGACTCCATAACGCACATGATTGGACAAAATTATCCATTGATAGCATGTTATTGGCTAATTCGTCAAAACTGTATTTTACAGTCGCGACTGAAAATCTGGCCGATTTGGCGTCTCGCGGTAAAATTTTACAGTTTCCTGTATTTTACAGTCGCCCGGTGGGGTTGTCAAAACTGTAAATAATCCGGATAGAACTGTATAATAGCGTTTACAGTCGCACCGGTGGGGATGCTCTAAAAGCAGTGTATTCCGACACTTGAAAAGTGTAAAAGGACGTGTCATACGTCTTTTGCCATATGGTCCAGTAGCGGGCAACTGTTTGGACTTCACGATATGACGATTGTTACAGCATCCCCCCTGGCGTTATGGAAAGACATTGAATGCTCAAACACCACGTCAGCTTGACTGTATAGAGTTGTCATATACCCCGCCAGTGGATTTTATATGCAGTACAGTACTACGAAGTACTTACTACCACAGTAGTGTACAAACGTTACAGTACGTATTATGACTAGGAATATTCAATGGGAGATTAATTGAGTTTGCTGTTTGTGATGTTGAGCAGCAGCCGTCCACCACGTAGAGGCTTTGAAATGCTTTGAGCCGCTTGTACTCCTCTTGACAATGCCACAGTGGTGTTCCTGGTATGATAACGTACTCACAAACTTTCAGATCACGTGGTACGTACCTGGTACTTCGATGTAGATCTCAAACGTTTAAGTACAGTGACGTTGTACAGTAGTACGACAACAACACATTTCGCACAACATTTGTAGGTACGTTGCAATATGTCAAAATACACGAATGGAATGGAGGAATGAGTCAACGAGGTGGATATGTGAACAAACTCCATTGCCTTTGACTGCCTCGAAGAATATTACTTCGAGATGTCAAGGTGAAAAGACATGAACAATTCAACATTAACGTTACGCAATGTGGGAAACCTTCCAAGCAACTTCCCTCATGCATTGCAGCCTTCATTCCATAAGCTCATCATCGGCAAATGCTATCATCTGTTTGTATCCCCGCAACACGAAAAGTGAAATATAATGCAGATTCTCTGTTAAAAACGACCCCTTGACTAAAGGCCCCGCGGGTTTCCTTTTTATCAGTACCATTTGGACGATGCATTAAATATAACAGGTCATACATATTTGGGAGCATCACTCAGCACAATAGCTTCCGCAGTGATTCCAAGTATGCAATTAACGTTATAGAAATTATAGTTTCACTGTGATGATGGTTTCCACTGCTACGCACGACACTTTGTGTCACGTAACTATCGAAACAACGATTCGAATCGACTTTGGGGCCAACCCAATCTTCACAAACGTGACAAGGGGTGTACAGTACAGTGAAAGTGTGTTGTCGATGGTTCATGCGCCAGCGGTTGGATTCTACACAACTCAGTGTCACAGTTGCCTTTGGAATTGTCGAACTTGTCCAATATACTGTAGCCCCCCTCTCCAACCACTCATAGTTCCTTTGGCGAAGCCATGGTAACATGCATTTTTTATGATTGTCACAACCCCGTGGTACAACATGGCCGGTCCAAGTGCATTGTACACCACAGCCGCACGCCTTGCTCCACTCCGAAGTGCCGCAATCAAGCGTACGCCCGGGGGCGCTGTGTTCGACATGGCGCGCGAAAGTACTGCCTCATGGAAGGATGCATGCATTATCGACGAACGGGGGGGTATTGTGCTCGCCATACCAAGGCACTCCGCGCAAATTTTTCGCTGGCGTCGGGGCCACGTATGGTCGTAGTACCCCCACGACCCCAGAAGAACGGAGTCGTTCGCGAGCAATGGACAACGTCGCCCCGAACACCAGTGTTGTCGCTTGACGCTGAGTGGACGGTTCTTGAAGAGTTTCTGAATGAAGTGAACTTTGCTCTACTGACAACTGACGAACAACGCTGAGGTCGACATTGTAGCCCTGTTTCAGTCTCTGTCACAAATGAATCTACTGGTAGTCGTTTTGTAATAATGAGTCACCATTGCTCTATAGTGCATGTTTTGCTTCGTTAGAGATTTCAATGCTGTCACTGGACGGGGTTCATCTCTCTCGAACACTCTGTGGACAATAGATAAAATGACTGAGAACGATTCATGGGATACAGTAGGATCGTGCTACCGTATTAAACAAAGGACGCATACTCGACCAAATGCGTGTAACTTGATATGCTCCGCAGTAAATATTAGGAACAACGCCATGCGGTATACTCCGTACAGTAAGCACTTTTAATCTTACCCAGCAGTACATATTTCAAGACTTGAAATTGTTGGTACAGCGTCATCGTGGGATTACTGCAACTGGTGCACTGACCCCTTCCCTCTCGTACCTTCTCGAAACGCCCCTCCTGTGACCACGTAAAATCAATGCCTCACTATGTGTGTTGCCACGTAGATACTGGGATTGTGTGGCTCGTAGCGATTTCCTCGATTCCAGATGGTGAGGGTACAGCGCTCATACACCCCCATCTGCTTTGATACACACACTAAACAAGTGACGACATAGAGTACCCGAACCACATACACGAAGAATACTACTCCGGGTATTGTCTGGTCTGAGTTGCTGTTTGAGGAGGCATGTCAAACCCAATCTTGTACTATCCTCCCACAAAGATATAGGTTTGGAATTCCCATATCGCCAGCACCGTTTGCCCGCCGTACAATTCCAAGCGGTGAGCCTTCTGGAGTGTGCAGCATATCAAGCGCGGGGGTACTGTATCTGAAAACGAGGCATGGTCGCTGCCTGCACGAAAAACTAAAGCTAAACCTGCACTGGCCATTTGAATCCTGCGTGGGAGTGTAACTTCTGAACAAGTACGCAGTGGCAACTTCACAGTGCAGTGTTCATGAGAACGTATGGGGTGATATCAGTGCGGCTGGACTGGTGGTAGCCACATGAAGAAGTTGGTATGCACACGATGGATGTGTGTAATCACAAAGAGTTGAATGCGTAGAACACCGTTCTAAGTGTACCGGTACTTAAGCTAATGAATTGTTCAAAGCTACGGTACACTAGTGCAGTCTTACATGAGCTAATGAATTGTGCAAAACTACGGTACAATAGTGCAGTCTTCAGTCCAGTCGCCAGATATTTGAGTACCAGAGTGAACGGTAGTCAAGGTGGTAACAGAACAGAACCCAGCCACGAACGAAGCTGTTACTGAGAAATCAAGCGTTAGAATACCACAGAGTACTAAACTAACTTCTTGCGACTGTGCACTTGGCCGTTATCTTGCAATAGGGTTTGAATATTCGCCAAGTCCACTAAGTTCCTAGAATACACGACCTTGTTATTTGGACGGCCAGTTGTGGTCAATCGCTCCGTTTGGTACTCCGAGTTTTCATGAACAAGCCTATCGATCGATAAGACATCAATATATAGTCAACATTCATCAGCGTGCCGGCTTTCTATTGATCAACTTGTTTACTACTACGAAGTTGTATTCGACTTGACAGCAGTGGTGGCCAGTGAAACGCTTATTGCGCCACTCGATAGAAATTCTATATTTTGTACGATGCCACGTATATTATCCGGCCATTTTTGGATGTTGGTTGGAGTCATCATTGTTTGTTTTGCTCAGCCATGGTCAGATGCATTTTTTACGAGTGCCAGCACCCCGTGGTGCAACATGGCAGTTCCAAATGCATTGTCCACCACAGCCGCACGCCTTGCTCAACTCCGAAGTGCCGCAATCAAGCGTACGCTCGGGGTCGATGTGTTCGCCATGGAGCGAGAAAGTACTGCCTCATGGAAGGATGCAAGCACTACCGACGTGCAGGGGGGTATTGCGCTCGACACACCACAGTTCTTCGCATGAAAAGCTTAGCATTGATGCCCCCAACCACCCCCCAGAAGAATCAAGATGAAAACAACACATCATTGGTATCAAGTGCTTCCGCAACGCCCTTGGACGCCGAGTGGACCGCGATGCAAGCGTTTCTCATTGAACTCAACTTCGCTCTACTCACGAGTGAGGACAACGTGGGGATGGACTCTAAAACTATACTAACGACGTGGTGATGACAAATTGCTTCAAACATCGTATTTGTGGTCAACCATACTGTACTACATACTAGTACGTAGTATCAGTGAAGCTCAACATGGGAGCACACACAACACTTGGTAACGGTAGAGGTCATGACGTACCTCTTGAAGCTGGTGAAAAATGCTAACGATACTGTAAATTCGCAATGACTTCAATGTCTACATATTGTGGTCCACACTGAACTTTGGAGATGCGCGTGTACATATATCATAATCCTGGCATATCCACGAATCACAGCATCGCAACGCTTGTAGTGGTAGTGTAGTGCAATGAAAGCGGATCAATTCCAGCATTCCTAGACTGCATTCCTTGTTCTGTCCGTTTCAATACAACTGAAACTGTTTGTGGCGGTTTCATTGGCCACTTCGCCAGCAGTTTCGATTTATCCCCAAGCCATGCGAACCAGTGCTCCTCTCTCCGCGCTCGTGCTAGCCAATTATGTGCTCTTAGCGTTGTCGCAGACAACGACCACCACCATCACACCCACCATCTCGACCACAACATCCACTCGTCCTGGCTTCAAACCCAACTTGGGACCAGACTCGGACGACGCCGCTGGATCGGCGCCCCTTCCGTTGACCAACCAAGGGGATTCGACGACGAAGTCGGTCAACCTCGGCGTAGATTTTGCCATCGGCATTTCCGTGTTTATCCTGTTTGTACTGTTGGCCTTGTTGCGAGCGGTGTACGTGCAGCGAAAACAAGCAGCGGCCGAAGTCGCGAACACTCCCATCGGAGACTACTCCAAGTTGGAAGACTCAAAGTGAATGTGTCAGGTCATACGTCCGTGTTGACAGTCAAGACTATTAATCCCTTTATGTCCCCGAAAAAATGAATTCACATGGTGCTGGGGAGCTGCCAAGCGCCGTCGATGTTTAATCGTTTAATCATTGGCAGCCTTGCCATGGGGAACGTTCTAGTCATTTGTGTATACCAAATCGGTGGATTTTTCGTCCGGTACTTGGACCATTGTTTGACAAATGCAATTGCTTCGCCACATCATTGTACTCGTACAGTACTAGTACCAGGTAAAGTACTGTACTATTAATAGTACTGTAGATATTTTATTACAAATATTATATCATGGATTTGTGGTAAGCAGGTATTCACTCGCAAGGTGGATGTCACGTGGGTCCTTGTAAGTTCGCTAGAGACAAATCGTGTCGCTTGCCATGTCACTTTTGCAATGCATGGTTAACGTTATGATGAACTCACAACAACCAAACCTAACGTTAGCTTTACTGTTAATCCTGCCGTATATCGTACAGGCAAAAACGCCCCCGATGGACGCGCGGAAATCATCAATACAGGGCCCACTGACCGATTGGGCTGATTGAGTCATGCTCAAAGAGAGTTCAGAACAGGGAGGCTTCAGCGTACAGTTTTGGGTTCGTAGTCTAAAGCGCATCCTTCCACTTGATTTGGCCCAAATCTGGCCATACTGGTACTAGTACTGTAGTACTTACATACTAGTACTAATACTGCAGTTTGGTTGATGCTTATCCGTGGAGTGTTTGCACGGAATCTTTCATTTGAAAATTTCTCGACACATTGCACTATTGTTCACTGTGTTGGCAGTCTGCGATAACGTTATTGGCGGGTCAGTCACGTTGACGGTCTTGTGCGATTACTGTGACCTACTTTAAGTATGGAGGAGTACTATTAATAGTAACCATTCGAACGTCCCCCCCTGTACAATGACTGCACATATAGGTGGCATCCGACATCAAACCGACAAATTTGGAGCCGATGATTGGATAACCGACAAATTTTTGAATTTTGATTGGTCAGTTATTTTATAGGCAATCTGATTGGGCGATGTAGTTGTCGGTGAGCAACATATCACTCACATATAACATACTTCCTCTGTTCCATGTTACCACCGACATATGAAAAATGCATTTGTTCCATGTTACTACCGACATTATACTTGAATATGATTGGCTAATCTGAAAAATACAATGATATCATTGGCTGAAGTTGTGACAACAACATAATTTCACGGTCCCAGCATGATGCATTTGGCAGGAGGAACACCCCCCACGAGCGCTTCGGGTTCACGGTGAAGAACACCGAGAAATGAAGCGCGGTTGGTGAGGTTCATGCATAAAGTACCTATGTGTCACCTAACGATACTTCTCCGAAGGCCGCAGCTTCAAGCGCTTGTTGTATCTGCCCTCAATTGCACGGCACACCACTGGTGGCCACAGCACCAAGGCCCGTAATAATTTAAAAAAATCGATTATTTATACATATTTTTCTGATGCCGATGACGATTCAAAATTACAGTGTGAAATTGATTGATTTGCGCGTTATGTATGGCCAATAGACATTACCTTTATATTTTTATTCTCTTTCAGAAATGGTAGGATTCATTAAATTTGGTCCGAAAATAATTTTTTGGGGTCGAAGGGAAGTTCAATGTCGGCAGTAACGTGGAACAGAGGAAGTATACAGCTTGCTATTGGTTGAAAACACATTCGGAGTAACAATAACCAAGACTTTGGCACAAGCCAAGTACCATTGGTACTGTAGTACAGTTGCGGCCACGCTAAGCAAAGCCTCCCCCAAGGACAAGCAGAGGACAAAAGGCAAGGCAAGTGCCAAAGGTCGAAGATACAAGCGTAAAGTTTCATCTGTTGCCGCCCCGGTCATCCATGTTGACGAGAACGAAGAAGTTGAAGGACAAGATGCCAACTCGTTCTTTGATCATACGTCCGTCCTGGTGGAGCCGCCAACGAAACACAAGCAGAACAACACTCACCCAACGGACACTTCCGAGTCCACGGTAGTGTCATGGAGCCAAAGCAGGCGCCGCTCCATCGCCGCGGGAGCGAAGATTTCAGTGCATTTGGAGAAGATGTGGTGAAGATGGAAGCTATGGTACGGACGGGCGAGCCTTCGGCCGCCATGAAAGACTTTGGCGGGAGCATTGATGTTGATCTGGCGACACGGCATATGGCCTTGTTGAGGGCACCGACGCCGTCGCTGCCGCTCCATGTCGAGGACATTCCAATGTTGGACAGCATCATGGACGACGAGCAGCATGTCGCTGTGGAAACAGAGAAGTACGAGAGAACGTGGCCAGCGGGCAAGATGTTTTGCGACGATGACAAGGACGTCGACCCCGACCAAACGACTTAGATCAGAGTAGACATCACTGCTGCTCAACAGCCTAGTAGTAGAACGGCGATTAGTAAGCGTCTCCGGCAGGACTACCGGTACGTATGTTGCTACTAACGTTATTAACAGTAAGTACTTCTTGTACAGTAGTAGTAGTAGACATTATTCATATCGTTATTCTACTAAAATCCTGGGGACCTTGCATTTACAACAGCAACCCAGGCAGCCAACGGCAAAGCTTCTGTAGCCTTTTCTGTAAGAGCCAATCAAATCCACGCCGTGTCCTCACGGTTCATGTCCTCACCTCGTCAGAGACTTCTCTAAAAACCAACATACGACATTTGGTCTTTGTATTGAAAATGAAGAGTCATCTACCAGTGAAAGGTACGAAGTATTGAAATTTTAACCAATAAGACTAATGTCGGATAGAATTGTCGTATTCGCCAAGTTATCCATCCATAAAAACGAAAATAAACGTGAGACATTGATTGTTCAGAGGTTGGGGCGAAGTGATGGATGGCTATGGCTTTATTTTCGGTTGGTTTGACTGCAAAGTAGTATGTAGTGCGTGCACCGACGACCTCGTTTTGCGGACTGAAATCCACGAATTATTTCCACATGTCGCAATTGGTTTTCACTGTCAATAGCGCCTAAATGTGACAAGGGAACCAAATAAATCGTGAATCATGTCACAGCATGTACGACCCTCGTGCAAATGGGAAAGTTTATGATACCTCACGTTAACGTTATCACCATTTCGCAGTCCCTGTCAACATGGTACATACTACTCAGGCCATTGAGAGTACACATCGGGAGATTAATACCCCTAACTAGAGTTCTACTAGTATAGCGTAACTTGTCGGCATGATTCTCTCCATTTTTCACCGAGCTTTCTGTGACCACCGTGATACTCGTATGTGGGTAAGGCACATACCAGTACTAAGTCGTACTAGTATGTAGTAGTACTAGTATCAAACTAACTTCACAAGATTGAGACAGTCAAATGAGTTTGCAGTACAATGTTTTGAGAATCGATGAGTTTCAGTGATTTTCGCATTAACCAGAATTATATGGCCACAATCAACCGACAGGTTTCAGTGATTGATCTGCGATACGCTTGGTTGTCGCAAAAAACGGCAAGGAATATTTGCATATTCTACTTTAGTAACAACATACTAATACTTAGAAGTAAGTAGTGTCCACGATCACGATCATACGATTTTACAACGACGTTTAAGCAAAACTACATCTAACATTTAAGACAATCCTTTCAAATTTCACCGAGTATTCGGACGGACTTAAGCAAATCATTTTGAGACATTACAAATTACAATCCGAGGTCACTTTCCAAAATGCCACAACCTCCACACCACAAAGCCTGGGCCTGCCGGCCTTCAATACCCTCCTTCGTTAAATGTGCATCCGACTTTGTTGCTTTCAGTGAGCCATAGTTCATTTTATCCTATTAACACAGGGTCCACAACGTGTGAAGTGCCATCGATGCACTAATAAGCACGTGTCTTCTTGGGGTGAAGTTCCACCCCGACTTCTATATTTACTGTTAAAGTGCATTCTGCAAGTGACCATCGTAACGCAGACAAGTGTGAGTGCTATTGGAATCGACCAATGGAACTGATCTATATCCGTGCGATTTGCAAATTATTCGGAAATGCATGTCTCAGTCTGAGTCCTTTGCGACATGCGCTTTGGTCATATTAACAGCCATGTCAGGTCCACCTTCAGATTTGAATTTGCCCGTTCCAACTCTCTCTGCCACCGCAGGACGACAGCGATGACCACGCAAACTACTACTCACACGACCACCACATGTGTATTCAAAGATTGCACCCAGCCGGTACATTCAAGCTTCCCCAGCAGTAGTCTGTCGAAATGCCTGTTTCACCGCAACCGGTCGCGATGTGAAGCGCCTGATTGCTCCAACCAGGCGTACGCCCGCAACCGCTGCGTCCGCCACGGCGCCAAGCAAACGTGCGTCGCCGACGGCTGTACCCAGAACCGCCGCCTCGGTCTCTTTTGCTCGAAGCATGCGGACGCGGACAGCAAGAAACGATGCAGCGTCACAGGGTGCGACAAACTTCCGCACGCCCGGGGGCTCTGCGTTCGCCACGGAGGTGGCCGGCTTTGCAAAGCCCCCGACTGCACATCCCACGCACGCATAGGTCTGCTGTGCGCCCGCCATTTTCATGGTCTCACTTCGCCTTCCACGTCGCCGCGACAGGTAGTGGCTGTCGCGCCGTTAAACATCGTCACCTCCCCCCCCTTCATCCGTACTTCCCCGACATATCGAGCTGCTGCCACGTCTGTACCGATGTTGATCGACCTTGCTGCCACCATGGGCATGCCCGACACACTGGACTGGGCTATTCTATCGGACCTTGTCGCAGACAGCACTGCTACGGATACTCACGCGGACAAAGCAGCAGCCATCGAAGAAACCACCCACTCCAAGTGCTGGAGCATTCACTGCCAACAAGAACAACCCCATAACAAGTACGCTGACGACCTCGAGATCTGGGACGCGTTGTTTTACGTCATGTAGTGGGTAGCTTCAATATTTAACGCGGATATATACATACAGTACTATTAATGCAGTAATGTTATTATTTGTACTTATTACTACTACCACGTGTACTACGCAGTACTACGTAGTACTGTACTAGCACTACGTAGTACAGTAGTAAGTACTAGTAGTAGTACAGTATAGGTACCAGTATGATGATACTATTAATATTAATACAGTAGTATTAATAGTATCACGTCGAAGTAATAGTTTGTACTTCGAAGTACTACTTCGAAGTACTACTTCGAAGTATGATACTATTAATATTAATAGTATTAATATGAATACTCCTATTAATAGTACTACTTAACGTTGTGCTTTTCACAACTTTTGGCTATTCTGGGACTAAAACCCCTCTATTAACCATGCACCCACGTAGTATTAGATGAGTCCAGTTAGTAAAACGAAGCACCAAACGTACCACTCTTTTTAGTAATTACATGCTCTAATTAGAGGTGATTTTATGGATCGTATGACTTTGCTTCAGTTTGATTGGACGCCAAAGCAAGTTTTGGCTGGTATTACGAGCAAGGTTGGCTTAACAGGGGTGTTTGCCGATGAATTTTCGGCAAACGCGTGCAATGCTAAGAGCCTGTTCCAAGTAGAATTGAAAAAAAACGAAAAATGGGGTGACAAAATATTTCATCCCATTTTCTACCCATTCTATGATCATGATTGATTGGACATAAATCATTAGACTAAGATGCATGCTGATTGGTCAATAACACAGTGTTGTCGGCGATGCGCAGAAAGGTGTGGCGGGTGCAGCGCAGGTGGCGCGTGAACCATCCATCGTATGTGCCGTCGGACTTGATTTTCTGCCACATGGTACTGGTACTGCAACAGTGTTGATGGCAGGGGTGCAGTTGCTACGTCCGTCGATCGACATGAGGGCGGCGCCAACGGCAGCAACGACAGCAACACACACGGCAGTGGTCGAGTCCATCAGGTCAAATTGAAGAAGTTAATGAGATTGGGATCAATGATTGGATAGTGGACATCCATTATTAGCCAGTCATTGGGGAAATAGCTGAGTTGCCCAAAATGGGATGAAATGGGGTCATGTACCCCATTTTGAAAAATGGATTTTGGAATGAGCTGGGGAGCGTTTTGATTGGATAATGCCCTACGTAAAAAACCAGTTTAAGATAACTTAACCAATTCAATTTAGGATAACTTTGTATTGCCCAATCACACCTCGTTATTTGTTCGAGTCAAAACCTCTGTCATATAATGCTGACCATTCCGTCATGTGAATGAAATGCAAAAATGGCGTAGAAGCCATTGATATCAGTCATTCAAGATTGGGTTTGAAGTACCCTAGTCGACACGGGCCACATTAGGTTGGATCTGAGGTTTTGTCGAGTGTTAAACTTGGTGGACAACAAAAATATAACTCTATAAAACAATACCCTTGTATAATTTATATGTAACCTGTTGTAATCGCTTACCCTAAACACAGAATTTCAATGCTCCGACGCATACATACCATAGGATAAAAAAAGTTATCCTAAATTGGCTATCAAAATGTGAGTACAAACGCTTAGAAAGTAACAAATTTATCTGTAAAGTTCATCGTCTAAACTGATAATTCGATTATGAAGTGAAAGCGGATCGTCTTGTCTAGTCAATAGAATATCATAATTGATATGATTTGACATATGTAGAGTCTTAGACAAATAATACCCTTAGGATATTACTAGTACAGGGTATGCTTCTCGAGCATCAAACAGAACAACAATGACCTACACAATTAATGTAAATTTACCTTGTGAATATAGCAATTCTCTAGAGGCTGCCTGCAGTGGGAAACACTCCAGAATATAATGCTCTATGAATTTAGACAACTGCATTTTCAATGAATTTAAAATGAAGTGGTAACTTACTGTAGTTAACTGTTGTTATCATTTGTTCACATTTTGCAAATAGCCTGAAATAACTCGACGAATGAACTTTTGGCGATCATGTGTGACTTTATTCAAAAGAGTAAACTTTTAGTAATCATGGAACACATTCTATACATACACATTAAGTTCTCTTATTTGCGCCTAATATGAGGTTGAAGGAATTTTACATATGTTATATTTAGGTCGCATCGACGAAACCTGCGAAACTTCGGTGTTTGAGGTGCGATTTCGAACTAACCAACGCGAAATATACGGATCGGAATACATGTTCGTTGAAAACTTGGAGTGATATTTGAGGACAAAAAATTTGGAAGCAATTCGTCGCAACGGTAGTTACAGTCAAGTACCGGCAGGGTTTTTCGAGGTCGAAGGTAATAATCTTGCTTTTTATATTTGTTAACATTTATTAACATCTAATCTGCCTGTTTACATCAGCCATTACATTTTATATTCTTTAGAATTGTTAACGTTATTCTTTATTCAAAATGCATTGTGTACTTTGAAGTAACAGTTATTGTGAGATTTCAGGATTTCCCGCAGCCTCCTGAAGTGACACTAGCATTGTTGTTTCGTCGAAGGTGCAGTTGGCACCCATGTGCAATTCTTTAAACAAGTATTGCCAATCGATTCGAACCTGGAGCCCTCAGCAGAATGTCTTAACAGAGAACCGCCTAAGCCAATCACATCACGATCTGATGAATTTCTACCAATCCAAACTCGGGCAAAACAGGTACTTGTATACTATTTTGTAAAGTATAGTTTGTCCAAGGTTAAATTCGATCGAAGTGAATCCAACGTCCACATTTGGGTGAAAAGCACAATATCACTTCTGTCAAATCAAAGATTCGCTGTTTGAGCGACAAACTTCTCAGTTTTCTACCAGTCATGCTTTGGTCAACCCTTTAAATCCATACTAGTACTCTGTTAAGAGTATGCATTTAAAGGGTAGCCTGAAACGAGGAATTCGGGGACATAACTCTCACTTCAGAATTAACCCGCTTGGAATCTGAGGCCAAATGAGAGATTCTCTCATTTGCAAGGGCCAATAGAAATCCAGTAAATCGAAGTATTTGTAATTGCCATTTTTTATTGCCTTAAGATTACAAATTTACACGAGTATGATTGGCTCTACTGCAAATGCGAGTAACCCTCATTTGGAAAACTATCGATCTGAGCGGGTTATCATCCTGAACGAGATGTGGTCAAGGGAATAGTACACAAATTCGGCAAATCATTGATTGCTCACGTTATTCGCTATGCAAAGCAAGCAGTTAGTAAGAACTTTGACCTCAACGTCTGGGTTTGGATGTTCTGCCTTGGACTGTACTTTGTGGAGTGACGTTAATCAAAGGGGATACGGTGCTGGTACAGTACTATTTTGAAGGCAGTGGTAGCAATCTGACTTGTTGAGCTTGGCGCGCGATGAAAGCTGACTTGCGAATCAATTCAGTAGCAATAATATCGCAAGCTTATTGCTTACTCCAATTGCTGCTGCACAACTTGGCGTGCCAAAGTAGGTTTGCTTACCGGTACAGTGTGCGGTATACCATTCGACAGGCAGTGAGGTACACTTTGAATGGAGTTCCGTGGTGAACGACGAACCACATACCGTATGCAAGAGTATGGGTAAATCCCAGTATGGAGGCCAATTGTCCCAACCAGATTACAAGTTCAAACTTGCTCGCTGACTGTGAAATCGTTGTTGATTGTGACTGTTTCGCTTTGAAGCATCGCCATCATGCCCTCTAAACCGTGCTGGTGCTATGTACTTCAACAGGCGTACACGAAAAGGCTTCACGACTAATCCAACGATCACTCTCACCCTAGCTACATGTACCAAGCCAGCCCCCCTATCTCGCTCATTTGGGTTTTGCTGTTTATCCCACCACCGTAACGGAATCAATGCAGACGCACTTTACCTTATGGTATTGTCCGACCCAACACCCTGCGTCGGGCCAACTCTCGCAGATCGTGATCGTGCATACTCCTAGTATAGGGTCATCACCAACCTGACGATTGATGCAAGTCAATCATGTTGATCCTGGCTCTTCCCACATGAGAATCAAGGGCCTTCAATGCCCAGTTGGTATTGTTATGATATGGCGGCGGCCCCGATTATTCCAAGGATACCCCACATGACAGTGGGGCGTTTTACTCGCCACTTTGCACCAATAGCATGTGGTGGATTTTGCTTTGGACCAGGTGGTATATATTGTTAAAACGTATAAGTACCGTCATTCCTAGTCTTCATTTACGCCAGTGAGAGAGAGTGAGTGCAATCCATGATAGGAACCACAGTTGAAGCCCCCTCGTTGAACCATGACGCCGCCCGCGTCGATCCATAACAAACCAATGAACACAGCGGTTGGCTGCAGCGAGCAAGCACCCCCACCCTCTGAAACCCCGAAACCCCGCGAAACAAAAGTCACGGCAATGTATCGATGTAGTGCCTTGATAATACTACAGTCTTTGGAACTCCACCCCCAACCAAGCATGAGCAACAATAGATACTGTGTACCGTCCCAGTCGTAGGGTTTAGTCGAGGCCTGAAGACCCTCGACCACGTGTCTCTTATCGAGACAATAATATATTAGTACAATCATGAGAGCAGCACGCACGCACTCCTGCTCTCAAACAGACGACGCTGCCCAAATCAGTGTCGCAGGGGGTCGACAGTGGGACATCTTTTGGTCGACACAAGGCACACGCCAAGTCAAACCACTCCACACTCTTGGATAGTTGAGATCAACCAGTGGTGGGGCCGCCGCCTTGTGGCAAAGCCCGGTAGCGTTCGTTGTCGTGCCCAACCATGGACGTTGACGACGACAAAGACAACGACAGCAGCAGTACCACGTGCTTCTTCCTTCAATGCCAAGGCGACACTGTTCCTGGCCACTGGGCGTGCCTCGAACATACCGACAAGCCACGGTGCATGGTCCAGTCCTGTCGTAACATGGTGTACGCACGGCAGCGGTGCGTTCACCACGGCGGCAAGAAGATGTGCTCGGTCCCTGGGTGCGGCATCACAAGACGACTGGGTGACTTTTGCTCCAAACACGCGCCGCTCAAGAAGCGGTGCAGCACCGACGGATGTGAAACGCTCGCTCATTTACAAGGCAAGTGTGTCCGTCATGGCGGGGGCCGGTTGTGCAAAGTCGACGAGTGTACGTCCCATGCAAGAAACGGACCGTACTGCGGCCGACATTTCAAGCTACACGGCCCGCCCGTAGCGGCACCACCACTGAGGGCGGCGGCGCCGACGACCAGCGGCAAGATGAAGGCCCCGGTGAATCGAATGTTGGAACCATTGCCATTGCCGCCAGAGCACCATCCACAATTCCATGCAGTTGAAAAGTTGAGTTCAAGCCATGAACATGATGACTCGTCGATCATACTCCACCAGTACGTGTCTTCGCCGCCGTCAGAATTGCTGCAGTTGGACTTGAATGACGACAGCGGCTTCGAAGATGACGACGCGATGCATGGCAGACGAAGATTTATGTAGGCGTATAGAGATATTTAATACAAGACTGGACGTGGATTTACCGTTAAGTGATGCAACACCCTGACAGACAGGTCAAGTTGAATTGCCCAACTCCATAATGGAAGTTGTAACGTTACATAACGTTATTGGCATACATATATGATCACTTTGTGGACAATTTCAGGCGGACATACTTGACATTTTGTATTGGACTTAAGGGGAACATATTTTGTCCGAATGAAATTGTCCGAACGGAATATGTTGGGACATACTATTGTATGCACCCGCATAAGAACGATGCGCTTTGCGACGACAGAGCATCCGTCCACAAAATTGCGCGACCGAGCGTGTGTATACTTTTGTGCAGGCGGTGCCTTGGCGAGGAGTGAGCCCCAATCGTGCACTTCACCGAATGTCCAATCGATTCCTCTTTATGGTATGGATAGGTACCGTATTCTACGAACATTTTGACAAATATTGGAAAACGCATCCAGACAGGCGACAAGGGGGATGAACTTGGCAGAAACAACCCTCCAAAATTCCAACATTTCACCGTGGGATCTTGTTGACTGTGTATTATTAATAAATATAAGGCGTACATAAATACTACTAGTACGTAGTAACGCTGACGTTAGTACGTAGTAACTCATCAAGAAAAACACACCCGGCTGCGCACAAAACATCACAGCAATGTATTAATACGTACTACTACTACTTCGAAGTATTAATACTACGTGTAGTACTACTACTAGTAGTACTAGTAGTTCGTAGTGCTATGGTACTTACTATTAATAGTAGATCAGTAGGATGAAGTTTGTACATGTATCGGAAGTTGACAGTCCTCTTTGTCCGACCAGAAGTGGCATACGTCGACGTCCACTTCTTTCCACGACGAAAGCAGATGCGACAGGTCTCAGCGAAATGGAATTGAGGGGTCTTATTCATGCAATGTCGTCATGATGGGGCTGACCGTGGAGCATTCATCGTCACAGGTGTCATATCTGGTGACCGTCTTTGTACACTGATAGACATGGTGGACTACATATCAGCGACGTGTCACTTGGATTGTTCAACTGGTATCCACACCATTTGTAAGATCGACGCCACGAACCTCAAGTGTCCTTACGTTATTCATCCTTGTTGTTGTGTAAAACCACTGTATGTATGTGTACACTTAACAGAACTCCAATAACGTTTGGACACTTTCAAGCCTGCTCACTACCGTAACCTTTATAGCAGATGCGTAAACTTACAGTTTGAACGGGGGGTTGGTAAAATTGCACGCCACTAACTCTAGCAAGCAAATTGACCATATCAATTGGTTCAATTCTTTGATCTCCTCGTACACTTCACCCCCCCCTCCCCGACCGTGGCCTTCGCACATTCACTGTCCGCGTAATAATACTACTGTACGTAGTACTAGTATACAACTGTAACCTTTTGAGCTGTACTGGTATACGTATACCGGTAACGATTGCGATTTACTACAGTGTGCTTTTTTCGACTTCTGATTGTTGCGTGACCAATCAAAACCGTCTCCGTTGTTCGAATATCGAACGCGACGATTCAACTTTAGCGACACGGGATTGGCCACAACACGATCTTTCGGCCAAGCAATCAACACCATCACGGTGTACAACCAAACCACATTGCATATTCTATCTAGTCATCCAATTGTCCGTTCGGGCATGGTTCCAGCACTTGTTGCTGTGGTTGCGATAGCTGCTGCTACTGTTAGCGCCACCACGACATTGACGTCATTTGCAACCTCCTGCGATGCCAAGTTTGCCCTCAGCCGCTGCATTTTATCGTCTCCGTCGAGGTCATACAGCACTCGGCCTGCATCGATCCAAGCCTGCGTCGCACACTTTATCATTGCCGAATGCCCCAAATCGAAAGGACCTACGTGTCAATCGCAAGCCTCGGCCGATGCGATGCTACTGTACCACTATACTCTCGCCAACACTGCAGATATGACGTGGAGTTGGCACCAAGCGATGGGGGCTGTCACGAGTATCATGACGCACGCCAACTGCATCGTCGAAGTCTTTATGACCACAATGGTGACCGACGCAGCAACACATCCGGGTTGCGCCACCAAAACAACTCAAGTGGCAACTTCCTCCCTCCGTTCCACAATGTTTGGTCAATTGACTGGCTATTTGTCCGCACACCGTTCCAAGACTATCCGAGACAAATCAACCTCCTCCTCCTCCTTGTACATAGCCCCCCCATCGCTTCAGACAACCACAACCAGTAGTAACCTCCCCCGCTTCGGGAGGGACGACGAGGGGTCGCCGCTGCTCGTCTCCACCGTCGATGCAAAGTGGCACAGAACGACCGTCACCGCGTGCTCGTACCCCGCCCCTTCCATGACCGTGGACCCAATCCACGGCACCGATGTCGAGTCGCTGGCGTTCCACTTGCCAGTTCTAGACACGACCAATGACGACGACGACGACAACATTCGGTTCCACTCGGCGTTTCGGCACACGACACACGAAGGCCCGCACTCGCTTCAAGCCACGTGTGCAAAGTACTTTGTCGACACCCAAGCAGCGTTTGATCATTCGGTTCACGACTTGTCAATGTGGTCGTTTGCCCCCGACAAAGGGGGGGGAGGTGTGGCCCTACGGTGGAACGCAGAGTCAAAGCGAGTGGAATGCTACAGGGATGGGAAGACGACGACTGGATGCACTTTGTTGCGCTCGCGGGACGCCGTGTCGATGCTGCCATCAGGTCCGTCCTCAATGTATCCGTCGTGCCCGATTTTGGAGGGACATCGAAACGCATCGTCGTTGTGCCAATTGGGGCAGACCTGGCGACATCTCAAAAACGCAGGGGACAAGTGCTTTAGCTATTCGGGGTACCACCGCCTAGTCGTGACAAATCCACACGATGTACACAACAACATAACAGCACCACCAGCAGCGTTGCATCTGGAATCGGTACCGGGTCGCCCGTTTTGCAAGTTCGCGTCGTGGTCCAACGATGAAGCGACCTGCCATGCTAAGAGAACGCAGTGGTACATGACGTTGGGTTGTTGTAAAAGCTACGGCACGATCGTAGCCGACGAACGAGCCAAGGGGCATCCCTTGCCTGACCGAGGGGATGTTGGGGCGTTGGTTTACGAAAAGACGTTTGCCGCCCTGGACAAGTCCGATAGCCGCATAGGAGCTCGTCCTCCTCGTCTCGTTGCCGCTCCCTGGGACGACCGCGACTCGACCTCTACAACAGACGACCCATCCCTGCTGCATACGTTGATGCAGCAATGGGTGCCCTATTGCACCCAACAAAAGCGAGGGTCCAGCCGTACCGTTGCTCCCCCCGTCGAAACCGACATGGATGAAACCGAAGTCATGTGGTGTCGTCGCGTGCGCGAATGGCATGTTGCCACTTGTTTTCTCAACCCCTTCGCCCCCATGTGGTGCAAACTTTCCCTCCAATCATCGTCATCGTCGTCGTTATGGACAAGCGGGGGGGGCGACGGCGGCAGCGGCGGTGAAGGGGGGGTTGTGGTGGTGGTCAATACCCAGTGCCAAGCCAACACTTCGACAGGAGTGTTTCGAGTGGATACTGCCGTGGACGACGTCGCACTGGCATGTTTGAATCTTCCCCCCTCGTCAGAACCGTTTGGCGTTGCATTTGCCCACCTGCACGTGACCCCGAAACCGACTTGGACGGAGCCCGGGTTGGCGCTGATCGGGTTTGCCGCTGGGGCAATGACAATGTGGATCATCGTGGTTTGGATTTGGCCTGTCTACGAGAAGAAAACAGTACGACGCCGCCGCAGGCAAGCTGAAGGCGACAGCTCTGACGAGTACAGCCTTGATATGGTGCTGCTTTAAATTATATACATATGCAAACGCACTAGGATGAATAGGACATACCTTTAGTCTTCACAAGCTCGTACATCGGTAATACTTCAAATAATAGTAGTATGGATTAGTTTTACTGCCAGCACCATTTGTGACGCATTTATGCTTCGATATGCTATGTACAGTTAACAATACTAACGTTAATACTATTAATAACGTTAGTAGTTGTTTGTTTTCGTAGAAAGGCTGAAAATTGGCAATAATTTGGCAAAAAAGGGTACTACGCTCTGGCCAATCAAACGACACAATCATCACAGCATGTCCATGCCACCAGCGCCTCCATCCCTTGCCACTACAGCAGCCGTGGACACTGCGGTACAACCAAACGACCCTCCACATAAGAAAAACAAGCGCACCAAGTCATATGGGAGCTACCTCCCGCTGGGTCCGACTCAACGGACCTACTGCGCGACCGTGAGCTACGACGGCACTGGCTTTGTCGGATTCCAGCTGCAAGACCATGAACGCAATGTCGCAAGCAATAGTAGTAGTAGTAGTATTAGAACTAGCACGGCCAAAGCAGTACGCACCGTGCAATTGGTCTTGGAAGACGCGCTGCTGCGCACCACGGGCGAAACTATCCGCATTCGAGGCGCAAGTCGCACAGACAAGGGCGTGCATGCCGTCGGGCAGGTCGTCGCGTTTACCAGTGCCGTCGCCATCGACTCGAACGAAGTGTTTCTGCGAGCCCTCAACACCCGCCTCCCAGACGATGTCGTACGTCCATACTGCATCTCGTTGTTAACGTCATGCCACGTCATGCCATGTTGAAGTGGATGCATTTGTGGTATTTTTTCCTTCCGCTAACGTCATTGATTGGTGGCCCACTTTATGAAGTGCAATGTGAATTGATAGATATATATGTTGACGTAGGTCGTTACGAGTATGACACACGACGTTGACGTGGACTTTGACCCACGAAAGCAAAGCCAGGCCAAATGCTACATCTATCGACTCCGACATGGAACTGTGCGCGTTCCGTTGGCGCGCCATCAAGTGTGGCAGGTTTGTTTTCCCACCTCTCAAAATGTGATCCACATATATTCGTTTGTGGAGGATATAGATGTCGAAAGAGCTGGATGTGGACAAGATGGTGGAGGCGGCGGCGTGGCTTCAAAACGATGTTGCACAGGACTTTCGACAGTTTACCCCAGCCAAAGCCCTCGCGCCAGACAAAAGCACCCTGTGCACAGTCACTAAAGTACACTTGTGGACAGATAAAGCCGACCAAACTGTGCACATTCAAGTGGTGGGCAACCGGTTCCTCTACAAAATGGTGCGTACGATCGTGGGGGTACTCGTGGAAGTGGGGTTGGGACGCGCAACGTCGCAGCAAGTCCAACTGATGATGGCGCAGCCGATGGCATCGCATCGGTCCATCAGCACTGGCGCGCCACCTCATGGCCTCGTGTTGCAGTGGATTCAGTTGATAGAAGCATAACACCTTCATTCGTTCAAGTGCATTCAAATTAAGGAGTGAGCAAAACTAGCTACTGCAAGTCGGCAGACAATCCAATGACCTATCAAAACCCATTCAAGTGGGCAATGAAACTCCTGCAAAATCGAATTAGTGTATGACTTCAAATAGTGTGACAAATGTTCCGTATTCGTATTCCTGAGTACAAAATGACGACACCAACACCATCAAACAATCCATATCTGGGCAGTTATTCTGTTTCAAATGCTATTAGTTGTGAGAGTTCATATCAAAAGAAAAACATACATGCCATCCAAACTCTCATTTAAATCGGAATAGATTAGGTGTAACAGTTTATTGATGTCGTCGACTTTACAAAAAATCGATCGATCCAATATTATCTGCACCTTATCTGGTAGATCCTCCTTGCCAAAAAGCAATGTCGATACTACAACCATAATACATGTAACGTTATACAGTCCATTAACACATTCGTGGACTCCAAATGACTACATCCAACTCCTCCATCGTGTGAGTACACGCCTCACTGCAGCACGGACATTTCTTCGAGTAGCGCCAAGTTTCTGGCAAACCCGCTGACGCCACTGACCAGACAGTTGAGCACGAGAATCTCCTCCACCGACAGCCGGGTGTACCGGTGGTCTTGCAGCATCCACGAGGCATATTGCGACCGCATGTCCTGGACAACCTCCACCAATGCCAGCGAGTCGACGCTGAGGAGCAGATCGTGCGATCGAGTGAGCTGGCTGGCGTCGTTGACGGCCGACGAACTCGACAGTTTTCGGGTGGGTTCGACGTCGTCCTCGCTACTAGGCAGGGGGGGCACCTCCAACATGACAATGGGGGGCCCAGCCATATGATCATCCTCTAATATAGCCAAAGGGGGAGGTGCTACTGGCACTTCGTCCTCTGCGATGGGGGCCAATACTGGCTCGATTGTCGCCGTAGTTTTGCTCACGGACGTGTACTTTTTCTTGGTAGTGGACCGATGCTGAAACACTTCAACTTGGAGCTGCAGTCCGTGCTCGAGGGCGTCGATAAACTCTTCCAAACTGACTTTGCCGCTCTTGTCGCTGTCGACAATCTCCATAAACTCGGCCACGTAGCTGTCAATAGCGTCGACTTTGACCGCGCCAGACTGGGCAAAGATCATCTCGAGCATCGACTTGACTTCGTCGGCATCGATTTCACCGCTGCAGTCCTTGTCTGCCAACCGAAACGCTTCCTTCATCTGCATAAACAGCGCCGTCTGGTCCCCGTCAGCGTACGTAAACGACTCGCCAAACAAATCGTGGAGCGTGTCGAATGTATCGTGAATGGCTCGGCTGGCTTGGGCGGTCGAGAAGCCCCAGACTTCGTTATCTGGGACTGTTGTATTTACCAGTGCCTTTGTGACGTCCATTTTAGTAGGAAATCGACTTGTGGGGGGGGTGTTGGGGGGACGAGAAGATGGAGATGCAGATGGATGCTGGAGATTCATGCGGTGCTTATACCATTGCGTGAGTTTGAATAGCACCAGTGTGTTGTTCAGCAGTCGCTGGCAACAATCGAGCACAGCTTCGTACTTTTGCGTCGAAAATGGCGGCTTCCACAGCAACGGCTCGAACGCTGCTTCCTTGAGCAATGCAGCTTGTTCAACCAGCAACGCCGGGAGCTTCTTCTTGACAATCGCCTTGATTTCCGACGCTGTAGCTTCGTCATCTTCATCTTCGGTGGCCACGGCGCCGTCTCGGGCCAATGTGTCTTGCACAAGTACTTGAAAGCACTGCTGGTACAGCTTCATTTGCTTTTGGATGTTGGCACGCAGCAGAGCCATGGCGCTTTGCGGGCAGATGGCCATTTCCACGATAATAAACAGCACAATCCCCAAACTCATCTGCGCCAGGTTCGAATACGACGAAATCGGTGCCACCGACCCCTTTTCGCACCCGTCGCACCCTTTAAGCAGTACTTGGGTCGCCGTAAACGCCGAGATAAGACCCGCATAAGACTCAAACCCGCCCTTCCACTTGATATACATGGAAAACGTCACCCACACAAACAAGAGACTGTTGGTGACTGCGAGCACGACGATGTTGCTGCCGCACCCGAACGAGCAAATGTAAAAGAGGCAGATGGATGGAATTATGCTGCCAGTGATGACCCCCCCGACTCGGTTTGCGGTCACACTGAACGACCCGCCTATACATACCGTCAAATGATATGGACAGTCCCAGTTGTCCCACTGTAGTCGTCAAAATGATATGGACCCAATTATCCCACTGTACACAAGGCATACCCAAGTGATATGGACACAATCGTCCCACTGTAGGCTACCACGTACTAGTACTTACAGTAGAATATGATCCTGGAAGCTTCGTAGAAACAAACGTACAGTGGGTCTCAAAAGTCATCATACCCCAAAGAATTCGATACTTAAAGCAAGCGAATTTTGGCTTGAAAGTTGCAGAAAATACTGTAGGCATAGTGTGCCAAACAGTTTTTCTAGTATACTCCTTGACCAGTCACTAAATATCGGCTCTACAGTGTACTACCCCAGGCATTGAAAGCAGCTAGATAGACGTACGGGTATGTGATTCCACACGATTACCATGACAACAGACTGAAAGTATCCACCCAAGTGCAAAGTTGCGACACCGTGTCGCATATAACAAAAGCTCCCCACTACTTCGAAGTATTATAAACTATCCACTGTTTGTCATAGAGTCAACCAATCACTGCGTTCGAAATCGTCATACGTTTGCAGCGACAAACGATATAAAAGCACAGTCTCACACGAAGAGATTTATAACAGATATATATATAGAAGAGATTTATAACAGATATATATAAATATATAATAGAAATATATATAGAAATAGAAATATACTATTCATACCAATGTGATTGCCCATCACATACGCAACAGCCCCCGCCGTTGTGGAAGAGTACCCAAACGTAAACACCGACAGAAAGCACGCAATCAGGATGGCCATGGCCACTTTGGCTGCCGTCGTGAGCTTCTCGCGCGAATAATTGTCAGGGTTTATGTACGAAGCGACCACATTTTGAACAAAGTTGACCACGCGGGCGCGCTAGATGGAATATTGTTTGCTGAGATCATATGCGACCAAGTAGATATATATATATATTTCAAGCCAAAAATAATATTTATTCTTGACATTAAGACATGAAGAGAGAGGACCAAATGATGAAAATGTGTTTCAGCATGCATACCAATGGGGGTTCCACACTACGCGGACAAAAAAAAGATGTATTTTTTTGTTATCTTGATAAAATAAATATTGTTTAATTTTTTTATCAGAATATGAACATGGGATAAAATAAATATAATTGTAGGTAGTTCACAGTACTACTGTATGCGACAGCAACCAGCGACGCGTTCTGTTATTACGGATGCATTGATAGAATAGTTTTGTTCCAAAAAGTCAACGATATATTTAGTGACCATCCAGTTTATCAAGACTACTATTATTTGGTGATACCGTACAAAAGGACGTGCATTCGTTTATTTCAGGCATTCCATTGATCACGTGGTTTTGAGGTGTCAGCGACTTACAAATTCCATACTTCGATTCCCAATAAATTTCCACATAGAATGATGCAATATTTAAACTTTGTCAATGTATATTGATTGAATTATAAACAAAAGATCGCTGGATGTTGTCGTAAACTGTCAGTAATTGGATTCGTTACAAATATTTCCAGACCCCGTCAAATCGACGCTAGTGGCTAATCGAATTTTGAGTGGAATTGATTGGCTCTACAAGTATATTCAACGTGATTCAAGATTGATTAGACAAACAACCACGTGAAATTTGGAAGGTTATAGCGAGAATTCACAATAATTTGTAGTACAAAGACAAGAGAACGATGAATACAAAACCATGGATGGTTCTTGCATCCACCGTCCGTATGTTACGTACCGTAAGCCGAGTCTTCCCGTTGAATAACGCTTCAAATTCGATCAACGTAGCTACATACGACTGCAGCGTAAACACAAACAGATGCAGCGGGACGTTGGCTTCCACTTGTGCACGCGTCGGGCTGTGACTTCTGTACAGACGCATTTGAGTTGATTGAACTGTCGCTAAGAGGTGCTCCATGTACATTGCCAGCTTGGTGGTTTCGTTCAACGCCATGGCTAAATCATATATTTTGCATTTCACTCAAATTTGGACTTTTATTTCACCAAATATACAGCATTCAAGCCATTTGATCTCATTTAAGCTTGTACAAATAATACTATACAACGATTAGTATATATATGTAGTTTTGCCCAATTCGGAGGGCCGAATCAAACGTTTGGATTGGCAGAAATTGGACAAGACGTGATTTGATTGGATAGGCGGTTCTTTCATCCATTCTCTCAAGACATTTGATTCTGGTGAGAGCTCCAGTTTCGAATCGATTAGGCAATATATAATGTATAGATGGTCATCGTCAGTGCACCTCCTGTAGGGTACGCAAAAATGAACCACAAATTGCAATGGAATTTCGGGTCAACTATAACGAACAACGCAGCAACAAATCACACACAAAACCAAACGGGAACCATTTATATATATATATAAGTATAATATATAAATATATATATCTACACCATCGACTGTAATGAATGTGGTCCACGCTCATTTTCAACCTCGTCACAGACCTACGGTATATGACTTGGTCTGTACCGCACTAATTCTGAATCCACACAACTTCCCAATCCGCCCAAAGTACGGTCGACAGTGTAGCTCATTTACAGAACATGCTTGGGATGTACAATATATATATATATATATATATATATCGTTATATGTACATACTTGAAGTATATATATCGTATGCAAACATTTCACCACATGTCGTTGATGATGATACTGTATGCCATCATCATCAACAACACACATAACGTTACTAAACCAACCCCCCGTGTCAAAAACGACAATACAGTCGTCTAGACTCCAAATACACCAGTGTAACACTACTATCCCAAGCAAGTATATATATATATATATATATATATTGTCAAGTCGAAATATTCGAAATTGGAGTGTTTGGGTGCTCAATCGAATGACCAGAATCACCAAATCGGCATACAATCGATCACCAATCAAAACCCAGATCACTATCCAAGTAGCCAATCAAATCCACTCTTCGACCAATGCAACATCGAATTAGTGTGTGACTTCAATTAGTGTGACACTGGGCGATTTTTACATACAAAAGTCAATACAAAGAATCGATCGATAGATTTGGCAACGAAAACAGCCCAAAAGTCCAACATTTTGGGTAAAACAACAATATTTATATATATAAATATATATACTGTACCTTGAACAAGGCTGTGCACACCGTGTGCGATTTCGTCAGTGACTTTGGTCGCATAGAGTTGAACCAAATACACTGGTTTTTGCACCGCCCTCATCAAATCATCGTGTACCCCCCCCCATCGTAGCGCTCCCACAGAATCGCTTGGTTCATGGCGCGAAGATTTTGCAGCTGCGTTCCAAATAGGTCGATAAACGGCTTGGTGGCGGGTTTGCGAAAGCGTAGCGGGAGGTGCAGCCCCACCAGTTGCTCCCACCAAATGTCGTTGAGCAGCGTGTGCATGGTCGCCAGTTTGGCTTCGGCAACGTCAAACTTGCGCTTGAGTTTGAGTTTGAGAAAGTTCATATGTTCGACGTCCTTGTGTTTGAAGCAGTACGAATCCACCAATAAATTCAAGAGCTCTTCCAACATCGACGCGCACTCAGTCGTGTGCTCTTGGAGCTTTCGAATGGCAAAAATCGGGTACGGCACCCACAGCATCACTTGGGCAATGCATGCGCCCGTGACCCCCAGCAACATGTACACCATGAGATTGCGAAGGAGGTTGGACGTTCGGTAGAGGTCGTCGCCTGGGGCTTTAAGTACCGATGGGTTGGTAAAATCATTGGGGCTGACCAACGTCAATGCAAAGTACAAGTTGTTGCCGAGCATGTACTTTTTCGTGTTGGTTTCCTAAGCTTTGTTAGAGTGTGTGTAACTAAATGTATGGCAAAGTGCAATGTGCCAGCATCATCTTCTATTGTCGGAATATATTCGTCAAAAATATAAATTGTCCATTTGATACAAATTTGGGGAGGGGGGCAATCGAATCGCGCCGACCAAACCGGTCCACAATCGACCTGATTGGTTGAATTTCATTGAGAAGATTTTGATTGGTTAATAATTTTGAGCTCATCTGAGGTAGCCAATTAAATTCCAACGAGAAACCACGCCACAACACATTGTCCAATCGATCGACAATCAATTGACCAATCCAAACTCAGACCAATAATCAAGTGGCCAATCAAACTCCCTTTTCAACCATTCCACATTGAATTAGGGGTATAGCTTATATATTCGTGTGAAACTGGACGTTACTCTACCGGTACATAGTGGTTAGGTACTACTTTTAATTCGATCGATGGATGGATTTCGTGAATCAGCACATAAATCCAAGGTTTGGCTGATAGGACAATAATGAAAAAAGTGTCCAATCGCAATTGATAAAATGCGACCACTATCATATAAATTACCAACATGAAAAGTACAAACGACAGCAAGTAGAACGTACCAGTGGCAACACCAACGCGACTATTGTAAAGAGCATAATAAACGGCAAAATCGTAAAAAAGTCGCCCTCGTGGACATAGTACGGAGTGCCGCTGAATGAATTCGTGATACGAGTGAGGGTGCCATCGACTTTGGCTAGCTCCACTACACCACATACATGTATGTATTCAAGTTGCCTGTGGTACAACAGTAGTGGTGTACTTACATTCGGCCTTGGTATTAAACACTTGGGGCTCAAAGCATGAAAAAATGAGCAAGTTGTACAGTAACGCAAGGCCAACCCCCGAGATCTGCTGGAATAGCTCGCGAATGGTCGACCCAATGTTCTTGCCACACCCAAACACAGTAGCAGTAGCAACGTACGATAACCCCCCCAGGATGTACCATTCTGGGAAGAAATACCACTGCTTTGTGCGTGACGTGGCAGTCACGAGAGCAGTCGAGTCGGTATTTTTGGTGAGCACCAACGAGGCCAAGACGACTCCCACGGCCGTGCGCAGGGCCAGCTCCATATTGAACTTGAAATCGGCTAAGAGTTGTTCAGCAAGTTTGTCAGAGTAGCCAGCAGCGAATGCAGAAACGGACGGGATGGGGCTAAATACATACGTACGGCGGTACTTGGTATGCGCATCATCCACTGATCTCTTCTTGTGGTCGTTCAATTGGATTTTCAGCTTGCCCGTGGAGACGCCGCCATTGGTTCCGCTAGACCTGCGGCGCCGATCCGCAGCTTCGATGGGCGCCGACGAGGTCGTGGCCGGGCGACTGGTTGGTTGATTCGAACGGATGATGTTTGACAACGGAGTTTCCCCCCCGTCTTGCCTATGTAATCGGTAGGACGTATTATGCTGCTTTTCTCACTCGAATACGAATATAGAGATGCAGTGTTGTGTACTGTGGGGGCGATACCAACGCGTCGTAAACCGGCGGGGGCTCCGTGGGCATGCTTGACCAACCAAGGCCACGGATGGATGGATGGATGATTGTGCTGCCAACCCAAACTTGTTCGATGTTTCAACGGGAAAACACCCAAATCCAAGTAACGTCATACGAATGCAGAATATAGTAGATAGAACGAACACTTGAATAAAACCAAACGGATGTAGTTACATAATAATACGTATGTATTCAGACACTTCAGTGCCAGCCAATCGTTCTTGTACGTGTACAGCGATAGTGTGCTTATGGCGATGCTTACCAACACCGTGCTACTTCTTTGGGTCGCTATGTCCATGTGTATGTGCTTCTTGAACAACATCGAGGGGGTTCGTGGGGTTGATAGCTTCTTGCACGTCTATCCAGATCCTTTTGCATGGTTAAGACGCCTCATATCCCCTTTTCTTCGTATGTGAGTTAGGCCCAATGGGACTTTGGGGTGGTGTTGTTCGTGGTCTATTTATCACACCAAAGATCAAGCCCAACAAAACTCCTCATGTTTGGGCAGTGTTGCCAGACATCTTACACAACTCCTTGTAAGGGGGAGTAGCAAGGGGGTGGACACATCCCATGACTGAATGACTCGACAAATATGAACGATGGTTGATCCAAACCAAGAACTAAGTTCCAAATAGATTGGGGGGGTGAAGGCTGGCTTAAGGGTTCGCCATCGCGGTCAGTGTTAAGCCATTCCATGTGCTGCACCTATGGTACCTCTGTCGCACTTATACTGCTTTTTCAGAATTCTTCTACTGGGGGCCACGGCGCTGTCGTCGAGGTTGCAACTCCCGCGCCTGCATCACTAGAAGCCGCGCAATCACAGCGCTGATATCCTCGTAACGTTACTTCTGTTGTTCTTGATGTACTTGACCCACTGGAATCACGTATAACGTTATTGCGGTATAACTTTACTCTCCAAGCTGCGACTCGAGGATCTGATTGGCTTTACATGTTAATCCAGTATAAGTATATCTTGTCCAATCAGATGCGACTGTAGTGGAATGCCAGGCAATCCGATTTAAGAGGGTCAGTTCGCGTTCTACATAATCTTTCGCAGATCGACTTCCGGTTTTGGCAGCTCAGCGTACACTGTATTTCACTAACTGTTATTAATAGTATACTAACTACACTGCTTACATACTACTACATAGTAACCCACAACTACTGTTTGTATGCATGATGTGTCGGAGAAGTGTATAGGTTAGTATTACTACGTACAGTATTCCGCAGTACTACAGTCTGTAGTACAGTACTCACTAGGACATACTCGGAGTATAAACAGTAAACTGACATTTGCCCTGCGGTATACACTGCAGCATTACATGTTGTACAATAGTACTGTACGACTTACCAGTACAGTACGTGAACTGTTCAACAATCGCGACTCTACTGCCGGTAAGATTACGAAAAGGCAAGCTGGTGACAGGATTGCTTGAGGATATTTGTTGGTGTTGTTATTGTCTTTGGAGTAGCACAGGAGAATTGACTGTCTATAATCTGTCAACCCCATGTGTGTACCAGTAGTACAGTACGTACTATAGTACTACTGTACTGTAGTAGTACGTTACTCGCAATAGTACCAGTAGTAAGTACAGTAGTACCAAGGTATGTCCCTGGGGCAAACCCACGTATACAATACGTTGAGATTACTCTCGGAAGGCCAACTTGAATTTTCCCATTGGTAATGGTCGGCCATGACAATGCCACATAGCATCAGAATGGTGCCGACGTCGGCTTGGTACTATTAATACTACGTAGTAACTGTTAACCTAACGTTAACGACATGTGTACACTACAGACTCACTGGAAACAACAATGAAAAGATGGCAGATGTACTGTACGTATATAGTAGTGGCCAGCATCCACATCGAATTAGTGTGTCTCTGCAATTAGTGTGCATCCAATTGCCACAACCAGGACAACGTTGTATACAAACTTCAGGACAAAGAATATCGATCGATCGGTCGAGTTGGCGAATCAACACACACAAGTCAGCAGAATGGTATGCCTTAATTCACTAATATGCCTTAATTCACTAACGTTATCAGCAGAATGCCTTACTGTTAAGAGAGTGAATTAAAGAAGTGCCTAAGCCAATCAAATCACATCCTGTCGAGTTTTTGCCAATCCAATCATTTGATTGGGCCTAGCCCCTCCGCATTGGGCAAAACTACATATATCCAAATCTTTGTATCGTATAGTTTGTACAAGCTTAAATTAGATCAAACGGATTCGAATGCTGCAGTATTTCGCGAAATCACTCACAAGTCCAAATATTTGGGTCAAAGGCACAATAAAAAGTCAATTACTTTGTAGTAAGTAGTACTAGTACACTTACAAGAAGTTTACAAATATACCGTAAGGGCAATAATACTGTAGTTATCACAATAATAATATCACCTTGACTATGATTTGATGGATCGTGTAGAATAGGTTTGCCCCACTTTGGGGAATTCGAAGACGTTTGATTGGCTATCCCGTAGCCTTTCACTCGTTGCACACGCCATTACCGATCCGCATATTGTACGGTAGGTACGAATTGTTTGGAATTTGCTACCCAAGAGGTGAAACCACACCGCCGTTCGCCGTGGAGTCGACAACACTCAACATGCTAAGCCCTACGCCATACGTGGCTTCGACCACTCCGCCGCCGTGAGTAGTGCAACGTGTCTGCGCTTGAAATGTGGCTGCCAAGTCACGATCTGTGGTCGTTGTAGGGCCACGACCAACGAGGTCGAGATGGAGCCGCCGATCCTCGTCCACCGTACCAGCCGCGTGTCTGGGAATCGCCGTCCATCGCTCCCGTCCATCTCGGTGACTCCGCCGCAAGAACCGACGCTGCGCCAGCGCCTCAGCTCCGTCGTCAGCAACAAAGCCGGCAACAACAACTATGAAACAGTCGGCAAGCTCAAAATCCAACTCGACAAAGAGCGCCGACTTGACACGGACTCGTCCAAATTCCGCCGTACGTGTCCATCTGACCTGTGTGTATGTGTTGCTGTTGTCGTTTCCGAGCAACGTGTTCATATGTACAATATGTACAGTACATATTGTGCATTTCACACATATTTGGAATCTACTTCAAAGTAAGAGTGTATTTGATCTCATTTAAGCTTGGGCAAACTATACAACGATCAGTATATGTGGTTTTGAGGGGAGGGGTCGAACGTTTAGATTGCCAGAATATATTCGACATGACGTGAATTGATTGGTTCAGGCGGTTCTTTAATCGATTCTCCTAATATATTCGATTATTCTGCTGATGGCTCAGAATCGATTTGACAATATATATATATATATATATTGTTGGCATTGGATATGAAGTTGGACTCCTTGATTGGTCCAGATTTGCCTTGTCCATGTGTTATTGCTATAATACTATGTTCAACACCCTGTCCAACAACTGGGATGCCCATCACACTAATTCAAGTTGCTCGACCACACACACACACTAATTCGTTGTGTTTTGCGCAATATAACCGATTGGCTACCAAATATATATATAATATATATATATATATTGCTGTACCTATCTTGTTGCAAACACAGTCGTCCATGTGGGTGGGTGGCTACTCTAACAATCTTTCGTTCTCTAGCCGATTTCAAGTTCAATATGGAGCTGGCCCTGCGCACGGCCGTGGGAGTCGTCTTGGCCTCGTTGGTGCTCACCAAAAATACCGACTCGACTGCTCTCGTGACTGCCACGTCACGCACAAAGCAGTGGTATTTCTTCCCAGAGTGGTACATCCTGGGGGGGTTATCGTACGTTGCTACTGCTACTGTGTTTGGGTGTGGCAAGAACATTGGGTCGACCATTCGCGAGCTATTCCAGCAAATCTCGGGGGTTGGCCTTGCGTTGCTGTACAACTTGCTCATTTTTTCATACTTTGAGCCCCAAGTGTTTAATACCAAGGCCGAATGTAAGTACTAGTAGTACTACTACTGCTACTAACTTTTATATGTGGTGATGTATATATTATATATAGTGAACGTGGCCAAAATCGACGGTACCCTCACTTATATTTCGCATGCGTTCAGTGGCAGCCCGTACTATGTCCACCAGCGCGACTTTTTTACGATTCTGCCGTTTATTATGCTCTTTACGATGGTCGCGTTGGTGTTGCCACTGGTACGTTGATCTACTTGCTGGCATTTGTATACTGTAAAGTTTAGAATTTATAGCTCGCATGTCGTATTTTATGTCTCGCAGGTCGTATTTTATGGCTCGCAGGTCGTATTTTATGGCTCGCAGGCGGATTTTATGTCTCGCAGGTCGTATTTTATAGCTCGTATTTCGTATTTTATAGCTCGCATGTCGTATTTTATGGCTCGCAGTTCTTATTTTATAGCTCGCATGTCGTATTTTATGGCTCGTATTTCGTATTTTACGTAGCTTGTCGTTGGGTTATATTTTGCGAATTGAGACCTTGATTTTTGTTTATCCATGACATACACACTGCCGCCACTTGATGCCTCGTATATTGTATATAACTTGGTCCCATAGTTTATAAATACTTGCGATAATGTGGTGTTTGTATGAGTACTAACATTGTACGTATCGTAATATGTGAGCACATTTGTAATGATGTCGTTTTCGCGGCAATCATGGACCATAAAAGGACTTGGCCGAATTGATTTGACATATTAGTCTTGAGTACGCTTTGAAGCTTATTCCATGTATGGTAGATATACCGATTGGACTGGGGGTAAACCTATACGAATCGATGATTGGTTGATATATCTTGTTCGTGCACTTTGATTGGCTAGAATAATAATCCATCTCAACTACCTATCAGTCGATTCGACTCATTCAACCTGGAACGGATATATTTCGAACAATATATATATATATGGCTTGTCCACGAGAGTGAAAAATAACATGTTGTATGGATAGTTTGTATATTGCAACGATTTATGTTTATATAATTGGACCAGTTTTCACACGAAACATTTCAGTCCCACATTTGGATGTACTGTACGTACATATAAAGTATGTGTGTACATATGTCGGAATCGTGGAAGGGAAAAGTATATATATACTCGATTGATTATTCGTATATTTATTATTATTAATCGGTTCACTTGATGTATTCGTATCCGCTCTTTTTTTTTTTAATCCTCCCTCGTACTGGACCATAAGTAGAGTCGTACGAAGCAATCCTCGACATGTTGATTGTATACAAACTCAAAGATATATATATACATACACACTATTGACATGTTGATTGTATACATACATATATACTCACACATGTACATATACACTCATATGTAGGAAACCAACACGAAAAAGTACATGCTCGGGAACAACTTGTACTTTGCATTGACGTTGGTCAGCCCCAACGACTTTACCAACCCATCGGTACTTAAAGCCCCAGGCGACGACCTCTACCGAACGTCCAACCTCCTTCGCAATCTCATGGTGTACATGTTGCTGGGGGTCACGGGCGCATGCATTGCCCAAGTGATGCTGTGGCTTCCATACCCAATTTTTGCCATTCGAAAGCTCCAAGAGCACACGACGACATGTGCCGACAACATCCAGGACCTGCTCAATTTGATCGTGGATTCATACTGCTTCAAGAACAAAGACGTCGAACATATGAACTTTCTCAAACTCAAACTCAAGCGCAAGTTTGATTTGGCGCTGGCCAAGCATGCAACCATGACAGCGCTGCTCAACGACGTCTGGTGGGAGCAACTTGTGGGCCTGCACCTCCCGCTACGGTTCCGGCTCTCTGCAGTCAAACCGTTTATCGACTTGTATGCGTCCCAGATTGAAAACCTCCGCGCAATGAACCAAGCAATTGTCCTCGAACGCTATGAAACCCTCCACGAACTCTTTATGAAGGCTGTGCAAAAGGAAGTGTACATTGTCCAGCTTCACGCGACCCGCCTCCTCGATGAAATCTCGACTCAAGTGCACCAAGGCACCACGGGTAATAAAAACTATATATTTATTATTTATTATATATATATTATATATATATATATTATATATATTATATTATATTATATATATATTATATGTATTATATATTGTATATATATTATTTATTATATATATTATATGTATTATATATATATATTGAGTGTATGAGTTAGATGGATGGATGGATGTGGTACTCTATTGTTGGATGGGGAGGATGGATGTTGGTTTGTATTAATTACTCTTGATTTCCGCGGGCGGTTGGTCGAGTGGAATCGAGTTTGAACTGCCCGATAATCCCTGGACTTACCTGCGACACGTGATATATATTTTTATATATGATATATATATTTATATATTTATATATGATATATATATTTATATATTTATATATGATATATATTTATATATTTATATATTTATATATCAAGTTCCTCTTCAACTGGTATGTATATATATATATATCACTTGAAGAGGTAGCTTTGGGGATCATTTTTTCATTGTGTCGTTTTTAGCCAATCGTATTGCAACCTTCATAAGTTTTATCCAATCGTATACGGTTTTGATGCTCGCTCGATTTCGTGGTGATTGCAACAAACCTCCAAAATATATTGGCAATATGGGCCAAATGCACAATATATATTATATATATATATATAGCTTGTGCCAAGGATGGTTTGAGGGATGATACACGTGCGTGCATGCATGCATGTACTCGGGATTGACTAAATCGGTATTATATAGAGCAGAGGTAGGGGAAAATATTTTTTTTTAGAAATCGACCAAAGGGTAAACTGGATTTTTGGTATCATGGAATGGTGGCAAAGTCCCATATTCTTGTCTTGCCTTTCGGATGTTTGCCTACAATGAATCATTTTATATGTTTGGTGTACATGATTTCTATGAATAATTTTATTTCCCTACACATATTAGATATAGAATAATATTTTTGTCGGCACCATGCAATATTTTATTGGATCCTCGCAAATATATTATAAAATTGTCAATTATTGTATCGTCAATTTTTCTTTCCCGTACCCTCTTGTACAGGGTATGTTCATTTGATCAGATGTGTGGGATTAAAATGCAGGTTACAAGGTTAGAGGACTGATTTATATATATAAATTTAATCTTTTGTAAACACCGTATCTTGGATATCATGCCAGATATGGACACATGTGTATAAGCCGTCAGGCAAGTTTTTTTTTCGTATTCTTTGAATCCTGTTGTGCTTTGAAACAATCTATGCCACAGCAACGATCGATCCTACAACCATGTTACTCGTATATATATTTAAATGGTTTGAACTTCGTAGAATTGGACCTGCACGAATCCGCGCGGGTGGAAAAGCACATGGAGTCGCTACTGACGCACTTTCAAGCGACCCAAAATCGCATATACAAACGTCATGCGCCAACGCCCAAGCAGGTGGAAGCCAATATTCCCCTGAATTTGTTTGTGTTTTCGTTGCAGTCGTACTGTTCGACCTTGCTCGAGTTCCAGTCGGCGTTCAACGCGAAAACCCACACCACGGTACAAACACGACGTAATTCATACATGAAAAAGAAAACCAAATAATTAAATATTTTTTTGTAAACGAATGTTTTTCTATATATATAAAGTATATAATATAATATATGTTAAATATATATAATCCTTGTTTATCCCCCAATGGTGGCCTTGTGTGCTGCTTCTTTTGATATATTCGCCTCTAATTCTAAAATCGATCGATTCGTTGACGTGACGTTTGTATGTAAAACAAGCAGTCGTACTTGCAATCATCACACGAATTCCAGTCTCCCATCACAATTCTTAATTCGAATTCAAATGGATGCTTTTGCTGCAATCGGATTGGCTCATACGATGCTTGTATATATATATATATATATACATGTACGTTTTGGTGGGTCGATGATTGTTCTTGGTTTTATTCTCCATAGTATGTCACTCCAGCATTAAACCCCCAAACAACACACCAATATATATATATATATATAAATATATTATGAATAGAGCAAGCGCATGGTCAAGTTCATTGCGAGTACACTCCAGACGTTTGTGGACAAGGCCAAGTACCCTCGAGACAAGATGGAAATGGCTGCAAAGGTCTGGTTTGCCATCCTCGCCGCCTGCTTTTTCTCCGTCTACTCGTTTGGGTACGCCTCGACGACTGCGAATGCCGTTGCTTATGTCATGGGCAACCACATCGGTACGTTGCTCAAGTCGTGGCTAAGCTTGTATCATGATATATAATATGATGGCACGGTGGTCTGTATTTGAATGAGTTGGGGGCATACAGTGAATACAGTCTGGTGTTGCTGGGGGTTATATATATATATATAAAAACCCCAGCAACATATATATATATATAATCCCCAGCAACACCATACTGTATACACTATATATATATATATATGTTAAATTCGTTTCGGAACAAGGTGCTCTAGAAAACTCCTGTTTGGTTGGGATAATAATATATATGATGTATTCGTTGTCTCGAGGGTTAGTCTGCCGACGAAATATTCTTTTTATAATATATTATTTTATGTATTTGGTGGGTCGATTCATATAAGGATTATAATATTTCTCCATATATACTGTATGTCAACTTGCTCTAGTCTGTCGACGGATGAAACAAAATGTCCTATATTGTGCATTTATCCCAAATGTGGACTTAAAAGTCATTTCGCCAAGTAGCGTTCGAATCTATTTGATCCAAAATGTAAGCTTGTACGAACAACTAGACTATACAAATATCAGTATATATATATATATATGGTGGACTGACTCGAGCCCTCATCAAACGTTTGGATTGGCAGCACAAATGCACCAGAACATGATTTGATTGGCTTTGGCGGCCGTTCTTGAATCCATTCATTCTCTTCTGATTTTATCCATTTGGCAATAAAAAAACTATATATTTTTGTGACTAGGCGGGTCGTTCAGTGTGACCGCAAACCGAGTCGGGGGGGTCATCGCCGGCAGCATCATTCCATCCATCTGCCTCTTTTACATTTGCTCGTACGCGTGTGGCAACAGCATCCTTGTGGCCATTAGCACATACAGCCTCTTGTTTGTGTGGGTGACAGTGTCCATGTATATCAAGTGGAAGGGCGGGTTTGAGTCTTATGCGGGTCTTATCTCGGCGTTTACGGCGACCCAAGTGCTGCTTAAAGGGTGCGACGGGTGCGAAAAGGGGTCGGTGGCGCCGATTTCGTCGTATTCGAACCTGGCGCAGATGAGTTTGGGGATTGTGCTGTTTATTATCGTGGAAATGGCCATCTGCCCACAAAGCGCCATGGCTCTGCTGCGTGCCAACATCCAAAACCAAATGAAGCTGTACCAGCAGTGCTTTCAAGTACTTGTGCAAGACACATTGGCCCGAGACGGCGCCGTGGCCACCGAAGATGAAGATGACGAAGCTACAGCGTCGGAAATCAAGGCGATTGTCAAGAAGAAGCTCCCGGCGTTGCTGGTCGAACAAGCTGCATTGCTCAAGGAAGCAGCGTTCGAGCCGTTGCTGTGGAAGCCGCCGTTCTCGACGCAAAAGTACGAAGCTGTGCTCGATTGTTGCCAGCGACTGCTGAACAACACACTGGTGCTATTCAAACTCACGCAATGGTATAAGCACCGTATGGATCTCCAGCATCCATCTGCATCTCCGAACAGCAACAACGACCAAGCAAAAGATCACCACCATCAAACGTCCAACACGAGCACGACCGCTAACCTTATCTCAGACGACGACGACGACGACGTAGCTAAACCTGAAATTGTGACAGAGAAAAAGGAAGTGTGGGGCTTCTCGACGGCTGAAGTCAACTTGGCCATTCACGATACATTCGACACGCTCCACGATTTGTTTGGCGAGTCGTTTACGTACGCCGACGGCGACCAGACGGCGCTGTTTATGCAGATGAAGGAAGCGTTTCGGTTGGCAGACAAGGACTGCAGCGGTGAAATCGACGCCGACGAAGTCAAGTCGATGCTCGAGATGATCTTTGCCCAGTCCGGCGCGGTCAAAGTCGACGCTATTGACAGCTACGTGGCCGAGTTTATGGAGATCGTCGACAGCGACCAGAGCGGCAAAGTCAGTTTGGAAGAGTTTATCGATGCATTGGAGCACGGTTTGCAGCTCCAAGTTGAAGTGTTTCAGCATCGATCCAACAAGGTGGTACCGGCGCATTATCATGTACCACATGAAGACACCTCGCGACCTTCGCGGCCGTCTATGATGGAGTTCCAGCCCGCCCCTCGAACGTCGTCGCAGATCACGTCGTCGCAGATTGACCACGGCGGTGACAATATGACCCGCGCTCATGACATGCTCAATGTCGACTCGTTCGCGCTGCCAGATGTAGCCCAAGCTATGCGAACCATGTACGCGTCGTGGCTGCTCGAGAATGGCCGATATGAAAAGGCTTCGATGGAGGATTTACTCCTGCTCAACTGCTTGATCAGCGGCGTGAGTGGGTTTGCGAGAAACTTGGCGATGTTGGAAGAGATGACCGTGCAACAGTAGTAATACAAAACAGCAAACTGTTGTATAGATTATATATATATATATATATATATATTGTATATTGTCGATTTGATAGTACAAATTTGGGGACGTGGTGCAATCAAATCGCGCCGACCAAACCGATCCACAATCGATCTGATTGGTTGTTGAATTTCGTTGAGAGGGTTTTGATTGGCTATTAATTTTGAGCTCATCTGAGGTAGCCAATCAAATCGATTTAAATTCCAACGAGCAACCACGCCACAACACGAAATTTCACTCGAAAGCACAATATATGTTATGCACACATACATTGGGCCTGTAACATACAAGTATATAGTATACATATATACAGTATGGGGAAGTTCCAAGAAGTTTTCAGAAATAGCATGAGCCAATCAAAATCGATTTACCTCTTTTTCTACTTTTGGTATAGTGAGTTGTGTAAAAAAGCGCAGAAAACGAGGTAAAAAAGTAGGAAAACTATTGTGCTTTCGAGTGAAATTTCGTGTTGTGGTTTCTCGTTGGAATTTAAATCGATTTGATTGGCTACCTCAGATAGCTCAAAATTATTAGCCAATTAAAACCTTCTCAACGAAATTCAACCAATCAGATCGATTGTGGATCGGCGCGATTCGATTGCACCACGTCCCCAATTTGTATCAAATCGACAATAGCATTTGGAACCACTTTTTCATTTGCTAAAAATATCTACTAGGAGACGACACCGTTTGGTTGCTTGCTTGTGCGACACTGTTCCTCATCCTGCAAGGGTATATATGATATACTACTAGTAGTACTACTAGTGTACGTTGGAACCAAAAAGCCATCGTATATGCACATGGGCATGGACGTGGTCGTAGTCATATTTAGCAGTAGTAGTCTTATGATTGCAACAGATGTGGACGGTGTGCTGTGTAGCTGAAGCTGTGAAAAGTCCTGATTGAATCCTCTTGCTTTGGCCAGTGTTTGTTGTGAATCAACGCTGAAGGAGTCGCGATGGCGGTGGCCATTACAGTGCTGATATTCGTTCGACCAATCTGTGCGATGTAGTACATATGTCCAAGAATATATATATATTTCGTAGAGGAGTACTCATACGATTGGTGGGGTAAGTACAACATGAACTAACGTTTGTGTGACTACGTCATATTTTATGCCAAACGCTTACAGTAACGTTAGTAGTATTTGTATGCCGAAGGCATAGATAGGCGTCACTAAGACAACACAAACCAGGGCGACGTACCGTATGCATACGAAGTACCAGTACAGTGTCTACATACGAAAGGTTAGAAACATGGACAAATACGTGTAACGTTAGTTGTAGCTGACTTGTTTCTCCAAGTGGTATAAATACTAGTGGTGGTATCATTATCATCATTATGGCTGCACAGTCAGCTCCTCCAATCTGGCCAACGTCGTGGCAAACCCACTCGCTGCACTGATCACACAGTTGAGCAGCAGCAGCTCTTCGATGGACATCGATTTTTTGTGTGGTGGTTGTTGTCCTGAGGTCGTCGAGTGCTCGAGCAGAAACCAGTTTGCGTACTGGGTCCGCAGGGTCTTCGCTAAATCTGGCAGCACGACAGCGTCCACGGCCAACAACTCGTGCGGCCGCATTATCGTCATCACTGGATTCGCCGATGGTGGTCGCTGTTTGATCGTCGACGACAGACGACGGAGCGTTGTATCGTGTCCTCCTTGTCGTGGAAAGGCAGCAGCAGCCGTCTGTACCATCAAATCCGTGTGGATGGAGCTTTGCCTTCGAAGCGCGGCGGCTCCCATACTGGGCACTTGCACGTGGAGCTTTAACCCCCGCTCCAGCGCAAGTTTGAACTCGTCCAACGTCACTTTGCCGTTGCCGTCCGTGTCCACTAGGGTCATAAAGTCGCCAACACATGACTCCATGTCTGTTACTTTGGTCGCGCCCGACTCGGCAAAGATCATCCCGAGCATGTCCTTGACTTCGCCTACATCCATGTCGTGGCTCCCGTCTCTATCGGCCACGCGGAACGCCTCCTTGATCTGAATGTACATGGCAACTTGGTCGGGTTCGACAGCGGCAAACGCTGGCCCAAACAAATCGGCCAACGTCTCAAACGATTCCATCACGCCGTGCCGCAACGGCGTAAACCAATCCCGACAACGCTCGTCCAAGTATGGCAGGCCGCCGCGCTTTCTCGTCCACTCAACTACGTGCCACAAGACCACCGTGTGGTTGTATAGCTGGTGGCAGCACTCGAGCACACGTTTATACTTTGGCATGGAAAACGGCGGTCGCCATAGCTGCGGTTCAAACGAAGCTTCAGTCAAGAGCGACGCTTGGGTGCAAAGGAGGCGGGGGAGGTCCACTTGCACGAGTCGTTGGAGGGTTGTGGTATCGTTATGATCCTGGCTTTTTCTTCCCAATGAAGAATGCGTGACAAGAGTCTCATAACAGTGTTTGTATAGCGCGAGCTGGGACTGAACGTTGGCTCGAACGATCGACACGGCGCTGTGGGGGCTCATAGCCAACTCGACGACCACAAACAGCACCACCCCCAAACTTAGCTGGGCCAAGTTTGCATACGACGAGATGGGCGTGACAGTTGCATGGGCGCAGCCGTCGCACCCCCGCATAAGCACTTGGGTGGATGTAAACGCAGCGATTAATCCCGCGTACGCGTCGATGCCGTTCTTAAAGCATACAAACATGGACATAGTGACCCAAACAAACAGCATGGTGTTGGTCAGCACAGCCATGAGAATGCTGTGGCCACACGTGTACGAGCAAATGTAAAACAGGACGACGGACGGGACGATGGTGCCGGCGATGATGCCGCCCACGCGATTCGCCGTCACTCGGAACGACCCGCCTAAAAAAGTATGGATAAGGAAGGGCCAACGCCGTCTGGTATACCGTACAACTTGAACTATTTGATGACAATATGCTGGCCGAAATACAAACTCGTTGTCATTTTGGGATCGAAATCAATATAATTGGATGATCAAAATGGTTCTTGTCCAATCGATTCGAAAATCTGGAGCATCGAATGTCTTTGGAGAAATGGATGAAAGAACCCCCGTCTGAGCCAATCAAAGCACGTTTTGTCGAATTTCTGCCAATCGAAACGTTTAACCCCTCCCCATTGGGCAAAACCACACGATTCTAATCATCATTGTATATTATAGTGTGTAAAAGATTAAATAGCATCAAATAGGTTCGAAAGGTATTTGGCGAAATGACTCTCAAGGCCAAATTTGGGTGAAATGCACAATATTGAAACATATATATATGTCTTGCTTCCGAATTATTTGGTTTATTGAACCGAAGCAACCAATACTTTCTAGTTGAGATTTACTCGTTGCGGAGTAATCAATCCCATATCCCATTTGGCCAGAAAATGGAATAATATAGTTTTTTAGGAAATGTTACCACCCTGTAAGACTATCAAAAGTGCTGTTTCACGACCATAAAATCGATGTACACAGTCACAGTTCCAATCGAAAACAGAAACATTTCGCTTATTGTGGTGGTGGCGTCGGGACAACTCTTTCATATCGAATCACAAATATCGATTGATATGCTAGTAGTGGCTAATCCAATTTTGAGTGGATCGGATTGGCTCTTGCAGAACGACAAGTATAAATATATTCAGCCAATCAGAAGTTCCAGCATGAGTTCAGTGTTTGGCGAATAATTCACAATTGATTTTGGACGTCTCTTGCTTTGAATACACATTTCTGAAAGTGTAGAGAAGTCACGCAATACTCAATGCATAGAACAACTCTATCAAGATGCATTGCATACTGCGTAAATCAATCAAAAATGAACACTCGTCGATACAAGCTTACCAGTAGATTTTTACAGCATATATATATATATATATATATATATCCGACCTCGTACTCAAGCTGACTTTCCCTCAATTACTATATATCCGTGTACTCGTAGTACTCAAGCTGCCTTTCACTCAAAAACTCACTCAGTCGTCGATTACTTGTACACCATTACATACATTACATTGAATAACTCTGCCCAAATATCGTTTGAATAGACCAAGAGTGTTTGCCTACCAACATGGCCGCTCATAACAATCGCCACGGCGCTGGGAGTTGTGGATGAATATCCAAACGTATACACGGAGATGAAACAAGCGACCAAGATGGCTATCCACGCCTTCAAGGCCGTGCGAAGTTTGGCTGGTGGGTAGTTGGTTCGATCAAAGTACGACCCAACTTTAGCTTGGGCAAAGATCAGCATGCGTTGAGCCTACAGTAGTAATAAGTAGTTGGTATTGTTGATTTGATATACAAATTTTTGGGGACGGGATGCAATCGAATCGCGCCGACCAAACCGATCCACAATCGATCTGATAGGTTGAATTTCATTGAAAAGGTTTTGATTGGCTAATAATTTTGAGCTCATCTGAATCAAATCGATTTAAATTCCAACGAGAAACCACGCCACAACACGAAATTTCACTATATATCGATGGATATGACATAGTCGAACTAACTAGTAACGAGTACTACTACTCTTCTAGGTAGGTTCGTTCAACTCGACTCTGCGACGACGTAAGTGCGACGACGTACCGTGTGATGCGGTGTTGTATTGTACGTGGCTTGGAACTCGAGCAACGTTTGAGCGTACAATTGCAACGAAAACAAAAACACGTGGAGAGGGATGTTGCCTTCCACTTGCCTCGCATTCGGTTCATGTTGGCTGTAAATCTGCACTTGCGACTGTTGATATTGACGCAACAAGTGCTCCATATGTCGATGTAGTTCGTGTTGACCAGTCACGTCCATGTCTACCCAAGAAGCATATATTGTACATTTCACACCCAAATTATAGGACTTTTGGGTCGTTTTGCCAAATATTAATAGTACCAGCATTCGAATCCATTTCATCTCATATAATAATTGTTGTACAGCATTCGAATCCATTTGATCTCATATAATTGGAACTATACGATACAAAGATTAGTATATATATATATACATATGGGTTTGCCCCATGCCGAGGGAAAACTGGATCGAATCAGAAGTTTGGATTGGCAGAAATTCGACATGACGTAATTTGATTGGCTTAGGCGGTATTCTCGCAAGACATTCGATTCTGCTGAGGGATCCAGTTTTGAATCGATTTGACAATACATAGTTAGTTACATACATATATTCTCTCAAGTCGATTCAAAATTCCAGTGGGGAGCTCAATAGAATGCGCAAAACCAAATCTGCAGACAATCGATTTTTTTTTTATTTGACCAATCAAAACCCAGAACACTACTCTATTCACTCTTCGACCCATTCAACACCGAATGAGTGTGTGTGAAATTCGTGTGCTATACTGGACGGTTTTTCTATACAACAGTCAGTATTAAGAATCGATCGATAGATTTGGCGAATCAGCTACAAGGACACTACATACATATATATACATATATTTATATATATATCGTCGTCAGTCTGAGTTCACCTTTTCTTGATACCCTCCTGTGCCCAAATACAATAGGATAATAACCTTACCGAGAACTCCGTGGTGGGCCAACGAGCTGATTTCATGTACCACACGACTGGCGTGCAATTGGACAGTGCATACTTGTTGCTGTAGCGACGCCATGAAGCGACTGTGGAGGTGTTCGTACCGCTCCAGCTCCATCGCTTGATACATTGCTCTCAAATGCTCGACTTGGGCCCCAAACAGTGTCACGAACGGCTGAACTGAAGATCGGCGGAATCGCAGGGCAAGGTGCAGCCCCACGAGTTGCTCCCACCACACATCTTGGAGCAGCGCCGTCATCTCGGCATGTTTTGCAACGGCAGCGTCAAACTTGCGCTCGAGTTTTAAGCGGAGGAACTTCATGTGGTCCACGTCCTGTGTCTTGAAGCAGTAGGCGTCGACGAGGAGGTCCAGCAACTCGTCCAAAGTATGCGCACAGGATGTTGTGTGGGCGGTTAGTTGGCGGATGCCAAGCATCGGATACGGCACCCATAGCACTAGGTTGGCGATAATTGCACCGAGAACCCCCAGTAGCAAGTACACAAACAAGTTGGCAATAATGTTGGGGGGGTTGTATAGGACATCCCCGGGCGTTTTGAGCACGTTGGGGTTGGTAAAGTCATTGGGGCTGGCCAATGTCAGCGAAAAGAATAGGTTGTTGTTGAGCATGTATCGTCGAGTGTTGGTTTCCTATGCAAAAGTGTATTGTGGATATTCGATGTACAGTACTACTGTACTTATTGTTCAAGGGTAAATCGAAAAGATTATGATTTTTTGATATATAGAAGTAATGTTGTCGAAACTGGAGCAGGTGGTCGAATATATCGACGACACAAGAACATCGACAGTCGAATATAGATAACTGGACAGAAGAAGGATATGAGTGGGTGCATGCCACAACTTTTATGTGATAGAGAATGCACTCTTGGGACACAAGTTATTGCGCTTTTGAAGTGACCAAGATATTGAGCAAATGAGTATGATTGGATAATAATAATGAAGGTTGCAATATCATTGGCTAAAACGAAGCATATTCACAAAGACACCTCTTAACCTTAGATATATATCATATTTCGCAGGTCCTGCGATTGTTGGATAGTTCATTCACGAGGAAATTATGGGTAGAACACACAATATATATTAATATACGCTAAAAATTAAAACGATCGATAGGTTTGGAGATTCATAAGTCCAAAGTTGGACTGAAAGGACGGACTGACTATACAGTGCTTATTTTAACAGGGAGAATGAATCGACACAAGAGAAGAGTCGGCAGAAGGATTTGCCCAATCAGATTGCAGCAAACCATCATCAACGTCAAATTAGTGTGTGACTCCAATTAGTGTGATACCAATCAATAACAAGTTACAAAATTCAGTACAAAGCATCGATCGATAGATTTGGCGATTCAGCACAAAAGTCCAAATTTGGGGCAAAACGACTATACCATTGGCAAGAGAATGCCCACGAGCGTAAACAGCATGATGAACGGCAACTTGGTGTAAAAGTCCCGAGGGTGGATCCAATACGGGTGGCCACTGAACGAATGGGCGGCCAAAACGAGCGTTCCGTTCAATTTCGCTCGTTCCACTACAAAACGAAATATGAAATAAGTTTCATGGAATTAGCACTTTGCAATTCGATTCCAATAATGTCCCATATATACATACATTCGTGGACGGACGCAAACGATTGAGGCGGAAACATGTAGAACACGACCATGTTGTACAGCAACGCCGAGCCAACCCCGCCAAGTTGCTGGGCAATTTCACGCACGGTGGCGCCAATGTTGTTGCCAGCACCAAAGACTGTCGCCATCGCCACGACGGACAACCCCCCAAAGATGTACCAGTCTGGAAAGAACACCCAATGAGTCTGGCCTTCCAAGGTACTAGTGGAATTGGTGGCGTGGGCTTTGGTCATGAGTAGCCCCGCCAAAACAGTGCCAACTCCGGCCCGGACGGCTAGCTCCAGTTGAAACTTGAACGCAGCTACAACACTCAATGTAAGGTAGAAGTTGGGCAAGGACGTACTGTAGTGAGAGCTGGTGGTGGTGGTGGAGATTTCCACATTGGACTTGTTGGATTTGAGCACATCCAGTTGTACTTTTCCGGCTACGGCAGGTTGATTGGAACTGCGACGGCGTTGCTCGGTCACCGCAGCTAGTGCTGGAAGAATCGGCGTTTTGCGCCTACAACCAGATTGATCGATTGAGCAGCTCAACAACATTCACAAGGGGGTAGCTAATAATATACCTTGGTGACGTCAAGGCGGCGTACTGGTCGTTGCTCATCGTGCAATGCGACGCTAGAACATGAGATTCCGTAACTGTAAATGTACTGAAAGGTCGCAGGAAATTACATTGGGAAATTTTATCCGGATAGATCGTTGTTATGACATGAAACCCTCGAAACGTTCGAGTAAATGAAACCGTTTTCACCGTCGACCATCCACTCTCCAACTAGTCCATACTACACCATTTTTCAATTGACTTGGACATTTTCTCGATGGATTCGGACAGGTCACTATTGGATTTAGTGACGTGCCCATTCGAATGAATGAGTGCCCAATGGATTTGGTACCCACGTTCGGTGTGCCCATTGGATTTGGCACGACCGCCTCGTGTGCCCATTCGATATGCCCATGCGCCTTATAGAATTGGTTTGTACCCAACCAAACAACCTTTAGATCATTCGAAAGTGCCGTGCTTGCATTCAATTAGGAAAACTCAAAAATGAATTCAATAAATCATCCAAGGGATGAAAATAAAACATTTGCAAGGGTTCATAATGAACCGTCTTGTACGTGAACACACGTTTGTGGAGTTCACGATGCAAAGTCGAGTAGACACCTCGATGCCCAAATTAAGCGCCAATCGATCTTTGATCTCTTGGAGCGTGATTTGGACGTCATGCTCCACCCAACGTTGCAGCATGTCGACGTTTTCCTCCGTCAGGAGTTGTGTTTGTTTTCCCCTACATGATAATGTTAGATCGAGTAGACTCGACTTTCATACCTCGTTGTTTCGGCGTCAATGAGTCCAGATGCAGCCAATTTCGTGCGCTGCTGATGTTGACGCCGTTCGCTTGAGCGACGCGCTTCCAGTCCATCGCGTTGTTGAACGCATCAACTACACTGTATGCGCTTCTTGGTCGACAACGGAATGCGTTTGTACGTCGTGGGTGGCGTTTGGGGTGCTGTGTTCTCCATGGTTGACTGTCATGCGGAAGATTTGATAGTGACGAAAAGCGCGCGAGAATTGTAGAACCCCCCCCTCCGATGTTCTAGAAAAAGCAATTGCCAACTGTAAAGAGTGCACGACACTT